CCTGGCGAAGGCGGCAAATGGTTCAACCGCCGGACATTCTTCTCTTTTTTTTCCCTCTCGAAATTGTCTAGTCGATTCGATTTGGGGCGTTTCGTTGAACCGAGCAGGGGGTACTGTAGGGAAAGAGAAAGGAAATTGACAATAAGGTTACTTTTTGAGTGGTTTCTTCGGAGAATTTGTTTTTTTCTGTTTCTTTTTCCTATTCAAGTCTTTGAAACGATTCTTGGAGCGAAGCAGGGTTACGGTAGAAAAGGAGGTTACTTTTCAGAGTAGTTTCATTGAGTTGGAAGTGAATAAATTTTTTTTCTCTTTCCGGGACTTTTTGAACGATTCTTGGAACGAAGAAGGGTTACGGTAGGAAAATACAATAACTAGGTTACCTTTTAGAATGATTTCTATGAGTATGGAACGAAGAAACTGGTTTTTTTTTCGGCTTTGGATTTTTTGTAGCGTCTCTCGAAGCGAAGAGGGTTACGGTAGGGAAGGACTGTTTTTTGAGTAACTAGTGAATCGAAGTAAGTTGGAAGTAGAAGTGAAGTAAAAATTTTAAGATTCTTGGCCACACAAGAAATGGTTTAACGCGTTGCGGTTGTTTCAAAATGCGCCGGACCTGATACTACTTGAGCCCATGGCATCGGAAAGCACTAGAAAAAGCTGTCGAAGTTTGAAGAATTTTTAAACAAGTGATCGCAACGCTTTGAACCATTCCACGTGCGGTCAAGGCTTTCCAAGTTTGTGAGAAGAAAATGATTTCATTGAACTCAGCTCCCGTTTCTTCAGCTTTTCAGAGTATTTTTTGTCATTTTATCGTTTTCTGCCTGTTTTATAATAACACCGCGCTCTTGGGGGTTAAACGCGGCTAATTGGGTGCTAAAAAGTGGAAGAAAGAAGGCGTCGACCGCGGAACGGTTTTCGTTGACAGGCGTTGTCGCCGCGCCGACGACCGAGGGACTCCCCCCAACTTGAGATGAACGATGACTCATCAGAAAGATGTTTGAAGAATTGGGTGTTTAGAAGGTGCGACAGTGGGAAAAGTTTTTGGGGTCTCTAATATCATGATTTATTTGTCGTTGGCTAGAGAAATCAAAGGCGAGTGGAGCAGGGGGTTTAAAAAGGTTTTTAAAAAAATCGGGGAAAAAGAAGAGACATCTATAGTGTAGATTTCTAGTATTAACATACTAGAAAAAAAGAAGAATGTGAAAAAAATCGTTAACCACTTCCTACAGTAACCTAAGATGGTATGCACTGTAAAAGTTCTCAAAATTGGATTACCTATTGATTGATATATCACTTGTCTAGTAAAAATTCTTCAATACTTAGATACGCAGGTGTCTACCTGCCTACCGTAACCCGGCTACAGTAGGAGGAAATGGCTCAAAAAGTTGCGTCCGCATTTCTGATGATGGGTTATCACACTGGATGAAGTTTCATCAGAATCAAAAAATAAAATTTTTTTTTGTACCCGTTGCCTTTGAAACTTCTAGAAAATTTCAGAGACAGCGTGTTAAGCTTGCTCCAAATGGAGTAGGAACAGAAAACTTTTTTTGAGGTCATCGAGTTTGAGAGAGATTTATCACTAAATTCAGTGCGTCTTGAATTTTTCAGATCGATTTTAAGATTTTAGTTAAGCTTCCGAAGTTTGTTTGATACAGTAACAATTTGCAGAAACTGACCCAATTTTTCAACTTTTCCGTCTTTTCCTTCCGTAAACAACCTCGTTCTTTCTTTCTTCCTTTTCTCGGATCGACAGCAAAGAGCGATAAATGTGACCGTTCAGAACAAAAACAGTTGGAGGGTCAGCGATTCACGTGGCGGTCCACGTGAACTTCCTGACGTCATCCGAATAACAGACGTTGACCCATGGTCAACAGACAACAAATCAGGGGGGAGACCATCGCGCAGAGATCAGTAGAGGGACCTTAGTTTGGCCAAGATTTGGGTAGGGGGGATGTTTTGAGATGTGAAATGGTTGAGGGAAGTTGTTGAACTTCTCAGAAAGCTTGGCAAGCTTCAAAAAGTAATTTTAAATCTTATTCTGGACAGAGAAGACAATTATTCTTTGGTTAGACATCTCTAGAAAATTCCAAAATTTTCAAAATTTCGGTTGCCCAAGTTCTGGGGTCTTCATCTGATAAATCAAGGAGTCTTTCAGTTCAGATAAATCCCAACCATAGAATAAATATACCTCCTTGTGGGATATTTAAAGACGCAGAAGCTTTGAAAGACTTCTGAAAATGGCTTTCGCCTCGAGAACTTTATAAAATGGTCCATTTTTTTTGAGCATTCGAAAAAAGATTTTTGAAAAGATTATACCTTAACTATGAGCTCAAAAACTCTAATAACCGTGATTTAAGGTCAAGTTCGAATTTAATTTTTTCGAAATAAGGTTAAACTAATCTTCAGAACTTGTTTCGAAATTATTAACAAAACGATAAAAATGAAAAAAAAAAGCTTCGTTTTCAACCTCACTTTGCTTTTTTTCCATCTGCAAGAAGGTCAAAAAACAAAGTCTGAGGAAAGATAAGATTCCGCAGAAAACGCGCTTTGTTCAAAGGTACGAATGATATCAGTACTAAAGTGCAAAGATTTCGAAAAGGTTCAGAAAGGAAGCGAAAAGGGACAAAGGTTGCGTGCAGAGATTGTTTTTTGTAGCCATGTTTGAACGAGTTATAGAGGGGGAATATATTGGCTTAATCGAAAAAAAAAGAAATAGATAGGTATTCAGAAAAAAAATCTGTTTTTAAAATTGAAAATGAAATAATTCATCGTAAACGTTTCATAAAAGCTGTAGAAAGCTGGAATTGCAGATAAAAGGAGAAGAAACTTTTTAGATCTGCTGAGATTAAAAAATACGGCCTTGACAGTTATTAAAATAAAAGGCATGATTTAATATTATGTAAAAAGTTGAGAAACGGGGAAATGAAAAATTTTTTTCAAACTAAAAAAATAGGCCTTTTTTTCAACGTTTCTGGTCACGTCTTGAATGGCTCAAATTGTCGTGGTCGGGAAATTTTGCTTTTCAGCCGTAACCATTCTAAATGCGGCCATGAAAATAAAACTGATCAATTTCGAGTAGTTTTCGAAAAGTTTCAACCTTTTCCTTGACGTTCTACCACAAGTTTTGTATGGAAAATATTTTTTTTTAATTTTTCAGTGAACTGAAATGAATCTGAAGCGCCGGGTGCTCATTGAAAATAAAAAAAACCTTCGAAAATATGTTTTTCGGAAAATTCCCTGCCAAAAAAGGACCAAATCACAAAGTCCACGTGCAAAAACAAAAAGACACGGCGAGGGTGGAAGCTGACGAGTATTGGGAAAAAAGAAAAAATAGTGACGTCTGCGTCTATTTCGAGCCCACGGACCTTTCTGACTCATGCACTTTGCGTATGCACCCCAGCTGCGCCCGGGGAAAAACCAATATTGCAAAATTTTCCCATGGAAAAAAAGTAGTGTCTGGAAAAGCGGGAGAAAGTTTGCAGGAAGTTTTTTTTTCGAAAAATGTTTTTTATTCCTACTTTCAGTATTTTCACTTGAAGTTTAAGAAAAAAGCATGATTCAAGTAGATACTTAAGAGCTCCAGAGTGGTCCCTATAGGCGCAACCTTAAGTGCCCTTGAAGGTTCCCCTCTAGGGACCACTAAGGCTTGCGAAAACTAGGGGTTTATGTTAGTAACTCCTATAGGAGAGCATGCTAGTCATTTATTTTTATGAACTCCATGAGAATTCATGCAAAAGCCCCTCTGAATGAAAAGTTAAAAGACCCCTATAGGGACCACTTAGGGGCTTAGAAATCAAACCCAGCACTCTCATAGGAACCACCTAGATTTTGCCCCTATAGGGGGTCACTTTTTGGTCGCTCAAGGGGCTGATTTTCCACCAACCCCTATAGGAACCACTCTGGCGCTCCCAAGTATTCTAAACGTATTGATAAATTGATATCGGAAAAATTTGAAAAAAATTAAGATTTGTTTTTTTCATTATACGATAGAGAACCTTTTGATAAGCTAGAACTGAAAATAATCTGATCAGCAGATAAAAGCAAAAAAAAAATTGCGAGGAGAGGAGTCGAACCTGGGATAGTCTGAGTGATAGCTGAAGGTTCAGCCTATGGACTAGAAAAAAGTTTAGATTTAAAAGTGAAGGGGTATATTTTTGTTTTCACTTTTTTTAAACCTTTTTCTGAAGTTTACACGAAAAGCTTGAGTAACGGTGAATCTTGACAGTTTGAGCAAAAAATTAAAACAAAAATAACCGGAAAGGATTGAAAATAAGCCAAAGAATGTGGAGAACCGGCGGTTTGTAGTGAAAATTTGCATCACGGGCGTCTCTTTTTACGCCCCAAAAACAGCCGCAAAATTTCGCAATCTTTTGAGATCAGGTCCACGTTTTGCGTGCGATTGTGAAATCGGCTTATTTGCGATTTTTGTTCTTCTAAGTCGATTTTCAAATTTACAAAGATGAAAGAATAACCTGAGGAACTTAGGAACTCAGAGTGGTCCCTGGAGGGGCAACCTTAGGGGCCTTGAAAGCCCCCCCTCCCTCTAGGGAATATTTTACCTTCCCTATAAAGGGGATACTAGTTTATCATTATTAAAGAAGAATCATCTCCATGCAAAAATTCATTAATAAATGTTTTTTCGAATGAAAAGTATCAAAATAGAATAAAACTATCAAGTTTGCCTCTTCATTTTTGAAATCTTAAAAAATAAATAAAATACCCTTTAGGGACCACTTGAGCTTTAGGGGCTCAGGAGACAGGTCTCAAACCCCTATAGGGACTACTTGAAAGGTACCCCTACGGGGAGCATTTTTTGTTCCCCTGACAGAATTTTTTCCTTCTGATCACTATAGGGGCCCCTCTGGTGTTCTCAATAATATTTCGATAAGCGTTTCAGTTTTTGAACTAGGGAGTCCGCATTTGGAATGGCTAGGAAAAAATAAAGTCATTTTTCAGTTTTGAGAAGTTTTGAGGTAGCCAATCGGGAGATTTTAAACGCTTCCCTAGGCATTCAAATAGAAAATGGCGGCATTTGGAATGGCTAAAGTTAGAAGAGAATATATAGCTGATTCACGGCTGGCTTGAGCCATCGAGAAAAGGGTCCTGCCACGAAAAGAGACGAGATAGTGCCCTAGTTGGCGGAGAGTGTTGACAGGCCATCCCTTTTTGCGTCCCAAGCTAGCCGTGAATCGTCTATATGTTCCAGGATATCACGGAATTCAAATAAATTATGGACTTTTTTTTTCCAATTCCAACAGTAATGAAACACTGAACGAATAAACTAACCCGACGGTCCGATTCGAAGTGAAATAGAGAGCTTCTTGACTTCCTCCTATCAAGTGATGACTGTGTGATAGTCTTTTCTCTCTTCCGACTTTGTGGGGACGTTCCGGGGAATGGTGTTCTGGAAATTTTGGGCTTAAATTATTCTGAATGAAAGTGGAACTACTAGAAATGGTATTTTCAAACTCTAAAATAAACATCTAAATAGTATTCAAAGAAACTCAATTTCTTTTTTTTTTGTGGTTTGTGAACAGAATCAGTAATTTTTTTGCATACCTTATTCCAAAAATATTGAGCGTGATGTCGATTTCTTTATATATCAAACCTGAAACCTAATTTCCCCGTTTTTTTCATGATTTTTTTTGATTTTTTTATAAATTATTCGTAGGCAAAGTCGACAAGACCCTTTCCGGACCCTTTGAGCGTCCATTTTGGGTGCAAAAAGGTGAATTAATTGCTCCTAAACGGCTGGCAACGGTTTCCTTTTTACTGCCTTTTTCCGTCCTTTCATGACCTTTTTTCCACCCTTTTTGGACCCTTTGAGAAACGCAAAACTTTTAAGTTGAGAAAAATCTTTACCAGTGACTGTGTATGAACTAAATTGTGCTACAGTAATAAAGTCGGAAATCATCAATGGCCGAGACTTAAGGCACCCTTTTTGCACCCTTTTTTGAAGCTTTTTAACCCCCAAAGAAAAAAGGCTCAATAAAGGCTGCAAAACGGAACCCTTTTAGCGCCCTTTTTGCACCCGTTTTTTGCACTTCCGACTCAGGCAGTGAGGAAAAGAGCACGTCGAAATGAGAGAGTCGCTGAGAGACGAGGAGGGTGCAGAGAAAAACAGAAATTTCAAGTCGCGAAAAATGGACTTACAAGCTCTTTTTTTTGGAATTAAGCTTATTTTTTATTCTTTTTGGACTTACAAGCTCATTTTTTGAATAATATACCCATTTTCGCCCCTCTCTATCATGAATAATGGACTCATAAGATGTAATAAAGAGAAAAAACCAACGACTGCGGCATCTGGCGCGAAACGTAGCGTCTTCCAAAACTTCGTGGGTCATCTCCTCGTACAACTGGGCGGCAGAACTCCAACGTTCGGCACTGAAATCGACGGAAACTCTTGTTTTCGCGGCCATTTTCGGTGTTTGAACCACTTGAAGCTTTCGAGGAAAACAAACTCTTTGTGGAGATATTCTGGCGCCGCGCCAAGAGAGTCGGCGATGACGTTGGCCGCCACGCAGTCGCACGGCAGAATGCAGGTACAACGGGTCATTTTTCAGCTTTTTTCTGAGGAAAATACGAGTTTCTGAATGTTTTCCACGTGTTTATTTGCTAGTACGTCAGGACGGGAGGGAAATAAACAATCAACGGAAATTTGATGTTAAAAGGAGAAAGGGAAGAGATAAGATTTGAAAATGTTTGGATTTTGAAAGAAATTGAGTTTGAAGCTTCGATCAGAGGCTAAGAATTAGGTAGAAAAATGATAGGAAAAATGAATTTTGCCATTTTCCGATAATTTTTTTGAAGTTAAATTGACTGAAGTGAGTTCCAAGCTCAAAAAGAACTTCAAATGAAATTTTTAAGTTGAAAATAACGTAAAAAGTGGAATTTTTGAACAAGATTAACCATTTTCCAACCATTTTTTTATAGTTTTGACATACATTCCAAGTCTTATAATTCATCTAAAAGGTATACAAATTGACTAAAGTCCGTTCCAAGCTTGTAAACTTCAAATAAAAAATTTGAAAGTTTCAAATTTAATGAAAATGAAGTTCAAAATTTTGACTAGAAGCTAAGAATTTTACGTTGAAAATGATGAAAGTGGAATTTTGAACAAGATTAACCGTTTCCAACCATTTTTTATAGTTTTGATGTTGATTCTTTATTCCAGTTTCCAGTAGTAAATAAAGAGATTTAAGCCCGTTTTTTTCAGCTTCAAAAAAATGAATAAGAACAAAAGGGATGAATAGATTCAATTTTATAAAAATTTTTTTGAATAGATTTTTTTAGAAAAAGTTCATTATAAGTATTGAGACGTGTTTTTGGTACAAAATGAATTTAAAAAAACTCGGATATTCAAATAAAAAAACATGAAGTAAGTATTTGATGGGACAACACATGGGCGTGCGGCTGAACCAACAAAGAAGAGGCTTTTTCCTGTCAATAATTTCGGGACTCTATCCAAAAAGTTGCATTTTTTTATTAACATATCCAAAAAGAGCTTTCTGAATTTAATTTGAAGCCAAGAGTGGCCATGAATCAAAAATTATTCTTATTTTTTAGAAGATAGTAACGTATATCAAAAAAATGCCTTTCCCAAACTAGATCCAAGTAGAAAATGGCTAGGGTCATATTCAGCTAGAAACTTGAAGACCAGATCGTCAATCATTAGGACTCGTGATAAAAAGTATATAAAACTGACACGAAACGGAGCTAAAATTAAATAATTTATGAACTTATGGGTCATCAGAACATGAGAATGAAGTTTCTGGGAGGTTTTGGAGTACCCAGGAAACTTAGGGTTCCGAAATGATAAGAAAAAATTTTAAAAAAATAAAACTGAACATTTTTTTGCGAACTTTGAGGAACTCCAGAGTAAATGTTGAGCTTTAGAGAACTTTGAGTCAAGTTTATCTAGTCGAAATTTTTAATAAATCTTTTGGGGGATCGGATGAACCTGGGCATGAACTTAAGATTTAAAAAAGCTGTGGACCGAGATTTTTTCGGCAAAAAATTCTATAAAAAACGGAGAAAAATCAAGATAAAATCGGTCAAAAGCCTAAAAAAGGAGAAAGTTTGTTTTCTATGAAAGCCGAGTAGGATAGAATGATACGATTGGGGCAATAAAATGAGGAAGGAAAAAAAGGTCAAAGCTTGAACTACAATCTCGAGTTTCTTTCCTTTTTTTCTGAGTCTCCAGAAAATAAGGAAAAATGTGAATTTATAGTTAGAGCTTATTCAGAACCTTCACGTTACGAAAAATTTTTCATTTCTTGAAATTTTTTTAGTTTTTCTCAAATTTCAAGCTTTTTTTAGATTCAGAAAAAAAGCGAATTTTATTAATATTTCAAGTTTGAAAACTTTGAACCGTGAAAAACGCTACGGAAATATTTATTTTTTTCGAGAAGTTTTGAATTTTCTAAATCTTAAAGCTTTCCAAAAGTCCTTTTCAATACAGAAAAAAAATTGAATCCGGAAGGAAAAGCAAAATTTTGCGCGGATTCTGCTCTATTGAACATCAAAAAAGCTTCCCACACGCTCTTTTTTCTGCGTCAAGAACACATTGAACATGAACTGGCAATAATTTATGCCCCGAGGCAAGTTTCTAAAGAGGCCTTAAGACCCCCTCTCTTTCATATTGACCAAAAAACCTTCCTTTCTCTGAAAAAAACCCTTTTCAATCTCGTAAGCTCGAAAAAGAAACATGAGAAAGTCTTCTTTATAATCTTTTTAAAGGAAAGGTTTCATCTGTGAATTTGCAACTGAAGCCATTTTCCTCAGAGAAAATGAGAAAAGCTCGAAATTTGAAACCTTTGAAAAAAAAATAGAATATAAAGTATAGCTCGACTTGAAAGTTTTCGAGTGTCTGCGTCTCTCTGTTCCCTCACTGGAGAGTTCAGAGAAACGCGAAAATAGCACGTCAACTTGAGAGGGTCGTCGAGAGACGAGGAGAGCGCAGAGAAAAACAGCAGGGGCGATAAAAGGAGTATATTCTGGTAGTATTGCTGGGTTTAAAGATGTAATGTTCTCAATAATTTTGCGCGCAAGTCGTTTCGCGGTCGGATGAACTTTCCTAGTAACCGCCACGCAATCGTGACGCGTTGAGCCATTCTCAGTGTAACCAAACGATTTTGACTAATTTAGGGACTTGTACTTTTTATTAGTCGATTTTACAAGCAAAAACGGTTGTATTAGCATCAGAAAAGACCAAGGTCTTTAATTTGAATTTTTCTTGTAACGTTGACTTTGTTTTACTCGAAATTTCAGTCTAAAAATGAAAAATGAGTTTCAATTTTCGTTCTATACAGCTACATCTTCATTCAAAATTTTCCTGTTGGATGCTGAAACTCTAGTGACCACTTAAGAGGCTCCTCAAGGGCTACTAGGTGAGAACACTAAAGCGGCCACTGAACGACCTCAATTAGTTGCCGCTAAAGTAGTTTTTAGTGGTCTAGTAGTTCTGAAAAGGCTACTAAATTTTAGCCACCTAAGTGGCCCCTAAAGCGTCAAAACCCTGAAGTGACCACTAAAAATTTTCCCTCTTTGGCTCGGTGTCAATACTCAGAAAAAATTCGAATTCATTCATTAGTACAAAAAGTATTAGTAGAATCATTTTTAAGTACTTTTATAATCAAATATCATGCTCAAAAAAATTAAATTAGGTTTCTATCTTTTTTTGAACCATTTATTTGAAAAAAAATCTCAAAAACATTTGAAAAAGAGCAAAGAAGACTTCATATCTAGACACAAAAGAGCAAGAAACGCCTTGATTTCTTATCATCGGCCGTCTTTTATAGACCCCGATGATGTATATTTTCGTCTGTTCCAAATCTGTACTCTCATTTGACATGTGAATGGGAAAACTGAGCATAAAAGGCTACAAGTTCGAAAACAAAACGGGCCTGGGAAAGATGAAGCTGACAAGGGAGGTTGATTTATTTTGGGGTTGGGAATGTCTTGAAAATCGGCCAGAATACTCCTTGATGTAGCAGAAGAAGATTCTGAAAGTTTCAATCTGCAAAACTACCTAGTTTTTGAGAAATGAAAGCTCAAAGTTTCGAAATAGCCTATTTTAACGGATTTTGAGGTGTCCTTTCTCGAAAACTAGAAAGTTTTGCAGGCTGAGACTTTCAGAATCTAATTTTTGTACATCAATAAGTATTCTGGCCAATTTTCAAGGAAATCCCGACTTCAGAGAGGGTGAAGGATTTAAAAAAAAAATTATGAAGCAGTTCAAAAATTTCTTAAAATGAAAATAGTTGAAAAAACGTTTAAAAACACTTTCAAAAAGATCTCTGGATCCACAAAATCCTCAAAAAAAAATTGAATTCCCAACAAACAAATGTTCAACAAAAACACATTTCAAAGCCAAAGCTTCCCACGAGAATCGTGTGATAAACAAATAATTTTTTACGAGAGAAGTCCTGAAACATCGGAAAATAGGAATAAATGTTCCAGGAGGAGGAGATCGCGTCGGGAAATCTCATTAGAGAGACGACATCCCATTCTCCTCCTTCAACTTGGATTTTGATCCAAAAAAAGGCTGTGCCAAATGAATTCGATACTTCCCTATTGGATTTTTGGCTTCAATTTCACGTTTCATAGACTGGAATTCAGAGAACTGAACATAAATTGAGACAGTACTATTTAGAACAGATTTTTGGTTTAAACAGCGTTGAAAAACTTGGATTTTGATCCTAAAATTACTGTGCCGAATAGATTTGATACCCTTCCCTTTTGATACCCTTTAGAATCTCTCTCAACTTTGATATTTGAAAACTATAAAAAATCTATCATGTTTACCGAATCCGTCCACGCTAAACGCACTCGAAACTCAAAAAAAAAAAAATCAAAAAAATTGCGTTTTTTTCATAACCTGAACATTTGAAAAAAATAAAAAAATAAGCTGTTAGATTTAAAGTTATTTAAAAGAAATGCTTCCTCATTTTTTTGCGAAATTCAATTTTTCAGTCATTTTCTTTTATTTAGGTATCCATTATACTTTTTTTAATTAAGTAAAACTAGCCGATTCAATTTGAAAAAAATAAAAAAATATTCCCTGAAACTTTAAGCTCATATCCAATACAAATTTTATAATTTTTTTCCAGCGACGTAGAAAAATAAACAAGCCACATGTGAGCGAAGTGACGTCATAAACATGTCGCTGGAAATGACGTCATTTTTTTGATTTCACAAGAAATAGTTTTTTTGACTTCGAATCGTGAGAAACTTGTGATTATCGGAATTTTATGCTTAATTCAAAATTTTTTTGATTGAAACTTCTCTAAGAGTTGAGAAAAAAATCAGAAAAATTAAAAAAAAAATTCTTCTTTTTGAAGACTGTCAAGATTAGAACTATGTGACTTTAAGATAAAAAAAGCCAAGAATCCCTGGAAAAACCTCGATTTCTTATGCGAAAAAAGACCGGAAGAGAGCAATTTTCTCAAAAATATTCATCTTTTTGAGGGCGAGTGAGGGACAATAAACAAAGAAAAATAAGGAAAAATATTTGGAAAAATTGGATTTTTGCTTCAAATTTACAGATAGAAGCGATTTTTTTAAAAGGAAAAATCAATGATTTTTTTGTTCTCATCAGCTTTTTTTGGAAGCTTAACCACATTTTTTTCGCCGGTCACGAAAAAAATTTTTAATTTTTTTAATGATGAAATTCAAGGGAGCTGTCTAGAAAGAAGCCAATAATGACCAGTTTTCACAGAAAAAGATCAAAAAAATGCCTGAAAAAAATCAGAGTTTCATTCATTTCAATTGTAACTTTTTGATAAAAAAACGAGCTATTTTTTTGATTCTAAAGGAATTTCGATTTTGAAGGCCAGGAAAATCCTATTTTTCCTTTTTTAACTTTTGAATATTATTCATTAAAAACTCATTAAAAAAATCAAAAAAAGCGTGTCACTAAATCTATAACTTTTTTTCAAGCAAAAAAAGAAGGCCTTTAAATAAAAAAATTTTCAAAAAAAGAAATTGCATATTTTTTTCACAGGAGACTCAATGAAATTCGAGCAATAGCCACAAGTTCCAAAAACTTGCTTTAATCAAAAATAACGGATAAAATTGAAAATTCAGGTGCAAAAAAGGGGCAGAAAATAATGAAAAGGGATCAAAAAGAAGCGAAAAACACGAGGGTTTAAAAAGTCGTCACTAGTCGGAGAAGAAACAAACAAAGAAAAGTGTTTTGCGGAAGTTTCAAACGATGTTTATCTGCGAGGCGACATTTTTGAATGAAATCGATTGAAATCGATTGAAATCATTAAATTGCTTCCCCTCCACGTGCTTTTTCCGCCCAGAAACGGTCAGACGACCATTTTCTGATGTCTTTCGACGTGGTTTTTTCGGTTCCACGGGGTCATTTGCGTTGGAAGATCAAAAAACATCGTTCAAATATAACTCGATAAGGAACTTTTTCCCATGTTTGCTTCAGTTTTGGAATGAGGAGTTTGGTTTCATTGAAGCCTTTGGGAAATTTGATGAGTTTATGGGTTTTTTTTGTGTTATTTGTGCTTTTGAAGCTCAGAAAAATGGAATTTTGTTAGAAAATTTCCTGGAAATGGGCTGGAAACTCTTATGAACCAAGCCAAATTAAAACTATGAGAATGCTTTATCCAAAATTTTTCATAGACTATTTTCGATTTGCTGCAATTTTTATTTTATATGGATTTCAAGAAGATTTTATGTAAAAAAACTTGCTGAAATTTGAATAAAAAAAAAGAGAGAATTATGCTTCTTGACAGAAAAATACTTGAAATTTGTTCAGAGTAGTTTTCATGTATTTAAAGATGACTAGGAAAGCCTAGAATAAAAAAATTCTTATTTTTTTTCCCGAAAAAGAAGGTCCCAAAGGCAAAAAAACAGCTGCTTTAACTGATTTTCATCGAATTCCTTCAAGTTTTTTGAACAACAGGAAGTTTAATGACCATTATTTTTCATAAAAGCGCAGTTCAAATTTTTTTCAATACCTCAAGAGACCAGCTTTCATGGAAATGCTTCCAAAACACGGCGTTTTTTCGACGAAGCCACGCCCACTTTTTCTCCGTAAAGTGTAGTGTGTCGTGTGCATGCACTGCGCCGCTTTTGCGCAGAGATTTGCTTTTATGTAGAGAAATTTCGATTAGTCTCAAAGACCTCTTGCAATACGCCTGCGCCTTTAATGTGCCTTGTTATTTACGCTTTTAGAGCTGAAATCTCTGCCGTCCCCATGACGTCACGTGGGACAGAGAATATTTTGGCTCCGCCCAGCGTGTTTTTGGTTTCGCGTTTTTGAGCCGTTTTTGTCAAAACTGTGGCTATGCTTTGAGATTTTCGGACTTCACAAAAAAATTTCGTCTCATTGAATCTCATATCAAACTTTAGTGTCTTGAATTATTTCACAAGGAAGTTCTTTTCAATTAAATCCTTCAGAGAGTGTTTGAACAAAGACAGACAATCCAATTCAAACCAGCGACGGAAATTAAGAAGCATCCGTAATTTCAATTTATTTTTCTAGCCTCTTTTCGCTGACCTTCCCATGCTTTTTGAAACACTCTAGTAAATTATTATTTATTGAAAAAAACCGGTATATACAGAAATGAGTGTCGAGGAGTTGCCGATACATTATTCAACCTAGGCGGTCTTGGCCTTGTTACTTCCAATGAAGTAGGCGGCGCGAGCGAAGGGAGAGTAGGCGGGGACGACTGGAGCGGCGACCGGGAGAGCTGGAGCAGCCAATGGAAGAGCTGGGGCAGCGAGGACTGGACGAGGGGCCAAGAGCGGGGCAGCTGGAGCAGCCAGGATTGGAGCTGGAGGAGCGAGGAGGGGAGCTGGAGCGGCCAGGACTGGTGCTGGAGGAGCAAGAAGTGGAGCTGGAGCGGCCAGAACTGGAGCTGGAGGAGCCAGAAGTGGTGCTGGAGCAGCAAGGACTGGAGCTGGAGCAGCGAACACAGGTCGTGGAGCGAAAGCTGGCACAGCTGGGACCATTGGGGCGACAACTGGAGCCGGAGCGTCGAAGATCGGAGCCGGAGCTGGAGCAGCGAAAGCTGGGACTGGAGCTGGGACAGCCGGGGCAGCGAACACTGGTCGAGGAGCGAAAGCTGGAGCGGCGAAGACGGGAGCTGGAGCCGGAGCAGCGAAGACGGGCGCTGGTGGAGGTGCGACCGGAAGGACTGGCTCGGCGAGCACGGGCTCCGCGACGGCGACTGGAGCAGCGACTGGCGCGACTCCCTGGGTGATGATCGGCTTGGCCGGCACGTAGTAGCGTCCGCTGAATGGTCCGTTGACTGCGACTTGCGCCGTAGTCAGGGCGAGTCCCGCGACGAGGATACTGGAAAGGACAGGGATTTTAAGTGAAGCATCTAGGAGCTATGGAGTTTTGGTGTTGAACTAAAATAAAAAAGAAGAGGTTCGGAGAATATTTGAGCCTCCAGCAACATCTGTGTATGTGGTCTACAGACAAGGTCATTCCGGTAAAAAAAAATCCTGTGATATATTTTATGAACCTCAAAAGCTTCAGGCTGGTCTTTTGTCTTCAGTAAGTCTCTATTTCGGTCTCAGAAGGGTATAACTTCAAAAGGAACTTCAGATTCTTTGAGAAAACTTGGTAAGGGCTCGGTGGCCATCTCTCATTTCAAAGTATATTGAGGTCTTTTAGTCCAAAAAAAAATGATTATAGAAATTGTCGAACTTTCAGACTGTCCAAGCAGTACATAAGACAGTGTTTAGGGCAATCCTCTTCAAAATCCAAAGTTCCGAGGGAAAACATCTTCTTTGTTGGTTTCATATGACAATGTAAAGAAAAGTTCTAATGCTGAATTTTCCGGAATTCATCAAGAGAACTTACGAAACGACGGCTTGCATATCGAAGGTGGGAAGGTCGAGTTGGCTGCTGCCGATACGCAGACACCGGCGCTTAAATACGGCTCTGCAGACCGGCCCGGCAGGACTGGTCCGGCCGCGTGCCGCTTCACGCTTTTTTGCCGTCGGTGCGTGTGAGGCGGCAGGCCTTGTGTCCACGAAAATGGTCCTCCCTCGGTGACTCGTCCTTGTTTTGCAACTTGTCCCTGAGCGGCTCTTAACAAGGTTTCTTCGACAGGTCCTTTTTTGATATTTTGAAAGGGCTTTTCAGTGGTTCACCAAATATTCATGGATGGGATCGACTAGACGGTGAACAAGAATTCTGAAAGCTGCAAGGAACTAGAAGCCCAAAAGTGTGGTTGATCAAGTTGAAATCATAGTCTTACGGCCCTTTGCCTCGTTCTTCTGCGCGTAGTTCATCCAGTTAAGCCATGACGAGCTCAGAATATAGCGGATCTTGTGCTGGAGCCCGGAGACCGTCCTCTGGGTGGAAGTCTAAAAATGAGAGGGATCACAGAAGAGTGAAGAAACAAAATATTTCATGAAAAATAAAATCAGAATAGACCTTGACAAATTCCGAATAACTCATTAAAATTACAAAAAATCTTTTTTTTTACTGATTTTTTTTTGTGTTTTTATCAGCTCCCTAGAGGAAGTATAATATACAAAAACTCCAGGATCCAAATATCTAACTGAAAATACGAAAAACCTCTTATTTTTCAAAAAAAAAGCCGAGAAAATTCAAATATACAGTTATATAAACAGCTCTTCGATCTACGTTTCTCAAAGCCTATAAAGTGACGTGAAATTTCAAGTGGATGTTCACTAAGATAACAGCTTCTCATTTTAAAATGACCTCGCAGATAATTTAATTTTTTTATTGTTTTTATGTCTTTAACAATGCGTCTACAGCGAGAGCTCTGCAGAGAAATTGAACTTTTTCTAAAAAAAATTTTTTTTGAATATTTATCAGTCATTCCGGGATGTTTGAAATTTCTTTACGAGTATGGAAGTGAATTAAATTAACTTTAAAAATCTCCTGGAGCCCTTCATATGCTATAATTTTTTTTCGAATTTAAAAAAACGTAAAAAAATAAAATTTCCTATATTTCTAAACTTTATTATTACAGCTCCACAATAACTTTTTTTCTTACGTTTCAAAAATAATATTAAAAAAAAAGCTTCGAAGATCTTGAATTGAAAAAAGAAATAGAAAGTTATAACGTATATTCCATTTTTCGCAATGAAACTGTTACTTTTCTCTGCGCCTTTCTCGTCTCTCGACGACTCTCTCAAATTGACGCGCTATTTTTTTATCTTTCTCTGACCTCGCGCGTGAGGGAACAGAGAGACGCAGACACTCGAAAACTTTCAGGTCACGGCGAACGGAGTACAGTCTATAGAGGACCTTTTTTGAGGAAAATGGCTGGGAAAACGTAGAAAAAAAAAGTAAATGTTTTAAAACCAAATATTTCGCTTCAATAAAAAAAAACAAAAGCAGACCTACTATAAATGATTTTTGATCTATCAATTTTTTCAAAGGTAGAAAAAAATGATCAAAAATTCTTTATTTTTCCGTACCTCTTCCTCAAAACGAAAGCCTTTCACCCTTCTTCCTTCCTTTTTCAACTTTTTTCATTTTTTTCTACTGTCCCATTTAACTGTTGCGTCTTGAGAATAAAAGTCGTCAGTTTTTTTCAAAACGGTTCCATCTTTGTTTGTGCTGTCTGTGCCTTTCGATCTTTCGGTCTTTTCACCTTGCTTTCTAATTTTAGGCCCTGTTTGGTCTTCTGCACCCTCCGAACATGGAAAAAAGACATGTTTCATTTGAAAAAGCCTTGCTGGCGGCAGCAAAAATTAGTGAAAATCAATATTTTCATAATTTTTTTAAATACACGTTTTCATGCATTTTTGGTTTTATTCTTAATAGTCTTCAATTGAAAGCAATGAGGAAGATTTATAAACTTCGAAAAAAAGACGTTTTTATTGAGTTTTTCGCATTTTGACCGACTCGCTTCTAGTTTTTCCTTGTTAATAATAATTTAAAGATTTTCATAGCATTTCAGTTTTATCTAAAAAAAATTTTGAACGAAAAGTGTTCAGGTCTTTTTTTTATAATGGCGCAATGAACCAATCAGAGAGCGAGCCACCCACAGAGCGTTTTCGAATGACGTCATTGTACTTGACATTCAAAACCTGATTTATATAACTCTCATTTTTCAAATTTTAAATTTCTTTTGATCCTCGACCTTCTTCAAGCTTTCTCCTTTCACTTCGTCCCATTTCACGAGAACAAAAACAAGAAAAGACGGTAAAGTCGTTGTTGAGAACAAAAAACGATTTTCAAGAAATATACAGAAAAAAAACGAAGCATTTTTCGAAAGTGCATGGCAAGATTCCTCTTAAGCCTTGACGCTCTTGGCCTTGTTGGATCCGATGAAGTAGGCGGCGGTCTGGAATGGGGCGTAGGCGGGGACGACTGCAGGAGCGGCGGCGACGGCGACTGGAGGCGCGGCAAGGACGCGAGCGCCGTTGGCGGCGGCGGCGGCGATGGCCGGAGCAGCGGCGATCAGAGGGCTCGCGGCCGCGACTGGAGCAGCGGCGACTGGGAGCGAAGGCCGGGAGCAGCTGCGACTGGGGCGTAAGCTGGAGCGGCGGCGACTGGGGCGTAAGCCGGGGCAGCTGCGACTGGGGCGTAAGCTGGAGCAGCTGCGACTGGGGCGTAAGCTGGAGCAGCTGCGACTGCTGGGGCCGCGGCGGCGCCGTACAAGGCTTGGTAGAAGGGCGAGTAAGAAGTCGCTGGCCAGGCGACGAACTGAGCGGTCGCGACGGCGGTCAAGGCGAGGAGGACTCTGCAAAATGAAGTTTAGAATTATTCTTTTGAGCTTGAGAATTTGTTTCCTTTCGATTTCGGAATGATCCCTCAGTATACAGTACATGTTTTTGTGGAGTTTGTATGAGCTAATCTTGTTCTGGTTTTTATTTCATTGGCTAGAAATGTGTCCAGTAATAATGAAGCTAGGGGTAAGAGATTTTATCGAGTTTAGTTCGATCAGAATCCTTATACGTAGTTTGGAACAGCTTTGAGCTACTCTCCTGTTTTTATTTTGCTTGGCTTGCAAGTTTTGATATTTTTAATAAATGAAGTGTAGTTTGAAAGTTCATATCTGATGTTCAAGAGAGTCATTGATTAATGAAATATTTCTGGATTCCCAAAAAAAAGCTGGAAAAGTCAATAACCTTTAGTGGGTCATAGGGTATAATTTCATAAGACTCAGGTTTCTGTTTAACATTTTAAGCTTCCACTGGTGTAGTCCTAGTTCAAACGTTTATGAAGACCACCTAGCTTCTCAAGAAAAACATTGATAAATCAAAAAAATATATATAAATATATATAAAAAAACGAACGCGATGCACTGCATGATCGGAGGAGGATGCTTCGGTCGAAGGTGTCTTTCCGGCGCCGCTTCCGCCGGTTTTATAGGTGCCGCCGGGGCGGAATCGACGCCTCGGGCAATCCCGGAGAACTGGTGCAGTTGCGTGAAGAATTTCGACAAACACCTGTCAAATTCTATGGCTTTATTGGTTAACCTCCCGGGGAGTAAATTCGCCCTGTCGCACTGTTTGCCCAATGATGAGAAGTTGCCGTCTTTCCAAAGTTCAGGTCGTGTTCCGTTCCGGAATTCTGGTTCACTGCTTTCATTGGGGAGTTCGAAATAGCTTTTCCAGAAGGTTAAGAAAATATTCTTGGAAATTCAGTAGGGTGATAGTTCTTCATTTTTCACTTTTGAAAAAAAATTCTGATTTCATTTATGCCAGTTATGTTTTACCTGAACAGAAGGCCTTTTTTTCTCGCTTTCTAAAATTTTCTGGAAATTATCTCCTTCGAATTCCTGAGAGTTTCTTTCTACGATTTTATAATTTTTGTGAGAAAAATCGTTAAATTTTTGGCTTTTTTATTGCGAATTTCGATGGTTTCTGAAGAATTTGAAGTTCCTTTTCTTAATTCATGGTAATTTTGAAGATTTTGAGGCCTTTAGAATGATTATCAGGTGCGTAGAGAGCTTACTTGGCAAGCTTTTGAGAAAGGAAACCTTTTTAAAAATAAATTTTTTGAAAGATTTTGATCACTTCTTGAGTAATTTTTCAAAGTTTTCAACACTTTTTTTGACCGCGACGCTTTGAGCCATTCCAAATGCGACCACGATTTTTCCGATTTTTTCAGTAGAACTCTTTATAACCTTCCAAGTCCAAGTTTTCCCAAAACGAGACAAAACCTGAACGGTTTCTCTCACTTGAAAGTGTTCTTTGTTCTGGCCCATCGGATCTTGAGGACCTTGAAAAAAATGGAAAAAAATGATAAGATCTGATATCAAGTGTGAAGAGCCGGTTGATCTATTTTTTGAACAAAAAAAAAAGAAAAAGAAGAAGAAAATGTTCCCAATTGGACTCTAGTCTATTTTTACGTTGTTTGCATGTTTTTCGACTCTTCTTTTTCTGTTTGTTTTTCGAATCAGCCGCTAAAAAGCTCGGAACAAGGACACTGTTGTTGCGAAAATGAGAGAACATTTTGAGAAGGGTAAAAAAAAAGAATTTTCAAAATTTCTGAAAAAGGGGAAGATTTATTTTTTAAACTGTTTCGCCACTGGAAATAAGTCAATTAAAAAAAACTAAATATATATATTTTCCGATTTTTTTATAAAATCCTTGACAAAGACTTGATAAAAAAATTGAAAAAAATCTCAGTATTTCTAATTTTCAATGTTGATCCTTTGCACTAGTTGGAAAAGTTTTGAGTGGCCACTAAAGGGTTTTGACTTTTCAGTGGTCACTACAGTAGTCAAATTAGTGGCCACTTAAGAGGTTGAAAATTAGTGGCCTTTATAGAGATCTAAGTGCTACTATTAGACCACTAAAAATTTTAGTGGCCACTTTAGGGGTCAATGGATTATCATAACTGGTCCAATTTGTTTGTTTTAAAGTTATCAGGGTTCCTGGAAGGGATACTGGGTGAAAAACTACTGATATGGGCACTTGAACGGAAAATAGTGGCTTCTACACTGCGACCCATAATTATAGACCCACCCTAATTTCTCCGATTTTAAGAAAGATTGAAAAACTTTGAGCCACCAAACTTTTTTTGTGATAAACCTTGTTGATAAGGAACATAATCATATCATAATTATCAATCACCCAGTTGAAAAAGTTTTTTTCAAGATACGAGAAAAATCTGATTTTTGACCGACCCAGAATTATAGACCCACTATAAGTAATCAACAAAAATTCATTTCACAAAGTCAACAAAGTATAACAAAAAGATTAATTAATAATGTGTGATGCCTCCTTGTTTCTGAGCGACTCCGAAAATCCTGTTCGGCATGCTGCCAACGAGTGATTGCAGCAGTGACTTGTCCAAACCATCCCACTCGGCACGAAGCGCTCTTTTCAGATCGTTGACCGTTGTATACTGCTTGGCATTCGCGTAGACCCTTCGTACAAGGACTGACCATAAATTCTCTACAGGGTTGAGGTCAGGACTGCACGCGGGCCAGTCCAGAAGAACCACGTTCTTGGCCGCAAACCAAGCCAATGTGGAGTTGCTCGCGTGAACAGATGCATTGTCTTGTTGGTAAATCATATTAGCACGTCGTCGGCGACGGAGATAGGGCAGGAGATGCTGGGCAAGCAGTTGCTGGTAGTCTTGCGAATTCGTTCTGGTCCCAATAAAAGAAAGAACTACCGTCCCGTTGCCGCAGAAAGCCGCCCAGACCATGAGGCTGCCGCCGCCGAAGTTTCTCTTGGAGAAGTACATCGGATCTTTCCTCAAATATCTCCAGTAGTAAGCGTACCCATCTGGCCCATCAAGATTGAATTTCTTCTCGTCGCTGAAGATGATCTGAACAGAAAATTGGGAATCATAAGGTGATAGAAAACATTGATACCTTATTCCAAACCGTGGCCATGTTAGAGCGTGCAAACTGGAGCCGTTCATTCTTATGGCGTTGCTGTAGACGAGGTGCTGCCTTCATTGGAGTATTCACAAGTCGACCGGACCGATGAATTGTTCGTAAGATGGTGTTCTTCGAGACGTTTTCAGGAATTTCGGATCTGATTTGGTTGGCGGACTTCGTAGATTTTGATGCTTTTCGACAGACGTCTCGTTCAGCTTGAACCGATAGCAGCCTGTGCCGTCCAGAATGTATTGCTGTGCCGTATTCTTGCGGATTCCTGGCATAACGGTCAACAGTTCGTCTTGAGCGACCCGTTTGACGAGCGATTTCCCGAAGGGACAAGCCGTTGTTGAGTAGAGCATCGATTACCGCTTTTTCGGTATTATCAAGTTGAGTAGATTTAGGCATTATGGCTTATAGTGATACACGAGGACTTTTTCTCTTATATACCACTGAAAAAAACAGGAAAAACGTGTTACCTGAAACGAAAACTCGGAAAACTCTGGGGTGGGTCTATAATTCTGGGTCGGTCAAAAATCAGATTTTCTCGTATCTTGAAAAACTTTTCAACTGGGTGATTGATAATTATGATATGATTATGTTCCTTATCAACAAGGTTTATCACAAAAAAAGTTTGGTGGCTCAAAGTTTTTCAATCTTTCTTAAAATCGGAGAAATTAGGGTGGGTCTATAATTATGGGTCGCAGTGTATAGAGGTAGGTTTAGTGGCCACTTTAGTGTCCTCTCCAAGTAGTCCTTGGCGAGCCTCTCTAGTGGCCACTAAAAATTTTCCCAATAGTCTTTCAAAAAAGTCCTTTAGTCTAAAGGCTATAGAGGGAGGTGAAAGGGTCCCTAGAGGGGAATCTTCGAGAGTCGCAAAGGTTGGCCCCCCATCGACCCCCCTGGCGTTTCTAAAAACGTCGCCTTCGAATAATGATAATCGGAAAAGTCGCAGTTTCGAATAAAAATGATCCTTTGCTCTTAGCGCTATTCTAGTCGTTCAAAAGGACCCTGCAACCGTTCCGATCTTCGGTCAACGCCGCTGAAAAAGGACGTGTCCTGGTGCAAGCCTCGGAAAAAAACCGAGCAAACAACGGCCGGAGGTTCCGGACGGCAAAAAAAAATGCAAGATTCGGACGAGTTGGCTGTACTCGGCAAGGCTTTTCGTGTGGAGAGAAGAAAAAATCGGGACCTTATCACTTGATTTGTTTGCTAGGAGAGATATAAAAAACGTGTTCTGCTCTTTTGAACTGTAGTTTGGTTGAGATAGTCCATTCGCCGTGACTTAACAGTTTTTTTTTTTAAATTTTTAGGATCTGAAACTTTTTTCCGTCCAAGCATGGGTTTATGAGAAAAACCATGAACTATGGATGAAAAAAATCACAGGTATTTTTTTGTTTTAAAAAAATTATTCTTGCTTGGTTCAATCACGAAAGATTGTTGGATTCAGGTCAATTAAAAAACGGGGTTTCAGGTGAAAGCATTATCTTATATAGTTTTTCTTTGCGACTCAAACTGTGTACTCAAAAAAATTACAGATGTGACCACTTTTGAAAAAAAAAAGCGATTTTACTTTCCCGCCTTTAATTTTGAAAAAAAGCTTTGGATCGGTGCTCAGACAACGGATTACAGTAGCCGTACACGAAGTTTACATGAAATTTATTGAAAGAAACACAAAATCTTTTATTTTGAGCCGCCAATATTTGGTTTTTTTCGAAACTTAAAACCTGACCACAATCCAGAATTCCACTCATTTTGGACATTTCATTTAAATAACCGTTCATGAGAACGAAATTTCATACAAATGAACGGTCATTTGAGATTTTGCTTGTTTTATTAAACTTTCTTTTTACTCTCATAATTTTTTTTCATTCGATTGCTCTTTTTTGTACTTTGATTCAAATAACTGCTTTCTTCAAGAGTTTCTTTTCTCATGGTTATCCTAGAGTTTTATCTTGGTTAAAGTTGTTCGAGGACAATAGCAATCTTGAATGACGGAGAGCAGACATTCTTTCCCTACACAGATTGAATAAACGGCTCCCGACTGATTTATTCTAACACCAATCAAGCGAATTAATCTCCAGAAGTGGCTTCAGAACAGAGTCGCTTGAACTCCTTCACCTTCTCTTGCAAGTCAGTCGGAACTCTTCTCTGGAAAAATATTTGAGTACAAAATTAATGATTGCTTTTTAAAGGCATAGGGGCAGTAAAAAACGGTGTTTCAGTTCAAAGCAGTACTTTGTAGAGCTTTTGATTGCGAATCAAACGGTAAACTTGGAAATGTACCAAACTTCCTAGTTTTGAAGAAAAAATAATTCAAAGTCGGAGAGAGGAAAGCTTGAGTTCCCGCGAAAAGGGCGCTTTGCAGTAAAGTTGCTCTATGGACAACACGTTTCGCCATTTTTCGAATTTTTACTGATCAAATGTTTTTTTCGCGTCGGCGCATCTCAACATTATTTACACGTTAGCTACTTTCCGTACGATCCTGAGAAATTTGAAATTCCGAACCTTGATATGATGCAAAAATGCGAGATACAAGAAGCCAAACTGTTGCATGCTATCTACGGCCAACGGTCGTTTCAACCGAATCTGTTGCACGATTTCTTTCATCTAAAGCTCAAAAGCCGCTTTTTCTGAGATTCTCGGAGGCACAAACGTTTGGCTCTACGCCATCTTGCAAATGTTTCAAAGCGACCGACAGAGCCAACAAGGTTCCCGCTCTGCCGGCGCCGTTCAGAGACACGATTGCAGTTTTCTGAATTTCAATAATCAATGTGGAAAATGATTGCGAGGGAAGTCTTACTTCGTAGCCGTGGTGAATTTGGTTGGCGGTGATGAGAGCAGGTCTGAAGTTGGAAGGACCCAGAAGAGGGTCCCAATAACCATGGTGGTGAACCTGGAGACAAAATCATGTGACAAATATGTCAAACAATCGCCTAAAGTTCCCAAAAAAAAATAGAAAAAACCGTAGTCATCACGGCGTTGGAACAGCCTTCAGGGAGCACTTCAATCGAATATTTTATAATGTCCGGATTATCTCTCGAAGTCTGGAAAAGTTTTTTTCTTCGAGGAAGCGAAAAACTCGTCGACCTTGCGGTTGTTGATGAACATACTGCCAAAGTACTGGTAGGCGCCAGTGTTCAACGGGAAAAGTTCGCCAAAGCGGAGAGGCGTCTCCTCGCTTTTGCACAAAAGATGAATTGCGGTTATTTGTTCCTGAGAAGGCTGAATGGATGAAAAACGATAAAAATCGAGTTAACATGAAAAATCATCCGCCAGAATTCTTCGACAGCAGACGGCTCGCTGAAAACAGGGACTTGTGTGAGGATGACCGAGGGAGAGAACTGAAAATGACAATTTTCTGTTATCTCAAGCTTGAGAAGCCTTGTGGCTGAAATAAATGACCTAACTTTCGCGCTTTAAAGAAAAGTTGTGCTCGGACCTTGGTAACGCAAACCGTTTCTGAAAATTTATAGTGGCCACTTTAGCGACATTATAGTCTGTGTGTCAAGACTTGAAATTTCACGGAACGACATTCCGCTGTTCCGCTGCGTGCGTTCGCGAAGCGTCGAATCTAGGTCACGTTTTCAATTGATTTTCATTGCTGTGGGAGCACATGAAAGTAGAGTACCTTGATAAAAGAAAAAAAAATAAAAGCGCGACTAAGGTTGCAAAAGCGTGCAGCGGCACAGCGGAATGTCGTTTGGTGAAATTCCAAGTCGTGGCACATCGACTATACACAGGCTATAGCACTCTTAGGTGATCCTCAAATTGCTCACAATCGTCCTAGGCGCGTCCGGATCGCGTTGCCGAGGTCCGAGTGAACAGACAATTAAAAAAAAAGATGATCCTTTTTCGTTACAGTGATCTCTCAGAAGTTGACATTTTTACCAGCGAAAATTCACTGACCCCTTCCAAACTGACAACCGTTGCGTTGATATAGTCTTGTTTACACATTTGAAGAACAACACGATTCGCGTCGAAACAAGGATACTTCTAAAGATGTTTCAATGCAAAAATGTTCGCAACAATTCACTTCAGTTTGGTTGCGGTTCATGTTGGCTGCCCAGATCTTGCACTGTTCCAGGGGAGCTTGGATCGCCCTGAGGTCCTCGTACTGCGTCTTATAAGTCACGATAGCTGCAAAGAGGTAGAAGACGTCGAAATATTCCCAAAGAACTTACCCAGGTGCTCGACAAAGTCCCTGGCGGCGTTGTTCTTCTTCTGGTCGTCAGGGTTGAAAGTCGCCGGCTGAACGTTGTCGGGAGAATGGGCCGTCGGCGGCCCGACGTTGCAGGAACTGGGGACCTTCCTCAGAGTCTTCTTCTGTGTATGCAGACTATTGTCCGTGGCTGAAAGGTAAATGAAGGATTTAGGAAAAGACAGAAAATGAGCAAAACTTGTGATACAAAGATTTATAGCCAATCCATACCGACTTGAAAGGCAAGGGAGGCGGGGAAGAGGGCGGAACGCGTAACGTGTGCAGACGCGGCTCGAGTTCAATTCAAGCGCAACCGAATATTTGGAGAGATCGTTTAGCGCTCTTTTCCTTACTTTTTTATTCGTTCTTGATTTTTTTATTTCCTTTGTGCAAAAAAAAGTAGTATAATAGATACAAAAAGAACAAAAAACGAGCTATCCAAATTGTCGCTGGCGGCTGAATTGAACTCGTGCCAAGAACCGCGTACGCACACGCTACGCGTTCCGCCTTCCTTTTCAAGTCGAGAAAACTTGACTATATTGATGATTTTTTCTAGTTTCGAAGCTTTTCTCAACCTCTTCAACGAAATCATTTCTGACTGCTCGGATCTCTGTCCAGCTTTTTATTTTTCTGAACTTTGCGCAGGATGGAGCCGATCATAGAACTTCAAAAATCTTGGGAGTTACATTTTTTCTTATGTTGTTTCAATGTTCTCTTGGCCGTGGTGCTGGTCGTTGAATCCTGCTTGCCCTGAATATTGAGCTTTTCATTATTTTCCACAAATTAAGAAAAAACCGGTGGTTCGTTTTTAGATTGGCGATGTCTCCTCGTTTTTGCTGCTGCCGGCGGCTCCCTTGATTTTTTGTCCATCTCGCTTTTTGATTTTATTTAGTTCTCAAAAAGAGTTTGACATGAAGTTTCGAAAAGAGTCACTTACAGAAAAAAGAGAGGTCCGTTGTGGTGGAGAGCTCGGGTTGGGAATGAACGGAGAGAGGAAAGACGCACGCGTTGACCTTACGTCCATTTTTATCTTGCTGTATTATTATGTTTTATATTCGGTTTTTTGTGGAAAGAAAGTCTAAAGTCAGGAGCTCACTCAGGGCAGGCTCGTGGGTCTGCTTGTAACTTTCTAGTTTTTGAGAAACACGGCGTTTTTTCGACGAAGCCACGCCCACTTTTTCTCCGTAAAGTGTAGTGTGTCGTGTGCATGCACTGCGTCGCTTTCGCGCAGAAAATTGCGTTTATAGTCTGTTCAGATTTTGAATGCCAAGTCGTCGCTCAAGCTCCATCCCTATTGACGCGATAAACCAATCAGAGAGCGAGCCATCCACAGAGTGTTTTTGAATGACGTCATTGCACTTGACTTAAAAAATCTGAACAGACCATATGTAGAGAAATTTCCATTTCTCTCAAAGACCTCTGGCAATACGGCGGCCTGCGCCTTTAATATGCCGTGTTATTTACGCTCTTAGAGCCGAAATCCCATGACGTCACGTGGGACAGGGAGTAATTTGGCTCCGCCCACCGTGTTTTTGGTTTCGCATTTCCTTCCACTAATAAAAACGCCGTGAAAAGGACACCTCAAAGTTGAAGAAAACCCTCAAAATGCATTAAAATAGGCTATTTTGGGCCTTGAAGCCCTCATTTCTCGACAAGTTTGCAGGTTGAACTTTTCAGAATTCTGGTACATTAAGAAGGGTTCTGAGTTATTTTTTTTTTTGAATTATTACCGCGTGAGTCAATCGCGAAAGCTTTTTGGGATTCAGGCCAAGTTAAGAAGGTTGCCATCAAATTGAAGAAGCTCAGAACCTCCTATTTGAGGCCGCCTTTTTACTCACACATTCTGGCCAACCGGAAATGGTCTCTCCTCGACGTTGCCGTACTACCCAGTTTCGACGTTGGATCCGACCATCGACTCGTTCGCGCCAAGGTCCGTCTGAACCAGAAGTTCCTGAAGAAAGACTACCACCAGCCATCGAGACCGAGAAGACCAACCTACGACATCACCACGTTGGAGGAGAAGATCTCGGAGCACGACTGGCAGCTTCTCGACGACCCGACAGCCGACTACGAATCCCTCTGCGATGGCCTCATCAGATGTGCAGAACCTGCAGCTCGACCAACCTCGTCTCTACCGCCGCGACTCGACCAACGAGCGAAAGATCTGCTGCGAAGAAGAGGAGAAGTCAAACGAGACCCGCAGGCCACGCACCTAGAACGTCTGACGATCGACAAAGCCTGCAGAATGGCCGTGCAAGAGTCTCTAGCCAACCGACGCAGGAGTGCACTTCTTCAGACAGCTGAGAAACGTCAAAGCCTCAAGAAGAAGAAGTTCGAGCTCGTCGACGAGCGAACGGTGATGACAGCACTGAAGGACGAGAACGGCCAGCTGAAGACGTCAAGGAACGAGATGGAGCGCCTGACGGTCGACTTCTACACGGAACTCTTTCGAAGCGACGTTCCCGTCCCCAGAACACCAACGCCGCCACCAGAAGATGAACCCCCGATCCTTCCCGAAGAAGTCAAGTACGCCATCAGGAAGCTGAAGGTCGGAACGGCCGCAGGACCCGACAACATCTCATCCGAACTGCTGAAGGCTGGAGGAGACTCGCTGTACCGACTACTTGCCCGGCACTTCTCCAAGTACCTGAGCGAAGCCTCTATTCCTGAACAATGGAAAAACATCCAAGACGATCCTCATTCCGAAGAAGGGCGACCTCACCGACCTGAACAACTTCAGACCGATCTCCCTCTTATCGGTCGTCTACAAGTTGTTCACCAAGGTCATCGTCAACAGACTAGAGAAGCAACTCGACAACTTCCAACCGCCCTCGCAGGCTGGCTTCCGACGCAACTACTCTTGCCTCGACCACATCCACGCCTTAACACAGGTGGTGGAACGGCACCGGGAGCACCAGATGCCACTTGCGTTGGCCTTCGTCGACTACTACAAGGCCTTCGACAGCGTGGAGATCAACGCCGTCTTGAATGCTCTTGCCTCCGCCGGAGTCGCCACGAAGTACGTCGAGCTGATCGCCAACAGCAACGAGGGAACGTCCACGACCATCCAGCTGTTCGACAAGAAGCTTTCGATCCCCATCAGGAAAGGTGTTCGCCAGGGAGATACCATCTCCCCCAAGTTGTTCTCCACGGCACTAGAAGACGCGATGCGCCAACTTGGATGGGACGAAGAGCACGACTGGGAAGACAGTACAGACATCAGAGGCATCAACATCGACGGCAAGGTCCTCACAAACCTCCGCTTCGCCGACGACATCGTACTCTTCTCAAGCTCCACCACCGAACTGTCCTCCATGCTGAACGATCTGGACGAAGTCGGCAAGAAGATCGGCCTTAAGATGAACGTCAAGAAGACGCAGTGGATGAAGAACCGCTTCTGCGACCAAGGCAAAGTCACCCTTGAGGGCCGCGACCTTCAGGAGGTCACATCCTACATCTACCTTGGCCGGGAAGTAAACATGGTGAACGACCTGCAAGCAGAGATCGGCAGACGCAAACGCGCTGGATGGGCCGCCTTCAACTCCATCAAAGAAGTCACCAGTCAGCTGAAAGACCCGAAACTGCGAGCTCACATCTTCGAAGCGTCGATAATCCCTGCCATCTCCTACGGTACCGAAGTTTGGCCTGACACGAAGAAAAAAATGCAACCGCCCTACGAACTTCCTACCGCGCACTGGAACGTGCTCTCATCGGCACCACTCGCTTCGAGCAGTGGAAAAAAGAACAGAGGAGCACAGACCTCCGTCAACTATCCCAAATCCGGGATCTAGAAGAGCACATACAACGCGGGAAACATCGCTGGGGCGGCCACGTCATCCGCAGACAAGACGACCGCTGGTCCACGAGATTAACACACTGGATTCCGAGAAACATCAAGCGCCCACTCGGGCGCCCACCGACCAGTTGGACGGACTACTTCCGCAAGAACATCAGTCAGCCAGGCCGCCACTGGATGACCGTCGCGCAAGACCGAGCCGCCTGGAGAACGTGTGGTCCACGCTGAGAACATCAGCGAAGATGGACCATCAAAGTATCAAAGTAAGTAAGTTTTACTCACAAAGTGTAGTTTTGAAGTTTAATATAAGAAGCTTTTGGAAGTAATGCTTTTCCCCGCTGTAGACCATATCTTTTTCGAAAATGGAAATAGCACTCTCAGAGCAAACAATAATTTATTCGCCAATATATACAAAAAGGCAGAGATTCGTTGCACAACTTGGCGTACACACCATGAGGAACCGTCTCGAAAGTGGAAAACTTCATGAGTCATGAAGAGATTACTCGTTTAGTTCCTGAAAAATGGAGAGTTTAGGTGGAAGAAGAGCAGGAGGAACTGACATTTTAGACTTGTTGGAGCCGATGAACATGGCCGACCGGGCGAAAGGAGCGTAAGCCGGGACGAATCGCGGAGCCGCAAGTACTGGAACTGGAGCAGCGAAGACTGGGGCTGGGGCGACTGGAGCGACGACCGGCAAACGGAGAGGAGCCAGGACCGGCGACGGAGCGTAGGCGTAGGCTGGACCGCGAACGACGGCTGGAGCAGCGACTGGGAGAGCTGGAGCAGCGAAGACGGGAGCTGGAGCAGCCAAAACTGGAGCTGGAGCAGCAAAGACGGGAGCTGGAGCAGCCAGAACGGGAGCTGGGGCAGCGAAGACTGGCGGCGCGGCGGCGACTGGCGCGACTCCTCCGTTGAGAGGTGCCGACAGGACCGGCGAAGAAGCAGCTCCGAACAAGGACTGGTAGAACGGCGAGTAGGACTGGGCCGGCCAGGCGGCGAATTGAGCCGAGGTGGCGATCGCGAGGCCGATGGCGACGAACATCGAGCTGTAAGAAAGTAGTAAGTAATTTCTTCATGAAATATTTTGAGAGGATTAATTCAAAAATTTCAAAATGCTGAATGAATTATTTTTCAAGTTCATGTTTCTGAAAGAGGCCCGAAAAAAATAGGAAAAATTCTGAGGTTAAAAAAAGCAGCCGAGATCATTCAAGAGCACATCGTTGGAAAAAAATCTTCAGTTTCGAATTTTTCGGCACATATAGAGCTTGAAAGTTATACAATATGAAAAAAAGAAAAAGCTTTTTTTCAAAAATAAATTAATAAAGCATTATAAAAAAATTAAAAAGCAGAAGGCATTCAAGTTCAGTTAAACAAGGATCTATTAGTTGCAGAAAGATGAGAATTTTTGAGTCAAGCTAAAAAAATATTCAAAAAAATTGAAAAAAATGGAGCTCAATGAGAACTTAGAGAAGGTGAACAACACTGTAAAAAAAAATATGAATTTTGAAGGGTTTTGTTGAAATTTGAATTCAACTTACTATAGCTATTTTCTAAGCCGGATATATTTCTCAAATTGTTTGTCTAACGCTAACGATGAATAAGACATAATAAAAACTTGAGAGAGTACTTCATAAACGAAAACGGAAAACTGTAGAAACTCACATGGTTTGCATGGCTGACTGTGGAAGGTGTACGGAAGTTGTTGGATGAGACCAAGTGGAGAAGCTTCAGACCATCTCCGCTTATATACACCTTGAGATTTGCGAGTCAAAAAGGGGGGGTTGGTCCTGTCTCTCGGAGGCAAAAAGAGATCAGTTCTGCCTTCAGGCGGGTCCGCCTCCCGCCATGTCGCTTCTTTGCCCGTCAGCCGGTCCACAGGGCCGTCCCAAGACAAATACGGACAATGCTACTGCTTCCGAGACCTTTTTTCTCGGCGGCCGTGGAAAAAGCGTCAAAAGTCGGGTGATATATAAGCGGTGATGGACCGAAAAGACGCCACCAACGAGTCACTTCCCTTCAAATCACCATGCAGACCATGTGAGTTGATCTGAGGCTTGAAATTCATTTTAAGAGTTTATCCTTCTTGATAATTCATTTTATTCTGATGGAAGTTCTAAGCTTTTTCCCGATTCGTGGATTTTCAGATTTACAAAGATAGATTATTTTTTTCGATTTTACTTGGTCCATTCAAAAAAAGTTTTTTTGAAGTTTTTTTATTCATGAAGTTTATTTTTTTCATGAACCCCAAGACTTTTTCCGGAAAGATCCAACCTGAAAGATCTCCAGAAAAATTTTTGGCGATATCGCGCTTTTTTTGCTCGAATAAGACCTTTCTTTAACTTCACAAGAGAATTTTGGCTTCGAAAAAAATTCGCTCAAAAAAATTTTTCAAAAACCTCAGATTTTTTTAAACTTGCGTTCAGGTTTTATCAAATTTTATACTCTCTTTTTTTAAATTTGCATAGAAAAAGCATCAGGTTTTGTGAGCTTCTTGGAATCTTGTCGATTTTATGCCTTTCAAGGTACGCATTTCGAGTTATAAGGATGTTTACCTGATCAGAAAATCCAGCTCTCTGAGAAGTCTCATACTCATTTTCACATTTCTCCTTGCAGCTCGATGTTCGTCGCCATCGGCCTCGCGGTCGCCACCTCGGCTCAATTTGCCGCCTGGCCGGCCCAGTCCTACTCGCCGTTCTACCAGTCCTTGTTCGGAGCTGCTTCTTCACCGGTCCTGTCGGCACCTCTCAATGGAGGAGTCGCACCAGTCGCCGCCGCGCCGCCAGTCTTCGCTGCCCCAGCTCCCGTTCTAGCTGCTCCAGCGCCAGTCTTTGCTGCTCCAGCCCTTCCAGTGGCGCGAGCTCCAGTCTTCGCTGCTCCAGCTCCAGTATTTACTGCCCCAGCTCCAATTCTTGCTGCTCCAGCCCCAGTCCTGGCTGCTCCTCGACTCGTCCCAGCGTACGCTCCTTTCGCCACCTCCGCCATGTTCATCGGCTCCAACAAGGCCAAGAAGTTCGTTTCAACCCTTGGAATATTTCATTCTTCATTTTATTTCAGGAACTAAACGACCTCGCCATGAAGAACTTCCTTCAAAAGGCAACATTTTTTCTGAAACCTTCTTGCTGTATATATCGGCGAATAAATTATTATTTGCATCATTTGTTCACTTTTGTTTCAAAAAGTTGATGCCACAAAGAAGATTTTCAGAGTTTGTCTCGAGAACTTTCGAATTTTTCTAGAAGAAGGAAAAGTTTCATATCCTTTATTTTTGACGACTTGGTACTTCTCTGCGCCCTCCTCGTCTCTCTGCGACCCTCTCATGTTGGCGTGCTATTTTCATGTTTCTCTAACCTAGCCGGTGAGAGAACAGAGAGACGCAGACACTTCAAAAGTCTTGGAGGACTGATTATATATTCACTATCTATAGAAAAATTAAAACACAAATGATAATACTTCTGAAACTTGAGAAAAAGGTCTATTCTATCGAAAAAAAGATAATGAATTCCGCTTTTTAAAGTTGAATCAAAGTTTTGTGCGTAAAAGAAAGCGTTCCTCTTTTCAAAGCATCAAGAAAATATGGGCACTTCAAAGTTTTTTAAAGGATCACCTTAAAAAATGAATTTGGCCAACGAAAAATAGCAAGGGTGGGCCTTAAATCCGTAAAGACTTCATTAAATTTTCATTATCTTTTTTACCTGGTTCGGATTTACCCAACTTACTTACTTTGATACTTTGATGGTCCATCTTCGCTGATGTTCTCAGCGTGGACCACACGTTCTCCAGGCGGCTCGGTCTTGCGCGACGGTCATCCAGTGGCGGCCTGGCTGACTGATGTTCTTGCGGAAGTAGTCCGTCCATCTGGTCGGTGGGCGCCCGAGTGGGCGCTTGATGTTTCTCGGAATCCAGTGTGTTAATCTCGTGGACCAGCGGTCGTCTTGTCTGCGGATGACGTGGCCGCCCCAGCGATGTTTCCCGCGTTGTATGTGCTCTTCTAGATCCCGGATTTGGGATAGTTGACGGAGGTCTGTGCTCCTCTGTTCTTTTTTCCACTGCTCGAAGCGAGTGGTGCCGATGAGAGCACGTTCCAGTGCGCGGTAGGAAGTTCGTAGGGCGGTTGCATTTTTTTCTTCGTGTCAGGCCAAACTTCGGTACCGTAGGAGATGGCAGGGATTATCGACGCTTCGAAGATGTGAGCTCGCAGTTTCGGGTCTTTCAGCTGACTGGTGACTTCTTTGATGGAGTTGAAGGCGGCCCATCCAGCGCGTTTGCGTCTGCCGATCTCTGCTTGCAGGTCGTTAACCATGTTTACTTCCCGGCCAAGGTAGATGTAGGATGTGACCTCCTGAAGGTCGCGGCCCTCAAGGGTGACTTTGCCTTGGTCGCAGAAGCGGTTCTTCATCCACTGCGTCTTCTTGACGTTCATCTTAAGGCCGATCTTCTTGCCGACTTCGTCCAGATCGTTCAGCATGGAGGACAGTTCGGTGGTGGAGCTTGAGAAGAGTACGATGTCGTCGGCGAAGCGGAGGTTTGTGAGGACCTTGCCGTCGATGTTGATGCCTCTGATGTCTGTACTGTCTTCCCAGTCGTGCTCTTCGTCCCATCCAAGTTGGCGCATCGCGTCTTCTAGTGCCGTGGAGAACAACTTGGGGGAGATGGTAACTCCCTGGCGAACACCTTTCCTGATGGGGATCGAAAGCTTCTTGTCGAACAGCTGGATGGTCGTGGACGTTCCCTCGTTGCTGTTGGCGATCAGCTCGACGTACTTCGTGGCGACTCCGGCGGAGGCAAGAGCATTCAAGACGGCGTTGATCTCCACGCTGTCGAAGGCCTTGTAGTAGTCGACGAAGGCCAACGCAAGTGGCATCTGGTGCTCCCGGTGCCGTTCCACCACCTGGGTCAAGGCGTGGATGTGGTCGAGGCAAGAGTAGTTGCGTCGGAAGCCAGCCTGCGAGGGCGGTTGGAAGTTGTCGAGTTGCTTCTCTAGTCTGTTGACGATGACCTTGGTGAACAACTTGTAGACGACCGATAAGAGGGAGATCGGTCTGAAGTTGTTCAGGTCGGTGAGGTCGCCCTTCTTCGGAATGAGGATCGTCTTGGATGTTTTCCATTGTTCAGGAATAGAGGCTTCGCTCAGGTACTTGGAGAAGTGCCGGGCAAGTAGTCGGTACAGCGAGTCTCCTCCAGCCTTCAGCAGTTCGGATGAGATGTTGTCGGGTCCTGCGGCCGTTCCGACCTTCAGCTTCCTGATGGCGTACTTGACTTCTTCGGGAAGGATCGGGGGTTCATCTTCTGGTGGCGGCGTTGGTGTTCTGGGGATTTACCCAAAGGTGAACCTAAAAGGTCAAAACGTAAAAGAAAGGAAAAATATAGTCAGTTTGTGCGACTTGACATTTTTCAAGTGTCTGCGTCTCTCTGTTCCCTCACCGGCGAGGTCAGAGAAACGTGAAAATAGCACGTCTACATGAGAGACGTCGAGAGACGAGGAGGCCGCAGAGAAGTCCTGCCCGATGCATTCACCGGAAACGGACAATACGGTTTTCAAAATTGATTATATCGGAATCTTTTTTCAATTGCCTAATGGGTAATTTAGAATATCCACAAAAAAATTAGAGACTATTTATTTAAAACTGATAAAAAGTTTTTGTTATAATTTTCTTCTCCCTTCTCAATAAATTCAATTCTCCCGTGTTGGTTTTTAAATTTTAAAAAAACAGCTAAATCATAATTTTATCACTCAATTTTTGAGTTGAATCCTGTTTCTTATTTCTTTATTTTTCATTCTTACTCTTGGTTCTGGCTAGCAATAATTAATGTTTCAAAAAATTTTTGAAACCCGAAATGAATCCAATGAAATCCAATGTTTTGCTAATAATCTCAAAAAAACAACATTCAATCAATAATTTATTCGTCAATATTTACAACATTGATCGGAAGAAAAACAATTGGCGTACACGCCATGGAGAACCGTCTCGACGTTTGTAGAAACCTTCATGTGTCATGAAGAGATTACTCGTTTAGTTCCTGAAAAATGGAGAGTTTAGGTGGAAGAAGAGCAGGTAGAGCTAACATTTTAGCCTTGTTGGAGCCGATGAACATGGCCGACCGGGCGAAAGGGGCGTAAGCCGGGACGAATCGCGGAGCTGCCAGAACTGGGGCTGGAGCAGCAAGAACTGGAGCTGGAGCAGCGAAGACTGGGGCTGGGGCGACTGGAGCGACGACCGGCGAACGGAGAGGAGCCAGGACCGGCGACGGAGCGTAGGCGTAGGCTGGACCGCGAACAACGGCTGGAGCAGCGACTGGGAGGGCTGGAGCAGCGAAGACGGGAGCTGGAGCAGCCAAAACTGGCGCTGGAGCAGCAAAGACTGGAGCTGGAGCAGCCAGAACGGGAGCTGGGGCAGCGAAGACTGGCGGCGCGGCGGCGACTGGCGCGACTCCTCCGTTGAGAGGTGCCGACAGGACCGGCGAAGAAGCAGCTCCGAACAAGGACTGGTAGAACGGCGAGTAGGACTGGGCCGGCCAGGCGGCAAATTGAGCCGAGGTGGCGACCGCGAGGCCGATGGCGACGAACATCGAGCTGCAAGGAAATCGATGAAAATAAGAGTGGAGGTTTTGGTAAAAGCTCGGAAGGTTGCCTTCTTCGAGGTCATTTTCAAAAAGGAGATGAAAAATTTTATTTCGTAGCCCCTCCGAAGTCTCTTTTTACAGTCATTTTTCACAGTTCGTTTCAAAAGTCTTAGTTAAAAGAGAGCTTAGAGGAAGCTCAAAAAGGCTTGAGGTCTTAGTTAATCAAGATAAGTAACTCACATGGTCTGCATGGTTGGCTGGGAAGATGTGTCTGGAAATTCGTTAGTGTTTCTTTCCGCGTTCCTCGTCGCTTATGTACTCGGCGCGGCACACGCCTTCCCGCAGGCGCATCTTAGAAAAAAACGGCAACCTTTTTCCGCAGGAGGCTGGTCCACAACCACGGAAATCAACTGATTTCGACCGTCACCCAAGACACGCCGTTTCAGCATGTTTTCCCGGCTGTTTGCGTGTGATGTACGCAAACACGCGGCCTTTGTGTTCGACTCGGACTGCGCAATTCGCGAGTTTTGGCCGCGTGCCCGAGCGAGATGGACAATGGGAACTCGATTTCTCAACGTCAGTTGGCAACGATTGTCCTTCTTGAGGGCTACTGGACTCTGGCCTTTTCTTCTTGTTGAAATTTGATAAAGTCCGAGAAATTTTCAAGAGTGGAAGCTTGATTTTATAGTAAAGGGAAGTTGAGCGAGCAGAGAGCCTCTTTAAATAGAAGAATCACTAGGTAATGCCGAAAATTGAGACAGAAATGCTCCAAGATGTCTTAGTCAAGTTTTCGAAGCTCTTACTAGAACTGGAAAGACTAATGAAATTGTGAAAACGAAAAAAGTCACGAAAAGACCATTAAAATTATTTGTCTTCTTACTGTAATCTGAAATTCTTCATGCACGGCGACGCATTTGCTGAAAAATCCAATTTTCGCGCTTGAACATTTTTCAATTTTTTCAAACCGTTTCTTTCATTTTTCAATGTTCAATATTTGTTCAAAGTTCACTTTTAGAATTCGGTTATACTTTTTCCCTCCGAGTCTCGAAATAATTGCTGTACTTTTCTTTTCTTAATTAGGAGAATCCGATAAATTTTCATTGTGAATTTGGAAGTTTCCCATATTTTTCTCGACACCGAAATCGAAATGTGTTAGAATAATCATCTTTTTATCAATTTTTTTCGATCTTTAGCCTCAAATCGGAGGGCTTTTTTTCAACTGAATCTCAACTTAGAAAGATATAATTTCAAATATATCCCCGCAAGTTGAAATTTTCGAAAAAAATTCTTGTTTTTAACTTTTTTTGAAATAAAAATATTTATTTTTTTCCTCCTTTTTTTTTTCGTCGAATCGTTTCCAATTACCATGCAGTCCAGCGTAGCCTAATAGTTCACTTTGAGCAAATATTTGAGAGCACAAACAGAAAAAAAAGGTCGATTCGTTTGCACATCAAACTAGAAAAGAAAAAAGACCGAGATCAGCTAGAACAAATTTTTGAGAAAAAAAGAATTAGTCTCGTTCAGATTTTTTGTGTTTTGATTTCAAAGTTTCTTTTCGAAGTATGAGTCGGGGAAAACTTATCAAAAATCAAATTTTATGAAACTTAAATGGAAAACTTGGATTATTTTGAGGAAGCGTTTTTCCAATTTAAAATTTCTAGATGTTCAGCCAATAATCAATTTAGAAATGAACTTGATCTTCTGAAAAATTAGCACAAAGTTTCCACAATCAAAAAATGGCTCGATTACCAAACTCGAATAAACTAAGAAAATCAGATTTACTGAAATCAGCCACAAGAAAATTATAAATTATTTCAGAAATGTTCAAAAATTGGCTGAAAGAAGTATTGCGAATTTAAGGTCTTTTTCGGTGAATTTTCAAAAGAACGAAGTTTTTTTCAGGACCAAAGTTCAAATTTCAATTTTCGAAAGAGCAAATTTTTTTCTTATTTTTTCATTTCATGTCATCCGTTATTTTCTTCCCACACTGTTTAAATCTCCTAGATTTCAATAATACATAAACAATTCGATTCTTGAACTCCAGACAAAAAACACAAAGCTCAAGGAGCCGCCACTCGTCCTCCAGCCATTGGAATGTCTACTTGACTCGAAAACGCCTCGGGGTCTCTTTTTTCCGTCTTTCGTTCTTTTTTCCTACAGAGCGGCACCGTTTAAGAATGATAAGAAACGGTGTGCCAAGTCGAAAAAGTCGCTCGCAACAGGTCTGGCGGCGCTAATCTGCCTGTTCGGTTTGGCCGCCTGTTTGCTCGGCTGCCGACTTTCTGATATGACCCTCGGCTCGAGGGGCACGGCCCAGAAGATCATCTCAATCAGGGATCTCATTTTGGAATCTTTTTACCAGCAGAGTAATCAAGTGTTTTTTATAATCGATGGGGCGCACAAACATGGGATTCCGTTTTCCTTCTCTTTTTTTGATTTTTTTTTTGACGAAATTTTTTTTCCTCTTGAATGGAATGAATTATTATTCAAACCTTCATCAAAATTAGAAATGCATTATATGAATCTTTTTACTATTAGATCAGTAGACTTTTCTGTAAAGTTGGTTGCAGTTTCAGAACTGGTTGGGGTACTGAAGAATTGGGTTTTGTTTATTTGTTTCATTCACCTCAGTTCTTGTGTCATATTTTATGCCGTGCTCATAGTAATTTCGACGATAAATTGAGGTTCGTTGTGTTTCCATTTTAAAGCGATTTAGCGAAATACGCAAAATTCAAACTGAGCCGAAAAAATTCGAGTCCTACAACTAGATGCCAACTTTACGCGCAAAACACCAAATTTCAGAATGAAGTGACCATTTTAAACAAAATTTCAAGTTCGCGCGGTAAAATTGCCTTTTCGTTGTAGGACCCTACTTGTTCATTTAATCGAAATCGGCGAAACCCCATGATTTAGAGTAAAAAATTATTATTACAAGTTTAAGATGAGATTACATTTTCAAAAAAGGTTTTATACCGGTTCCACGGTTTACTCATAATTGAAATCGGCTGTGAAAACTGTAGTTTCATCTCTTTCAGAAAACCGCATTGGATATTTGAAAGTTCCGAAGGAGAAGGACGAAAAAACTTAAAAGATGAGTAAAAATATTCAAAAATCGAAAACACAGCAATGATGACAGAGTTTCAAAACTGGCCACTCTAGGGAATTATGCTAGTCTTAGGTTCTTATGAACTTCATGAGAAGAAGCATTTCTATGCGGAAAAAAACTCGATAAAGTGGCGTTTTTTGAAGGAAAAGTTTCAAATGAGGAATAATCGATCAAATTTTATCAAATACTTTTTTTTTCAAATCCTGGAAAGATTAGAAGACCCCTCTAGAGACCACTAAATCTTTGGGAGCTAGGTAGTCAGGACCTAAAGCCCCATATGTACCGCCTAAATAGCCGTTTAGGGAACAATATTTTGTCCACTGTAGGGTTTTTTTTTCCTAACCACTAAAGGGACTACTTGACCTTTAGGGGCTCAGAGATTGGATCCTAAAATGCTATAACGAGCCCAAAAATTTAACCCCTCTAGGGACGACTCTGGCATTTTCAGGTTTCACCCTCATTAACTCTTAAAATCCTCCAGACTTACAGCAAACAGAAAGAATGTGTGAAGAGATGGGTCGCTCAAATATTGCGATCAAATACGACTGATCCGGTCATGACAATCACGGCGATTTTCCGGAATTTCGCGGCGAGAAAATTATATCAAATCGGCAAATATTGGAGGGAACTGCCAACTTTTTTTTCTGTTCAAATCAAAGCGAAAACAGGATTAATTAAACAAGTTTATTGAAATGCGTGGGGGCGAAAAAAAAATCATTAAAGTGGAGCCAATAATTTTTGTGAAACAGTTGTTCTAATTGTTATCTTTCGCTTCTTGGACCTGGAAAAATTATTTTATCGATATTTTTTTAAATATTTAAAAAATGGAAAAGAAACCAAAAAAATCATATGAAAAAAATACTCATAAATCATAAGATTTTTCGAAGTTTTTTTGAAAAAAATAATTTTCTCCAAAAAGAAGTTTCTTGCAATTTTAAAAAAATTTTGCGCACTAAAAAAATTAATACCTTATCCTTGATGGCATCCTTGATGTCTACGACCTGAAAATTTGACTTTTAAAACATTTTCATGAAAAGCTGCTTCTACTGGTTCAAATTTACTTCAAAATTCGAGAAATTACCTTCTCCTTGATGGCGTCCTTGGCGTCCTTGGCGCCTTCTTTTAAATCTTCAACCTGCAATAATAATTTAAACATTTAATTTTGGAAGAAATCAACCTTCTCCTTGATGACTTCCTTGACGTGTTCGGCTTTGTGCTCGATTTTCTCCTTGGTCGTCTCTTTTTCTTCTTCTGGTTTAAGCTTATCAACCGCTTCTTGGGCATCTTTACGGACTTCCTTCACCTTAATTAGTTCAATTCAATTTGTTCTGAGTTATTTTGAAAGTTGAAGTAGGTTCAAAAAACGATTTAAAAAATCCAGGCTTTTGTTGATATGATATATTCATATATATGAGGCTTAAAGTTATCAAAAAAAGAAAATTTCGAGCCACTAAAGGATGATCAAATAGACCCAGTTGATAAAACAGAGCTAAATCTAAAATAAAGGACTGAAAATTCGATTAATCTTTTCCTGAATAGAACTTTTTCATGATCGAATTTTTAATAATTATAAAATAGATGTTACTAAAAGAAAAAAGAAACCTCTTTAATTTCGATGAATAAAAATAACTAGAAAAAACGTTCGAAATTAGAAGAGCATGCAGTCTTTGTAGATCTTCGAGTGTTATTTATAAATCCATGACGTCATCGTTTCAAATTATGACGTCATCAAATGAGGCAAAGCTACGAGAGTACAAAAGATATACTTCTAAAACTCGGTCATCAAGTTTTCATCAGGAAATTATCCGCAGTGACGTCATTTTTCCGATCGATGACGTCACCTCTCGAAAATTAGCAGTGCCGTCATCCAATCTTTCTACGAAAAAAAAAATCAGTAGACAACATCGAATCCGACTTTCTCGATTGAAATATTGAATTTGAAGTGTCACGATCTTGAGAATATTATATTCATCCTTGAAGGATATACTATGACAAAAAAAAACGATTTCAGATGAGCCTAAAATAAATAACAGTTTTTCATTTCCAGGGCTCAAAATAATCGAAAAAACCTTCTTAGCCGCAGAGTCGGCAGTCTCCTTGACCTGGTCGGCGGCCTTGTCTTCGGTTTTCTTCTCACCGACGACCTTGTGATAGGCGTCCGACGCGGCTTCCTTCGTCTTCTCCACGGGTCCTTTGTTCTGAAAATCATCGGAATCGCCCAGAAATGCAAAGAAAAACCCACATCGCTCATATTGCAAGAGTTTGAAAGTTAATGATCAACTCAAGACGGCTCTCGATTTTCTGAATGAAGCTTCCTCCAACAATTTTTGCTTTAAATAATGGCCACGTGTCAATACGTCATTGAGGTCAGGTCATATGACGTCATTTTGGTCCAAACTAGAAAATATGTTTTTGATTTCGAATCTTGATAACGATGACGTCATTCGAAAAACACTCTCTGTAGCGCAGGCTCTCTGATTGGCTGATCGCGTCAACTTGGGCGGGGCATGATGGCTTGAAATTCCAAAGATGAACAGAAGGTCTTGAAAAAAAAATTAAACACTAAAAGAACGCTCCGCTTGGTTAGAGAACTTCATGAATTTTCAAAAAGCTTTTCTTGAATAGATAATTTTGATACATGGTTTAAAAATGTCTTGAGGCTTTGATGATTATGGAAAGTCTTGAAAATATTTCCAAAGAACTTTATTTAAAGTGTGAGTCTGCGAAAAAGCTCTTTTCGATATCCGCATTTTCTTATACGGACCCTCTATAAGTCTCATTCTCTGGCTGATTTACGAGGGAGCGATTTTTTTCAAATATTAAAAAGAACTTTTTGCTGCAGTCAGGAATTTTCCAAAGACTTCTAAAAAGTTTTTAAAAAAATAGTTTTAAAATTTCTTCCGAGATTTTTTTCGACGTTTCCTAGCGAGGAATGAACTGTAAGAAAAAAATTTTTAAAAAGTAAGTTTCTGAATTTATTTCCAAATGTTTCTTTTCAGAAAGATCACATAGTATGATAAAAAAATTCGAAAGCGTACCGAAATAAGATTCGAATCGGCGGGATAAAAAAACAACATAAAACAGAAAAACATTAAATAAAGAAAAAAAGAAAAAAAGCCAAAAAAATAAACATAAAAAAAGCTCGAATTTTATTTTTTTGTACGAAATTTTAAAAAAATTCAATATCCGGAGATTGCGTCGCTGTGTCTGCGAAGTTTAATGCTACAGTAAGCCAATGAAAACCATTTTTTGCGTTTTTTTTTTCGCTTTTTCAAAACAGTTTTTGACATTTTATAGAACTTTCTTTGATTTTACGATAGGAAAAAGTGCCAGAATAGCGACACAAGAAATTGATTTTTAATTCTTCTTCTGGACTTTGTCAGCGACCTTCAACATTTCGTATATTCTTTGAGCATATTTCGCTCTCGCAAGTTTTTTTTAAATTTCGAAATACATGATTATGCTTCCAATCTCTCATTTCAATTGAGAAACACAAATTTTGTCAATTTCTGTTTGACTTACTTCCAACAGCCATAAGAAAATATTTTTCAACTCAATCGAACTCCAATAAGGCTCCCCAAGAACATTTTCTCAAGAGACCACAGTCCAAATGCTCAACTCCGAAATAGCGTCGGCCAAGGTCTGAATGATAAAAAAGCGGTGCGGAGGGTCTCGAGTTGCCGGAATGTGGCTGAGCACTTCTCGCAACACAATACCCAGGCGATAATCTTCTTTTGTGGGAGCAACGGCGAGAAAAGTGTCCGGCGGCGCTTTTTGACTTTCTTTTTTTTTTGATTCCGGTGCAGAGTCACACGTTTTTGCCAGAGGTAGGCGTGTGCCGCTGGCGTGGCCGGACCGGTCGCCGCCGGCTACTCTTCTCGCCTCGTATTTAAGCGACTCGAGACGATGCCGAAGACATCTTCGAGCAATCGTCTCCAACCAACACTCGACACCCATTTCCACTATGAACTCCATCATCACGTTAGTTCTCATTCTTCGATTTTCACTTTTTTCTGTTTTTTGAAACTTTTGCTGTAGCTTTGAGCGACTTGACACTTTCAAAAAGTTTTCTGAAAGTTTGAAAAATCTCCGTGAATTACGATGAAAATGGCCTTAGAAAGTTTGGAAAATTTGTCTTTAATCCTTTAAAAACTTTTTTGAAAATTTCCTGGTTTTTCTTTTTAAAATCGATTTTTTTTTTCCGATTTCCAAAATCTTCTGGACTTGATCAGAATCGAAACCTTTTCGTATCGGTAACTTCATTCAAAATTCTATTTTAAAAAATTTCTATGTCCTAATAACGTGAATACCACTGAGTAGACTACAGAAAAAAGTTGAAACTTTATCAAATCTTAAAAATCCGAACTTCACCTAAAAAACCAGCGGGGCTCATTTTCTGGCTTTCCAAGCTTCTACAGCAGAAGTAACATAAGCTTTAGATTCTGAGAAAAACGTGTACAGAATCTCCTACTCAGAATCAATATTCTCACTTTACAGTGTGCTGTTCGCCGGTCTGGCACTCACCTCGGCCCAAATCGCGGTCAACGGACCCTTCATGGGACGTTACTACGTGCCGTCGAAGCCTCTGCTGACTCCTGGACTCGCGCCAGTCGCTGCTCCAATCGCCGTCCCAGCCTTCGCGCCACCAGTCTTGGCTGCCCCAGCTCTTCCAGCTTTCGCGCCTGCTCCAGCTCCAGTTTTGGCTGCTCCAGCTGTCCCAGCGTTCGCCCCTGGTCCAGCTCCAGTCTTCGCCGCCCCAGCTTTCGCTCCGGCTCCAGCCCCAGTCCTTGCTGCCCCAGCTGTTCCAGCTTTCGCTCCAGCTCCGGCTCCAGTCTTCGCTGCTCCAGCTGTCCCAGCTTTCGCCCCGGCCCCAACTGTCCCAGCCTTCGCTCCGGCCTTCGCCCCAGCTCCAGTTTTGGCTGCCCCACGACCGGTCTTCGCTGCCCCAGCCCTTGCTCCAGCTCCAGTTTTCGCTGCTCCAGCTCCCGTCCTCGCTGCCCCAGCCGTAGTTCCGGCGTACGCTCCGTTCGCCAGGTCGGCCTTCCTCATCGGAAGCAACAAGGCCAAGAAGACTGCGTAAATCTGCACAGGCTATCTCGTCGAGTGTTTCGAATCGTTTTGAGCGATTGTTTGTATATATTGCGCACCAACGACATAAAACCTTTAATATTATTCTGTTTTGTTTCAAATTGAAAAGGATGAAGAAGAAAAGAACAAAGGAAAGTAATATTGCAAAAACGAAAAAATGTGAGAAGAAGAAGAAGAGAACTTGGATACTTTTAAAAAGCTGTAAAAACCAAACTTAGATAGAAGAAGTCTCAATAGAAGAAGCTGAGAAAAAAGAGAACCGCAAAAAAAAAAATGAAAAAGAAGTTTTGAAAGTTTTCAGAAAAGCTGAACTTAATTTACCCAACAGTTCAAGAAGATCAGAACTTCTAAATTGTTCAGTGAAACTTAAAAGTGGGAACTTTTAAAACCTTAGAATCGAGTTTCAACAACTCCGCTCTCGAAATCTAAAAAAAGGTACCGCAAGCTAACTTCCAAAGTCAGTCAAGTATAAACCTATATGGAAAAGAAGCTGATGACATCTGAAAGACAACTGCGAGTACAGAAAAAAAATATGAAGAAAATAAGATATAACTTATGAGCAAAAGAGTGGCATAAACGGAGAAACCACTTTTATGTAGAAACTTTCGTCAGGGAAAAATGAATATTCAAGAAAAAAAATTAAGAGATCAAGAAAAAAGTTTTTGAAAAATAAAAAAATAACACTCAAACCGTGTCGTCACCTATATATCTTGGCGCGAAATTTGAAGTTGGTTGTAGATTTACGCTGAGTATTCGATAGATTATATTTTATTTATTTTCACCGCTTTGACAAGAAAGGCAAAAAAATATATGTCTATGACCAATTTACCATTTCTCACGTTATTTTTGCGTCAAAAAAGTCAAAATTTAGACATTTCAACTTTTTTTATTCTTGCAACTTATAATATTTCTTCGAATCGTCTTGTTCTCTCGAATGGCTTGTCCGGGGATCTATTCTCTCTGCGCTCCCTCGTAGCCGCTTACGACCACATCACGTTGAAAACACGCCATCCCGTCCGATCTGGCAAGTTAAGCAACGTTGAGAGCCGGTAGTACTTGGATCGGAGACGGCTTGGGAATTCGGCTTGCCGTAAGCTTTTTTTGCTGTTTTTTTTTGTAGAAGTGTTCTTTTGAAGACGGTTTTGTTACCGAGAAAAAGGTTAGAGCATTCTTCCGAGTTCTTTGTTTAAGATAGAAAAAAATTTTTATGAACTCGCTGAAATAAATATTCCTCTGTGAAGGATTTCCGTTGATCAGGAAAAATTTTTTTACTAATTCTTTTTCTATCTGTTTGTATAAAAAAATCGACTTCGTCAAAAAACACAGGGTGGAGCAAAAAAAGTTTTTTTGCAGAGAAAAATTTTTAGTAGAGCAGGAAACAGTCCTGCAGAAAAAAAGGTCGAAAAATTTAATTTTTCTTTCATTGATTTTCGTGTTGAAAAAAAGATGCTTGGAAACTTATAACAAAAATTCTTTTTATGAAAAAAATATCGATAGTCTTTGAAATTTGGAAAAAAATGAGCTGAAAAAAATTATATTTAGATAAAACTTTTTCTCTAGTTCTAAGCCTCCACAGCTAAAATTACCGAAGCCTGAAACAGTGAGCTTTGGCAGTGGCAAGCGCGAAACCAAACAAAAATCGCAGAAAAAAGTGGGAAAAAAGTCGAAGAAGCCTCGCGCCATGATGGGCGCCGCGGAGGCGACAGCCAAATGACGTGAAGGACCAGTCCAGTCCTGCCGACTATTTAAGCTATCGGCGTGCAGGACTGAACACCTGAAGAAAGCCTTCGGCTCCACCAGCACTTCCAACATGCAAACCGTCGTTTCGTGAGTCGCAGTAACTCTAGAGGCTTTTCAAACGGAAATTACAGTATCCTCGTCGCGGGACTCGCCCTGACTTCGGCGCAAGTCGCGGTGAACGGACCATTCAGCGGACGCTACTACGTGCCGGCCAAGCCGATCATCACCCAGGGAGTCGCGCCCGTCGCAGCTCCAGTCGCCGTCGCGGAGCCCGTGCTCGCCGAGCCAGTCCTTCCGGTCGCACCTCCACCAGCGCCCGTCTTCGCTGCTCCGGCTCCAGCTCCCGTCTTCGCCGCTCCAGCTTTCGCTCCTCGACCAGTGTTCGCTGCCCCGGCTGTCCCAGCTCCAGTCTCAGCTTTCGCTGCTCCAGCTCCGCTCCCAGCTCCGGCTCCAATCTTCGACGCTCCGGCTCCAGTCGTTGCTCCGATGATCCCAGCTGTGCCAGCTTTCGCTCCTCGACCGGTCTTCGCTGCCCCAGCTCCAGTCCTCGCTGCTCCAGCCCCACTTTTGGCTCCCCCAGCTCCAGTCCTGGCCGCTCCAGCCCCATTCCTTGCTCCTCCAGCTCCAGTGCTCGCTGCTCCAGCTGCCCCACTCTTGGCTCCTCGTCCAGTCCTGGCTGCTCCAGCTCTTCCTGTCGCTCCGGCTGTCCCCGCGTACGCCCCCTTTGCTCGTGCCGCTTACTTCATTGGAAGTAACAAGGCCAAGACCTTCTAAGCGATATTTATTGGCGACTCCCTGACACTCAGTATTTGTATATACCGGTTTCTCCAATAAATATTTTTTTCTTTGACTTTTGTTATCTTCCATAAAATGGAAAAATCCCAAGAATATTGGCTTCAGACTAAATTTAGGTGGTTTGGAAGAACGATAGAGATAGAAGAATCTCTTTCAATCGAGAAAAAAACATTTTCAAACGGAAAAAAACGCGGAAACGGGCATAAAATACGATTCTCAGTACTAAAAAAAAAAGTAGTGTAATTATCTCAACTTTTCATCGCTTCAAATACATTTCAAATTTGGGCCTGTAACCACTAGGAGAAGTTCTTTGAGATTTTTCAGCTCAATGAAAAGTTTTTAATGCTCAAAAAGCTTCTGTGGAGCGCAAAATCTGTCTGAAAAAAATTGAAAATACAAAAGAAACGACCAGTTTTTTTTTTCTTCTTAAAGCCCCCTCTCAACGTTATTTTAAGTGAAAGTAATTTTTTCAAAAAACTCACTAGGGAACTACTCGGACTCGGGTACGCGGATCGAGTTCAAACTTTAGTGGTTTTATAGACCCAAGTCAGAATACTTAAAAAAAACAAGAGAGAATATCTGCTAAACCCAATAGAGAACTGAGAAAAAATTCGTAGAAAATGTGAAAATTAGGCCTGAAAAATTTCAGAATACTGTTTTTTACCTTATTTTATATTTTAGTACAATCGCATTGAATGATCCGGCTATGATAAACTTCAAAAAACTTTTTTCCAGCTAAAAGACGGAGGAAAGCAAAAATTTGATAATTTCCAAGCCTAATCTGTTCGTTTTCGAAAAGCTTTTTCTCAGAAGCCTATGGGGTTTAGCAGATAATCTCTCTTGTTTCCAAGTACTCTTACCCGGGTCTATTAGCCACCAAAGTTTCAACTCGAAACGCGTACCCGAGTCCGAGTAGTTCCCTAGTCAGAAATAAATTTTTCAGTTTCATTTTTTGTCAAGATATTTTCTTATTTCTGAGAAAATGTCCGAGTTTTCTTCAGAAAACAGATGTCCAAGTTTTCTTCGAGTTTTCTTCAGAGCTTCAGATATTTTCTTCATTTTCCATGGACTTCGAAAAATCATAAAAAATCAATATTTTTCCACTCTAATAATTTTCTAAAAGTGAGGAACTCGAATGCTTTGCTTACAAAATTTGGCTGATTTTGTGATAAATTTGAACGGGAAGTACGTAGTTGCATTTGGAACGACTCGGCGTTGAGAGGCGCATCCGACTTGAAACGACTTGTGTTCATGGCATCAAAAGATCAAAATCCCTCATGAAGAAGGAAAAGAAAGGGTCTCCTTCTAATACTAGAGCAGAGCGACTTCAAACAAAATTATTCACCAGTTTGGAGACAAAAAACCCAAAAAGATTACATTTTTTTTCATGTTTTCTTTTTAAATTGAGAGAGACTTCTAGGGGAAAGTTTTTCTTTTTTTAGAAGTATTAAACTCAAAAATATGGGTTCAAAAACGTTTTGAGCTGGTAATTCGCTTCCGTGTTCTCCAAATACTTCAACTTCTTTTTAAAAAAATTTCCATATTTTCTTCAACACAAAAACTTTAAATAATTTATCGACAATCACCAATAATATACAGACAACATTAAATAAACTTTTTCGTTCAAAAAAATCGTTCAAGGTTTGTTACTTCCAATAAAGTAATTGGCACGGACGAATGGCGAGAAGACGGGAGCGATAGCCGCCGGAGCGGTCATCTGGACGCCGGGAGCCGACGGAATTGGTCCAGCTCCCTCTGGGTTTCGCTGAGGTCCACCTGGTCCGCCTGGTCCACCTTGTCCGCCGGGAGCCGCAAGAGGAACGCTTCGGAATTCGGTGAAGGCCGGGAAGTTTGGCGAAGAGTCGACAGCCTGGGCGAAGGTGGCTTGAGCTGGACGACCGAAGAAAGAGGCGTCGTTCGGTGGGACCATGGAATCGGCGCGCTGAGGTCCTGGTCCTGGTGGCGGTGGTGGGAGTGGGTTCTGCTGAGCCTGAGGGTATTGTTGAGGGTACTGCTGAGGTGGGTACTGCTGCTGCTGAGGCTGAGGTGGGTACTGCTGTTGCTGAGGTGGGTACTGCTGCTGAGGCTGGGGTGGGAACTGCTGCTGTTGTTGAGGAGGGTACTGCTGAGGCTGAGGCGAGTACTGAGGCTGCTGTTGCGGAGGATACTGAGGCTGACCCTGAGGAGGGTACTGCGGAGCCTGAGGTGGGTACTGAGGCTGCTGCTGTGGGGGGTACTGCTGTCCTTGAGGTGGATACTGCTGAGGAGGACCTTGCTGGAACTCAGGAGCTGGTGGAGGTGGAGGAGCGACAGCAGCAGCGGCTACGGCAGCTGGCATGGCAATTCCGACTCTGGAAATGATCGGAGCGGCCAGAGGAAGAGCTGGAGCAAGCAGAGGAGCGGGAGCAAGAAGGGGAGCTGGAGCCAGGAGAGGTCGAGCCAGTGGCACCGCTGGAGCCAAGAGAGGAGCTGGGGCAAGTAGAGGTCGAGCCAATGGAGCCGCCAGAACTGGTCGTGGCAGCAGAAGCTGACCACTAACAGTCGCCATCAAAGCGCAAAGCCTAAATTTTCATACTTCAATCTCGAAAACCTTATGGAAGACCTACCAAAGTGCGGAACTCATGCCGTTGTCCGTTCTGCCAATACGTCCTGCCAAGGGTTCTTAAATACCGTCGTCCTCCTCCTGGCCATTTGGTTTTTGGTCAACATTGTTTAGCGGCCCAAAAAACTATCTCTACAAGAGGGCGGCCGACGGTCCAGGGGGGGAAAAACTCGAACAATATGTTGCGCAAATAAACGCTCCAGCTACATGAAGGGACAAAAGCACGGCGGCCGCGACGCGTCAAGCATTTCTCGCTGTGATACTTTGCGCCGGACCAGAACTGGCTTCTGTTAATGTTCTGTTTGCCCGTCGGCCGCACACCGCTAATCCCTATTCACACGTACGTGTGCGGCTTTTGTGCTTCTCGAGTGGATCATAATTTTTCGTCCGCCTGGGGGACAAGTCGACTTTTTTTCCACGTCAGGACTACATTTCAGCTTGAGGGCAAAAAAAGCGTAAAAAAATTCCAAGAAAATCTTCCAGTTTAAAAGTTTGAAGGAAAAGGAAATGGAAAGAAGTCTTTAAAAATAAATTAAAAAGAAGAATTTTTGGATTTTTAAATGGTTATTTCAAAAAAAGGATCGGCATCTGAATCACTATTATGCCACAAAAAGGGCTAGATCTCTGTTTCTTCCAAATTTCCACTCAAAATTTGAACAAAGTAAAATATTAATGCAAAAAAACTGAATATTTTAACGCATCTAACTGGTAAACTACTTTGCGATTGCATCGTAAGTATTATAAGGAGAAAAAAATATCATATTCTTAATAAAAATTCCATTTTCTCGAAAAAAATCATTATCATCGAACAAAGCGATAATAAACGGAAAAAAAGGTTTCAAAAAAACACTTTCAGTTACAACATCCACATTTTTTTAAAATTCGCATTTTTCTATCAGTCCTAGCCAAACTTCTCAAAAAAATGATGAAAATATGAATCAGCAAAAAGGTGAAAAATTGACCACGTCATTAAGAATCATCACGGAAGATAAGAAAGATCAAAAAAATAAAAAAATGTGACTTCTGTAAAACTCGATAAAACGGAATTCGATCAGACTCGCTGATATTGAGCTATAATTGTAAATTCTTGAGTTTTTTTAAATTTCCAAACTATATAATTCGATTTTTTTTCTTGCAAACTATCTAAAAAAATTACAGATTCGGAAAAACTATCAAATTGACATTAAAATTGTCATCAAAAAAATTTAACTGGCAGGGGGATGATTTTGGAAAAGTTAAAAAAACGAAAAACTAAACTAAAAAAACTCACTCAAATAGAGAATTTTTTTATTAAATCTTCAGTCTCCGTTGTCTTTCAGTCCAATCGCGGCTTTCTTGAGCTGCAAAAAAATTAGATTGAACAAAATTTTAAAAAAAGAAACGTATCGAGTTTCAAGAAAAAAAAAATTGAGTGCTCATTCAGATTTCACGAAAAATGCATTTGGAAATTTTTCGCAAAGCTTGATGATTTTCTATCAAAAGATAACATTCGTTTTTCAGAGCCTGCTGTTCAGCCATTTATCTTCGAGGAGAATCGATTATTTTCTGACCCTTGGGCGAAATTTTCCTCTCACCTTTCTCTTTCGAAGTTTTTTTTAGCGTTGAGAACCAGCCGCCTTTCGTTGAAATACTCCATTTTGCTCGTTTTTCTGAATAACACTGCTATAAAATCGTTAGAGAAACAATTTCACGAAAAATTAAAATTGTAAAAAAACTTTTTGATAGTTTTTCAAAAATTCTTACCGTAAGTTTTTCTGCACACACCGCGACGCAACGTTATTCCTTATTTTTTTTGCAAAATTTTTTATGTCTATCATTTTTTTTCTGTTTTTCTAGTTAATCTCGAACTTTTTCTTTATTATGGAATTTATGTGAGTTTCTTCCAGATGTTTCATTCAAAAATTTTCGATGTTTTTTTCATTATTTTTTTCAATTTTTTTATAACCTTCGAAGCTGATATTTTTTTCTTTTTCGTGATGCTGCAGCGGGAGCTGTTCAAGAAAGATCAGTAAATCGTGAGAAGCTGGAAAAGTCAAAAGGTGTGGTTTATCGAAGTTTTCTTTCAATTCCAATGTTTTGAATGGTTACAAAAGCAGAAATCTTCTCTTATTTTCTCTCAAAAATGGATTAGTAAACTTTTTTATTTTCACTTGTTATTTTCAAACTCCAGTTAAAAAAGGCTGAAGAAAAATGCAGCCTACACAGTTTTTGTATTCAACTCCAGAAGGTCAAAAATTACTTCCTCAAAAACCAACTTTTTTTGTTATCAGTTTCCCTCGCTCCAGGAGCTTTCCTCTGACAACTCACACGGCTGATAGTGCCTTATCATTGTCCAAATGCTGCCTAATGCTTGTAATCCGCAAAGAATTGGCTTCCAGACTCGCCGAATGGCGCTGCGACTTCTGATTCTCGCGGTGGCCGCCGTCGACGCCTACACGGTCCTTCATCTGGCCGATTTCCATCTGGACGTCGATTATTCCACTAAAGGAGATGCTTCCAAGATGTGTCACGTGGGAAATCAGACGGCGAAAGCGACGCTCGGATCGTTCGGCGACTACATGTGCGATTCTCCAAAGGTTTCAAAGGAAAACAAAATTTATTCTAGCGCTTGAAATAGGGTTTTTAAAGAAAGTTGGAAATAAAATAAATTACCTCCTTCGTACTTCCCTTCTTTTATTTCTTGCAGGACCGTACTTTCGATAACTCACTTTGAGAATAGAGCTAACTCTGAAATTTTGAAACTCCAAGGGACGAATTTTTTAGCCTCTGGTTCAACACGCGATCGACGAAGCCAAGAGACTTTTTCCGGATCCAGACCTGCTCCTTTGGACCGGCGACAACACTCCTCACGTCGATGGTTACGATTGGAATTGTGAATCTTTTAACTTTTTTTAGGATTTATTTTTTGCATTTTGGCATTTACAATATCTATGCGCAACGTTCGCCAAGCGTTCTGTCGCCAATTTCGAAATTTGCGAATTTTTAGGATTTTCCCAGACTTCTTGTTCCCTACGGGAACTTGCCGTTTTAAACCGAGTAAAAATTATAAACGCCTAGAGGGGCAAACTACCACCATATCTCACCCTATATGGAGCCCTATAGTTTTTTGAAGTACCCGAGGATCACTTGAGCTTTATGAACTTAGCGGTCAGACCCTAAACCCCTCTAGGGACCACTTAAACCTCAGCCCTTAAGGGAGCCCTATTTTGTCCCCTCCAGGGACTGTTCTTTCTTCTAACCTCTCTAGGGGTCCCTAGGGCATTTCTTAGAATGGAGATTAAAAAGGAATAAACACGGATTCCCGCTTCAGATGTGATGAACGCGATGAACACGACGACCACTCTGTTGTTCTCCAAGTTCCCGAAAACTCAAATCTTGCCGACTTTCGGAAATCACGACTACGCCCCGGCGAACGCCTTCGATCTGTCTTCCACTTTGTATTCGAGGACTTGGGACCTTTGGTCCAAGCAGTTGGGCGATCAGAACAAGGTAGAGGGAGATAATCATACTGAAATAAAAAAAAGAAATTTTCTTGAAATTTTTTAACTAGAAGACTTCGTATCTTTAAAAATTCAGTTTACCCTGGTTTTTAAAAAAAAAAAATCTTTCTTCCTGGCTATTTATACGTTTTGCACGTTAAAAAATGCAAAGCGGAAAATTCCATAGCCATTCCAAATGCGGTCTTTCAAACTTGTTCAAAGTTATCTCTGACCCTCAAAAATTTAGTTATCTTTTCAACTCTCTGATTTTGAGTTTTCTTCGAACAACAGAATCTTCGGAATAGAATTCGAAAAAAAAGGTCCTTTTTGAAGGCAACTTTCCTCAGCGGCGGCTATTACAAGCTCCGGTTGAAAAACGCCACTGCCGTCGTTCTCAACACGAATTTGTACTACAAGTAGGCCGACGGAATGCATTTTCAATGATAAAAAATGACAATATCAGCGCGAACAAGGCCTACGGTAACTTTACGGACAAAACTGACCCGGCCGGACAGTTCGCCTTCATGGAGGCCGAGTTACAAGCCGCAGAGCAGTGTCCCAACAGAGTCACTGATAATTGTACTTCCCAAGTTCATATCATTGCTCATATCGGTCCTGGAGGTTAGTTTTGAGTAGGAAAAAAGCCATGAATACTTGAAAACAGAAAGATATACAAGAATAGTTGAAAGCAAAAATTTCACACAAGCAAAGTCCAAACGGTTTCAAAAACACGTTTCTTTTGTAGTCACTAAAAATGACGATCACATCTTTAATATAGTCTATTCACCGCGGGCTTGAAACTTTCTGCCTGTCTGCGATTTATACAAAAAGAAGAGTCTCAAACTCCTTTTTGAGTTTCTAAAGCGTGTCAAAAGGTTCTCTTCTTCTTCATCTTTTTTTCGCCTTATTTTTTTACACCTCCTTAAAAGGTCCTTTTCAGAAAAAGGTCTAAAACATGGCGCGTTTGAGGCCTTTAAAAGTCCCTTTTTGAGTTCCATAAAAGGTGTCAAAAGTTTTTCTGAATCCCCCTCTCATGCTGATGAAGGTGGCCCAGCCTTGCTAACACGGGCTCTCAGCGGGTGTGCCCGTTTCAAACCCGAAGAAAGCCCAGCTGGTAAAAATTAAGGCTTTTTCACCACAGCACCGTTTTAGCACAGTTTGGTAACAGATTTTTGAAATGAACCAGCTGGGTCACCTGCCTCTTCTTGCGCCCGTTTTTGTCCCGCTTTAGCCCAACTGAAACTCGAATAGCCTTAAAAACACGGGTACACCCGCTGAGACGCGGCAGAGTTCTTTTTCCCGCCTCCTTTTTTTCTTCCTAAAAAAACCCTTTTCAATGAGAGATAAAAAAATTAAATTTTTTTTGTTTCCAGTTTCAGGCGCATCATTGAATAAAAAGATATATCAAGTAACTTTAATGGTCGTAGATGAAGTGAAAAAAAAAACTTCTTCGAAAATTTTTGAAAAGACGTTGAAACAGGAGCTCAAGCTTCAATATGAAAGTTTTGAATAAACGAAAAAAAAATTGAAAACTTTCCCTGTAACACACGCAAAGTCCAAACGACCCCGAAAAGACTAAAAAGAAGGATCGGAAGCTCCTTTTTGAGTTCCTAAAGAGTTGTCAAAAGTTTCTCGGAATCTCCTTTTTTCAGCCTGTTTTACGCCTTATTTTTTTACACCTCCTTTCAAGGAGCTTTTAAAAAAGGTCTAGAAAAAAGCCTTTGAGGCCTTTATTCCAAAATTCCTTTTCGAGACCTTTTGGATATCGCGAAAGAAGTTTTTCAGTGTTTGAAAGATCTCCCAATTTCACTTGGTTCCGACCGGAGTACAACGAGAAATTCCTCAATTTGACGACAAGATACGCTAATAGCATCGGTTGGATGATTTTTGGGCATCATCACACGGATACCTTCCATTTGATCAAGGTAGGAAGATAATTGGGAGTCTGTGACGAGAAAAAATGCGAATAATAGAGCGGAAAACTCGATGACCGGCCGCACCTTGGACTTGCTCGATTTCTAGTGGTCCCTTTAGCGGCGTCAGCACTCTTGAGTTATTTTTTGCAATTCAAGAAACGTTTGGGGCGCGTCCGGTTTGCGGGTCAGTTCCGAGATTGTCAATCTATTCAAAAAAAAATTCATTTTTTGGCGGTTTTTCAAAAAATAACCCATTTTACTCAGCTATTCTTCATATATCCTATTTTTCCAAACTCAATGGACCTCAGGATCAACTAGGAAACGTCGTCCAGCTCGCCCTGATGGCTCCTTCGGTCACCCCCTGGTTTTCGGATCTTCCCGGCGCTGGAGCCAACAATCCGTCCTTTAGAACTTATGAAACCGATGATTACGGAAAAATTTCCGATATCAAGTTGGTTTCAGGTTTTTTTTCGGGGTGTTAACATTTTGGAGGTTTTCGAAAACTTGTTCTGGATCTTTTTCCGGGTGATTGTAGTCATCAAGCAGATTTTTACTGTGAGAATCCTGGAGAAAAAAAATTTTCAAAAAAACTAGTTTAAAAAAATTGACTCGCTTTCTTTCTTTTTACCGTTCATATTATTGTCTTCAACGGTTTTTACAGCACCTATTACATCAATCTGGATGATTTGAACAAAAATGCGTCGACTCCATTCGTCTTCGAATACTCTTTCAAGCAAGCCTATGGCATTTTCGGGTTGGAATCAATCGATAATTCTGAAAAAACTTCAGTTTCCAGTGACGTAACCCCGAGAAAAATGTCGGACGTTCTGGAGAACATGAAGAAAAATGATTCGCTGTTTCAAACTTACATCAACTACAACTCGGTTCTGTGGAAGCCGGCGATGCCTCAGGGCATTTACAGGTGTCTTTCTTGATTTTCGGTTGGATTTTTCAAAACCTTGCTGCAAAAAAGGTTTTTTTTTCATTAAAGATTTGTGATTTTAACGTTTTTTTTTACACTGCCATGAATGAAAATAACCGTTTTGGCGCGCTAATTTGAAATTTGAGTAAGAATAAACGATTCAAAATGAGGTCAAAACTATAACCGAAAATTAGGCCCATTTTAAACATTCGAATTCTGTATCGAATGGTAGTACATAGAGATCTTAGGAATATTAAATTTGAAAAATATTGTGCGATTAAAGAACCAGATCGAACTTCCAGTAGAAAAAAAAAAATTGAAAAAAAATGTTAACTTGGAGTTTTTTATAAATGATAGGAATCCAATTTTTTTTCTGATCCAGTTCCTCTAAATTTTGGTTATATCCTCCTATTATTTTGAAGATCATTTGGACGGTTTTATTCCTCCAGATCCTAAGTTCTGAGTTGCAAAATAATTTGTCGCAAGTCAGTCGATTTTTCGCTTCTAATCCTTTCTAATCCTCAGAGGAGCCCAACTCTGTTCGATGGAATGGAGTGACTATCCAAGATACGACGACTGCATGAAGCTGTACAGCCACGCCGCCCAGAAATTCACTATCCCAATCTTTTCCCTTCTTTTCTACGTCCTCAACCAATTATAAGAGACCTTCTTGATTTTTGTTTAAATTTTACTAACGGGTTTTTGAAAAAAATTATTGGCATTGTATAAAGTTTTATTGAATTTTAAAATGTTTTTTTAATTTTTTAATAGTTCGTAAAGGCTATCAAAGTCTCTGAAAGTTGAGTTGATCTTCAAGAATGAGAAAAAAACTTGTTGAATCATAGTTTCTAATTCTGATCTTAAGGCCGGGCTAAGAAAAGGCCCGCGGGCCAGCCCTAGTACAAGCCTTTAGGCCCTCAAAGGAACTTTTCCGTTTCACCTCCCTTGTGAGCACAAGTATTCCCTTGAAATCCAATATATCCGTGTATAATAAACCCAACAAAGAGCTTTATGATCCTATATATCGTATAAAGCTATACCTCCAGACACCCCGCTAAGGCCTCGGAACAGGTCGCGACGACAAAACGTTTTTCGGAGGTCGGACTCCACCGGACATGGAGTGCCACCTAATCCGGCTTAGCCTCCTTTCCTCCCCTAGGCATTCCTCGACTTTCCTCGCTTACTCTTTACCATGATTATCAACACCTGCTTCGTGTTGATAACCTTGATTCGATTTTCCGAGCCTTTTTTGTTCGGTGGAGGCGGCGGTAATTGCGGCTGCAATTGCGCTCCACCGCCAAGGTGTCCGCAGATCTCAACTTGCGCCATTCCGGTCCCTTGCTCCAACTTGGCTGCTCCGGCTGCAGCCTATACGGTAGGAATGATCGGTTTTTTTGTTTCTAAACTTTTCCGAATACTTTTTTTTTCTCAAGCAGGATTCACTTTTATTTATGGGACCGTCTGAATAAATGGAAAAAAAAATTGTGTTTAAGACGAAAAAAATTCAATTTTTCCTTTTTTATTAGAACTTCTAAAAAAACTACCTTCTGAATTGTTAAAATCTTTGTAAGATTTTTTTTTCGATTTTTTTTACTTGACAATTTTTAAATAATTTTTCTTATCGTCCTATCCTACATTTCTGTTTCCAATAACCTCCAATTTGAGTTCACATTTTAGTTATTAGTTATTTCGCAGAAAAGGTAACAAAAATTATAATTTTGAACAATTCAGCGCTGGTTTTTTTCAAACTTGCGTTCAAACCTCGCGAATAAAATTCCCTCTAGGGCTTCTAAGTATTCTTAAGTGACTTCTTTAATTTGATTCGTCGTTTTTCTCCGATTTTATCAACGTACCTTCTCGGGCCGCTAAATGGCTCGAAGAAGGCCCCAGAAAGCGGCAAAAAGAGTTCCTTTTTGGAGCCTTTTTTGAGTTCTCAGGCTCAAGAAGTGGTGGGAAAGAAAGAGGCAGTAAAAACGGTGCATAAAAGCCGATAAAATGGCGCAAAAAGGCACCGAAAAAGGAGCCATTGTCACGAAAGGAAGATTCATCGAAATTAACTAAAAATATTCTTTTTTCATTCCAAGTTTCAATTGAAATCCAAAAGTTCAGGGCTCCTACGCTTCCGTGGCCCCAGCGATCCCTTCAATACCAGCTTCATCCTTCGCCACTTCCTACTCGGCCAGTTATGCCCAACCCAAAATCCCCCTCCTACCCGCACCAGCTCCCGTTCTTCTACCAGTCCCGCCTCCGTACCCCTTCTCCAGCTCTTCCTACCGACCTTCGCCAAGTGCCCCCATACCGTTCCCTCCGCCGCCCGCACTTCAACCCCAGCAAGTCCTTCCGGCAATGCTTCCAGCACCGTATAATCAACTCCCGGAGGCTTCTTATTCTCAGGTTTAGGTTGAGCAAATTGTTTTCCTTAAATTTCTCAACGTAGCTTTTCATGCGGTACGAAGATTCATCAAAATAAATCTTAATTTTGAAGAAAGTTAGGCGATGTGCCTAAAAATGAAAAATATTGAATTCAAACTTTGAAAATGATATTGAGGTCCTATATTGTTTACTACCACAGTTAAAAAAATATAGATTTTTCAAAAAAATTTTTAAGATTAAGAAGCAGAGCAAAAAAACCTCTTGAGAATTTTTTTCAAATTTTGACGAATTAAAAAAATTTTTTTGGCGCGATTTCAAAAAAATGCAAAAAGCTTTTTTTTTTTTTGGCATAATAAGTCTGAAACAGACACACCACGAAAGTTTTAAAATCGCGCCAAAAAAACATAATTTGTCTAAATTTGAAAAATTTCTCAAGAGGTTTTTTTTTGCTTCTTGATCTCAAAAATTTTTTTGAAAAATATATTTGTATTAAGTAATTTCAAGGTTCTGTCACATCAGAGAACATAAGTCAGATGAAGACCCTTAATTTTTTTTTCAAAAAGAACAGAAATATTTTCAGATCATGATCACACCGCCCAACTACTTCCCGGCGACCATTCCTTATGAGTATGGACATTTTTAACCTCTTTTTTTTTGGTTCCTTTCCTCAAACATATTTTGAAACGTCCCCTCGACATAAAGAAAATTCAGATTTCTACTGATTATTTGATTCAGAATGATCGGAATAACGGCTACGATAGCGCCATCAACACTGCCGTACAAGGTCCACAGTGGTTACGCAGATGGACCTGTAAGAAATATTCCAATAAGGGAAAAGTATATATTCAATGGTTTCCGCGCAGTAATATTCAAAAAGAAAAATATGAAAAACTACAGTATGCTGGACCTTTTTGCGCGATTCGCTTCGAGACCTGCGCCTTTTGCGCCTTCTTAAGAACGCTAGAGGGGTCACTAGAGGGTTTAAGAAGGGAAAAAAACCTAGAGTAGACAACATAGTGCTCCCTAGAAGTCAGACCTCTAAGCTTCTAAAGCTTGAGTGGTCCCTATAGGGGTCTTTCGATTTTTGTTCTGATTTTAAGACCATTAGCATGATTCCCTTGAGTGGCCACTTTTGCAAGCCTAGTGCCCTCTATAGAGGGCACTAGGGCGATAAAGTCCCTCAAGGGAATCCTAAAAGAAACTCCTAAGTTTGCCCCTCTAGGGACCACTCTGACAGTTCGAACTTTGCTTTAAGACCTGCTCCTTTTGCGCTTTTCCCTTTAAGACCTGTAATCTGAAGGTGTACGGTACTTTGTCCAGAAAAAAAAAACGTGACAAGCTGGCATGGAACAGACTAAAACAAAGTTGATTCCAGGCGGACAAGGAGCACTACGAAGACATGTCCTATTCAACTCCGGCTTCTAATTACGACGATTCGTCCCCCGCCCTGCCTCCGCCGGTCCCGAACGATTCGGAAACAGAATACGAGAGTCGGCCCCCATATTCGACGTCTTCTGCGAGTTATTCCCCGCAGACCTACGACTACAAAACGAGTCAAGTCGTTCAACAAAACTCTGATCGAGGTTAGCTTTTCCAGTTTGCCTAAAATGTTTACAAAAGTCGAAAAAGTACCCTTATTTTTGTAATTCCAGTAGGACTTCACGACGAGTTTAACTTTGAATGAACCGGAATTGGAATTCTAGAATTTCTCGAGCAAAATTCTCAGGAAAATTTGAATATAATATCAGAAAGTGTTTTACAAAAACAAATCAATGATAAAAACCTTAGAACGCCTTTCAAAGCTTTGAGGAAGATTCTCTGTATTTTTCTTCATTCTCTGAATTTTAAATTTTTTGTTTTTTTGCCGTTCTTCTTGTCCGTGATCCTGAGGTTCAATTTTGTAAAAGTAGTTGTCTCTAGGAGAACAAAAGTTTTATCAAAAATGCGTTTTAATAAATTTTTTTGAGGAACAGAGTTTAATAAAACAAAAAACATCGAATTCCGTTCAAAAAAAAACGGTACCTAACTTTTTCTGAGTTTTTGATGAGTAGAATTTGAAATTCCATTTTCATCTTTTTTCGGATCCTGAATTGGTCAATTTCCAGCAACCTACGAAAACGAACTGGACGAATTGAGCCAGCTCGTCGATTCGCAAAACTCGACTTGGCCAGTTCTCCCTTCAAGTCAACGAAAAATTACGGAAAGTATGTAAATTTTGTCTCAGAATTTATATAACTTTGATTTTTCAGTTTATCCAGAAAGTATGTTCGAGAAACGGCACGCGATTTTGAAGCGAATGAAGGTGAGTTTTGAAAAAGGGAAGGAATTTGAAGGAGGCACTTTATCGATTTTTTTTTTTTGAAAAATTTCGTTGCGAAGCGGCTCTGATGGTATGATAAAAACCAACTAATGATTGTTTTGGCCTAAAAAAATTAGTTTTGAAGAAAAAATAGGAAGAAATACGTGTAGACAGCGAAGCCCCGCCCCTTTTCGTGATGGTTTTTTGGTCTTCATGTTTGCTGTTTTTTTGCAATCCCAATACTGAACATTTTTGAAGGAACCATTTAAAAGAGAAAAAAAACACCGAAAACTGAAGGAAAGCTCCTGAACTTGAAAAAATTAAACTTTTTGGCAGATTTTGGAAAATGCTGTTGTGGTTCCTAGAAGTACGTTCAGGAATTCTAAAAAGTGTTTATAGTAACTTTCCTTAATTCATAATATTTTTCAGAGTTCGAAAGACGACGATACTGTTCCACGGACGAAGAACACGTGCAATTCGATGAAGCTCGCGAATGTTATGGCTAGAGTTCGTTTTTCCATGTTTATATGAAGAAAAATAATAAAAATTCTAGCATTTATTCATTTCAGGACGTCTTTGAAGCATGGTATAACATGATAAAAATCATCTCTTGGAGTAAAAATAGATAAATTTTGAGAAATTGAAGATTTGTAGAGTCAACTCGAAATTTTTAAAATTTTGTTCGGATAATCAGAACTTCTCCGGATGTTCTCTGTTTCGAATTTCATTGAAAAAATGCAAATTTTTGGATAATTTCGATCTTCCTCGAATTGTTGGGCTGTTTTAGAATAGAAGATTAATTTCAACTTTATTTTTTTCAAATTTTTTTATAATGGGTCCAAGAAGCTTTGTGTGATGAGAAAGAAGGACCTTTCTGAAGGTAATTTCAACTTCAGGCTATCGTCGACGACGTATCCGTGTCTAAAAGAATGGTTCAACACGCCACGGAACTCGCTTTCGATGGAGCCAAGTTTGAATACTTTCTTTCTTTTTTTCTCTATATGGACTAAAAAAACTATGACCCGGGCAAAGTCCGAAAGGTCTCAAAAAGAACTTTCGGAATTTGGAACCTTTTTTTCTTGACCTTTTGTGAAAACGACCTTTTAGAGAGCAGAAAAAGTATGAGGCGGAAAAAGGGGAAAAAAAGGAGATTCCGAGGAACTTCTGGGAAGAAAAATTTTTACGTATTTCCACATTTATCACTATAAAAATTTAATCGATTCTTCAAAAATCTCAAAAAAATGAAATTAAATCGACTCGTCCTATGTAAAATATCCTTGAAATCAACAGAAATAACTAAATTTTCATGAAATTTTTCAGATTCGATGTTTTTTGCGCTACGGGCGAGTTCAGCTACAGTATCCACGCGAGAAAGTACTGTGAAGTCACGAGCAATGACGTCACTTGCTTCTCATTCCGTTAAAGTTTATGGTTAGCTTGGGACACGAAGGGGTGTGGCCTGTCTGCGCTATATCTTTTTAATTGTGTCAAGACCCTTTTTCCGATGTCTCAAGCCAGAAAAAACGACATATTTCTAGGAGAAAATTTTCATGTAACTGTGCAATATTCTTGCTGTCTTTCGCCTTCGGATCTCTGTTTCGCAATAAATATTCATTCTCATGACTTTTGTAGTTGATAAAAAGAAAAAGTATGGCAAATTGATTGACGTCAAGTGTGAATCGATCATTTCGATTCGCCATTTCATCCGATTCTCCGATGGTCGACTTTTTCAGCGCGGGCCGATATGATTCTCGAGGTTCATAGGAGAAAAAGAGGATTTCTGTAATAATACTAGCCAAGATTCGGATCAATTTGAACCAAATTTGTTGCAAGAAGCCGATTGAACCAAGTTTTTTCTAAATATTGGAGAGTTTTCGAATCAATTTGAGCCAAAAATTTGTTGCAAAATGTTGTTTTGAGCCACGTTCGTTTCACGAGAAAAGGATTTTTTGGATCGAGCTCCACCAAATTTTGTTTTTTTTTTCTCAAAAGTTTCTGGGAAAATGTTTAGTGGCCACTATAGTAGTCAAACTAGTGGCCGCTTAAGGGGTTAAAAATTAGTGGCCACTATAGAGGTCTAAGAGCTACTACTAGACCACAAAAAATTTTAGTGTCCACTTTAGAGGTCAATGGATCAACATAACTGGTCCAATCTGTTTGTTTTAAAATTATCAGACTGGAAGGAATACTGGATGAAAAACTACTGAAGTGGCCACTAAAACGGAAAATAATGGCCACTATAGAGGTGGGTTTAGTGGCCACTTTAGTGTCCTCTCGAAGTAGTCCTTGGCGAGCCTCTATAGGTTATAGTGGCCACTAAAATTTTCCCAGTTGCACGACGAATAGAATTTTATGTTCAAAAAAATCTCATTCAGCCTCATCTCGATATCTCACCAAAGTCGACGAAAACTACTATGGAGACACTTTGGCGCCACAGCTTCCCCGTACGCCGGCGCCGCGGACGCCGAAAATGCGCCCGCAAAGACTGAAGCCGTCGGTCAAGAGCGTTCCCAGGAAGCAGAAGCTGAACATCTCGGCGCCTCCAAACAACTCACTCCTCATTAACTTTCCCCTCGGATGCAACGCCGACGAAGACGTCGTCCGCAAGGAGTTGTCCAGGTCTGGATGAACCCGAAAATCATACTAAAAATGACCGAAAAATGATCCTATACCAAGTTTAACTGAAATTAATCAGACTTCTTTTCGAGACCTTTGTTTTTTGCAATTATGTAAAGTCCAAAAAAAATTATATTCATTGTATCTTTTCTGCCGAGATTTTAAAAATTTGCTGAAGGTGCTGGTGAAAAAGTGTTCTTCAAGAAACAACAGTTTCCAGATTCGGCAAGGTCAAGTCGGTGAGCTCATGCTTCATCGACGGCTGCCAGTCCTTCGTGATCATGGACGACGATATCCGTCGCGTCGGCGGAGAGTACGCCGTCACTTCTGGAGACTCGGCCGTCGAGCGGATCATCAACGACAATCGAGGCCTTCTCTCGGTCCACGGCTTCATCTGGACCGTCACACGGCCTTCTGATCAGACGTCCTGTCATCAGGTGAGAGAGCTGAGAAAATCACACGGAGAAATTATTTCAGTCGCGAATGGGTGGAAATGATCTCATCGACGGTCCGAGTCCGTTACGGCGAGGTCGACTGAACAAGCTGGCTGGGGCGACTACCTTGATGAACGTCTATCAGAATTATCGGTATCATCACATGGTGAGACTGGAGATTGTTTTTAAGTGTTACAGGGATAATGGGTCTTCTTCTTAGGAGCTCCAGAGTGGTCCCTATAGGGCAACTTTAGGGGACCTTCAAGGGATCCATTTACCCCTATAGTGATCACTTTGACGTTCCTATGTTTGTTTGAGAGTATCTAAATTTTGAAAAATATTCTCCGAAACGGCGAAGACTCCCTAGAGATTTACTAATCATATGATATAGTTGGTTAACTCCAATCATCCTCCGTTCTCATTCTTTGTTTTTCCAGCAAGCCTCCTCAGTCACGTCGAAAACCTCGACCGCCGCTTCGACCTCCTCCATCAACCCCATCAGCGAAAAATCGTCGTTCTTCAGCTCCACCCCCTCCACCTCGATCTCCTGCTCCTCGGCTGGTCCCTCGACCCTCCTCCAAGTCTCCTCCTTCGAGTCGGTCGCCTCCAACGCCACCTCGTTCCTCCTCCAGAACTACCCCATAGCTCCTGTCAACTTCGCCAAAGGCTACCTTCCATTGGCGCCACCCTATCATATCCTTCCCGACACGCCTTTCTTCAGAAATACTAACATTATCCCGCCGCCAAGGAGGCCGAATGAAGGCGTTGGAACGCTGCAGAGAATCCTCAACCGGTATTTGGAGAGCATGGAGGTTGGTTCAAGGTCTTCTTTGTTGAAAAGTCTAGGTTTTCCAGCAGAACGACGAACAGCAGATAGCGGAGCTGGAGGAGCTCGAAGACTCGCAGTACCAGCTGCATTTTCCGCCGGTCGAACCTTCGTCCTCGATGCAGCTCTACACGATTCAGGAGGTGCCACAGCACTCGCCGCGGCTTCCTTGGTGGAACCGCTTCCATTGAGGTCGGATTCTACCTTATTTGGCCTGTCTGTTTCTCCTTCCTCAAACTTTGCATTGAAAAAGGGTATCTAATTCCCCAAGACTTCAAAAAAATCTGGTTTCTCTGCTCCCACTTGCCTCGGCGCAGCTCTCTTTTCTTTTTTACCGTCTCGACGGTGAGAGAGAAGAGAGGCCAGACAGATCATACTGTTTCAAGCCGTGGCTAATGTATTAATGAATTATACAAATATATTAAGGAATTTATCGAAACTAATTCAAAACTAATAATCACTCCTTCAAATTTTGAAAAGAATAAAGAAGGGTCAGCTCTATCTACCGTTAAAACCATTGATCAATTGGATTCTTATTTTTTTCACCTCACAGTGCTCTTTTTCATTAGAATTATCAAATAATCTTTATTTTTCAGAACCTCATTTTTCGACTCAACCTCAGCCCTGTACAAAGTCACCCGAGAAGAAAACGGATGCAACTCATGAAAATTTCCTTTTTTATTGTCATTTCCCGCTTCAATCGCTTTCCTTTTCTCATCGTGCCTTTCCCCTTGTTATTTTCGTTCCAATTCTTTGTTGACTGACCTGCCTTCCATTGTTTTTTCACCCACCATACAACTGACACCAACTGAAATGAGTAAAATATTTTTATTTGTGCGGAGATTTGAGATACAAAGCCAAGGCTTTTGAGAAGTTGTCGGCGAAGGTTTCGATGGCTTCAGAAGTCTTAGAAAGGGACGCCGAGTCTGGAAGATGAGATCAGAAAATGAAGAGGTGCTAGAACTTTCAAAAAAGATTTTTGAAGGAAGGTATCCTTATTACTCATTTAGTGACACTTTTGTCATTTTTTTTCTTGTTATCATACTAATTTTTTTTATAAGTGAAACTTTTTTTTGTAAAATTGAATTATTAAGTTAATTATTCTAACCTCCAGAACCAGCGCCGAAAAGAGCATTTCGAGCAAACCGAGTTTGATTGTCTGCCCCAAGATTTTCGTTCAGGATCTGAACAAATTCAAGTTTTTCTTTTGATTCTCAAAACGAAAACCTTGATAACAGCTGCTTCTAAAGAGCCAATGGTTTCCTGGTCGGCTGGGGCGAAGAACTTGATTCCGGTGAAGGTCGAGAGACTGAACGGACACAGGAGAAGACGTTCGCACATGACGTCGGCCGGCGTCCGGTCGATGTACATGGAGACGATCTGAAAAGTTGAGGATCGGGAAGAAAAACAAATGAAGCCTTGATAGATGTGCCAGGCGTCTCTATAGCGTATTATGAAGAAGCTATTTAAGTAACCACTAAAAGTTTGAATCGAAGCGCAGCACTTTCCCCTTTAGTGATCACTTAAAGAAGAACCACTGCTTCATTTCACTTCCTAAAGCTCTGATTTTTCGAAATCCTCCTTCTTTTTCCGTCTCCTTCTCCTACTTTTAGTTAGAAAAAACGACTCACTTAACTTTTAAAAAGCTTAGGAAAAAATATATATTTAATTTATAAATTTTTTGACTCATAAATGAGAAAATATACCGAAACAGCTCCTCCACAAGTCGCGTCGCTGTGCAGAACCATGTTGCAACTTTGCTTCTCAACCTCAAAAAGACTCTAAAAAAACTAGAAAACTTAATTTTATACTGTTTTATTTAATAAAAAAATTGAATGAGGAACCTGCTGGAAAAGACTGATTTTATTGATCGTCTTCAAAGTGTTGGCGACGATTTTACATGGCGCACAGAAGCGATGGCCAGTCGGATCAGCTGCAGGTGGGTTAACCTTTGGAGGCTCGACTTCAGGCTTCAAAAAAACATTTTAAGATGAAATTTTGTGAAATAAACGACAAACTTTATTATATAATACTTCTGAAGGTCTTTAAAAAAAGCACCCGGAAAGATAAACCGAATTTTTTTCTTTATCAAGCGTTGCACTTTTTATAAGATATTATTCAAGAAAGAAGCAGCTTTTCAAATTTAATATCTTTTTCAGAGTAACTTAAGCAATTTCGTATTGACGCGTTATTTGGTTAAAATGATTTCTCGAAAACGGCTTTTCAAGCATTTTTCATCGAAAATTTCAGAATTGCCCGTGAAGTCGTATAGCGAAATATATCCTTTTTCGAGCATGTTTCAAAGTGTATTTCGCAAAGTTCATTCAAAATAAAAGCGTTTCAATTTTAGAATCGCCGAAATAACTTCGAACGCGGCATAAAAATCGAAAAAAAAAATTACGTAATTGCGTAAATCCACACGGTTAGTCGTCTCCTAAAACTACGCGGCAGTTGCATTAAGTTAAGGTAGGCCACGCCCGCTAACCCCTTTTTGAAACGCTGTGAATATTGTTTGGTGACATTATTCAGCTTCTCAAATTTTCAAGCTATGTCCTTTGATCACACAGCCTTTGAACCTCGAGCTTTTTCAACTAAACTCAAAATTTCCTTCCATCAAACCTGAGCAAAGGTGCAGCCAAAAGCAGCCAGGAGAAAAATCACAAAATCAGAACTCATGACCGGAAATCTTTCGCTAACTTGATTTCATAAAATTCTTATATACCCCTGATGGAAATTTTCTATTTGAACACCTATGCCATTTGAACTTTTTGTTTTTGGGGCGGGTAACCCGGCAAAATAGCTCCGGAATTTCTGTATTTTCGATTTCACGGGTGATGACAGTTACAAGGAAGTTATTATTTGAAAAGCAGGCCGAAAAAGCAAAAAATTGAAAATAAAAACAAGCGAGCTTCATGAAGAATGATTTTTCATTGCGTGAAAAAATGTCAGTGCTCATTTCATCAATGGAGAGACCTTATACAGTATCATTCTACCTTTTTTTCCATTTATTCAAATTTTTTGAGTGCAAAAAGTTCTCCTGTGCATTTGGTGTTTATTTAACTCATTCAAAAGGATCAAGAAAAATCTCGGAAAAAATCAGCCGAAAAAATATCAAAAAAGGGATCGCATTCAATTTCGGTTATATTATGAATTAAGTATACATGCAAAGAAGAAAAAAAATGGAGAAAGGCACAAAGAAAACCAATTAAAACCGTGGGAATTGCAGGAAAAGGAAAGAAAGAGAATGGCTTCACATTACAACGAAGTTTGAATCGGAAGGAAAGATTTTGATTTCAAGTGAGGAAATAGAAAAGAAAGGGAAGTGAACCAACACATCGGGAAACAAAAAAAAATGTATTTATGAAAAAAAAGACCTTAATCTAGCTTACATGTCAACTCAAAGGTCTTTATTTCGTCGAATATTTTTTTAAAAAAGGAAGGAAAAAATTAGAAAATGGTTATTACAGTGAATCAAGGTTACGGTACTTATGAAAACTCATTTTTTTGAGAAGCTTTCTGTACAGGTAAAAATCGAAGTTATGTCGAGTTCCAAGTAATTTCCGCAAAATTCAAAATTATCTCTGACTCTCCAAAAGTAAGTTATCTTTTTCACACTCTGATGACCTTTTAGACCTTTGCAGAAAAACTTTGAGCCCGGGAATACCTTCATAACTACCGTAACCGAGCATCCCTGCACATACAACTAGAATCATTGAGTATTCTTCAAATTCAAAAGCTCCACCTTAACCAGCTAAAAGGATTACTGTACCCATGAGGTTATAAGGCGGGACTACAGGCCATATACCATGCTTCCGAAGACAAAAAATGACAGTAAATTTCAATTGTGAGCAGAAAATGATATTTTCAGAGAGGAAAGGCTTTTTGGTCGCCCAGAACATTGAAGACTAGAAAAGAATAAATTTCGATGAAAGAAATCGTTATCCAAAAACCGTACCGTTCCGAAATCTACAATATGTCTTCAATGTGTGCAGAGAAAAAAAATGGTTAAAATTTCTCGAAAAATAGGAAAATGGGGATTTTTTTTCAGGAGAGGTAAACAAACGTGTTGATGTCGTCTGGACGTCGTTCCATGTACCTGAATAATCACTTTTTCGTTACTATTTTGAAATTTAACTTTAAATTAGGAGTTTTAGAGGATAAGCTTAAAAACTTTTTTTAACTTTTTCTAGAAATTATCAACTTTAATCTTCACGATAGATCCGAAAATGTACTTTGAATCTAAAAAAACATTTTTTTCATGAAAAATTGGAACTCTAGTATTGTCGAAGAAATTAGAAATTGAGCAATAAGTTCGAAAAGTTGAAATAAGCTGAAAAAAGTGCAAAGAAAAAAACCAATTTTTTTCTAAATAAAAAAACTTTTTCTCGCAGGAATTTTCACGCATGAAACTTCTCCAAACATCAAAATATTATAAAAAAATTCTTCAAAAATCGATAACATCTAACGGCCAAACATTAATTTATCGTCAAGCTTTATCAAAAATCTGAAGAAAAATCTTTTTTTGACAGATTTATCATCATTTTCTTAACCCGGAACCCTTTTCACAGTTTATTAAAACCAAGAAAAATGCCCACTTATTCTCGATGAGCCAATCGATCTGTTCCTTGATCATCTTGCGGTTTGGCAGGAAAAACGGCTTCAGGATCTCGATCAACTCCGTCGTCAACTGCGCCAAAGTGATCGATTTTCGTGTTTTGAGTACCTTAATTTGAGCTTGTAAAGGATGAAAGTTGTGATGAAATACCTTGACAATGGCCTCCTGGACACGATATTCACGGAGAGCAACGATACTTTCGTGTTCCTTTTCGGCATTCGGTTCCAGGGAAAGTTGAAGCCGTCCGATCAGGTTCACTTTGCCCCGGAGTTGAGCTTTTCCGTTCTGAACATGAATTTGAATGGAAGTTGATTGATTTGAGTAAAAATAAAGTCAAAAAATCCTTGAAATTTTCACTATTTTTTTCAAAAATTCAATTTTTTTCGTCCTTGTTCATCTCAGAAAAAAAGGCACTTTCTCGGAATTTTTTTTCACGTTTCTTTTTTTGCATTCTCTTATCACGGAAAAAATCTGAATAAATAAATTAAACACATAAAAAAACCCTCTCGACTTTTGAAACGATCCAAAACTTCAAATGGAAAAAAATCTGGAAGGATTTCAGAAAAGACCCCTATAGGGAACACTTAAGCTTCAGGCAGTAAAAGTCCGACACTAAACCTCTCTAAGGCCCTAGATTATCCCACTAGGCGGCTGATTTTCCTTAGCCCCTCTAGGGGCCACTCTGGCGTTCCTAAGGTCTCTATTTCAGGTACAACGAAAAACTCTTTTGTAAGCCCTTCTCAAAAAAACGAACCTTGGACAAATTGAAGTCGTGGTTGACGAAAAAAAGCGTGGAATCGTTGAAATCCCTCGGGTTGATGTTCGGGCCGGGAAGGTCGCAATTCAGGACTTGGGACTTGATCTTGGGACATGCAACCAGTGACTGAAAATGACTAGATAATTTTGAATAAAATCGGAAAAAAGAGCTTCCTCTTGCAAAATGACTTATTGAAAAATTCGGAGAGGGGTTAGATCTAATTATTTCTTCATTTCAAAAAAATGAATAAAATCTAAAAACATCAATTTCCTGCATTAAAACTTGAAAATGATTTAAAAAACAGTTAAACTTCGTGATATCCCGAAAACATGAAAAAGCATCAATTTCCAAAAATTGAGGGCAAAACCAAAATTTTCTTTAAAAGTTCATTCCTTAGAATTTAAAGATGAATCTTTTAACCAAAAAAAATTATCACCTATATTTGAGATTTAAAAACATTTTTCCTTTAAGTTTCAGTAGTTTCATGAGATTTAAAAAAATAATCACCAAAAGAGTTCTGAAAAGCTCCGTGTCGGGCAGTTCGGTGGCGATTCTCAAAGATTCGAGGGACAATTTTTCGTTGGCCCTGTCGTTCCAACAGAAAAGGACGGCCATCTGGAAAGTGGTCACTTCGAGGTCGAATCGGCCTCCGGAAGACGTCCCGAAGACCATCTGAAAGAAGAAATTCGGAAGTTTACTTTCCAAAGAGTTTATAAAAACCATACCTTATGAAGTAACCAGGTCCCAAAAGATCATGAAGTTGAAAATTATGCCATTTTTTGCTTCTATTCAATGTAAGGCTTGCTCATTTTCATGTTTCTTTCTGGGAAAAAATATTCTTAACGTCTCAAAAAATTCTTTCAGATGATTCCTCTTCATAGAGTTTTTAAAAACTTCAATATAAATCTTATTCATTTAACAGGCTTTTTACAAAAATAAACTCAATTATCTATAGAAAACGATTTTTTTTTTTGTATTAAAAATAATCCTAAACTGACCGTTCCGCTGCTCCAATGGTGCATCCAGGCCAATTTCCGTCCACTGTGCTGTTTTTTGTAGAATCCTTCGATCTAAACCGGAAATTCTAGGCTCTGGCCGTTTTTTAGGTATTTCCAAACCTCCGGAACAAATTCGTCCAGTTCTCTGGGCAAGGAGACTCGAACTTTGTCCGACCCGCCACGTCCCCACGCCCCGCCGTTCAGTATTTTGATATTGACCACATCTTTAATAAAAAGAAAAATCATCTTTTTTTGAAAGAAATAGGGTACTCAATTCATAAGAATTTTTTTAAAAAAATTAGCAAATTGAAAAAAATTTTTTTAAATCTTTAAAAAAAGAGATATTTTTCGAAATTCATAAATTTTATGCCATCCACGGAAAAATTTTTGAAAAATTTCTGCGATTCGAAAATTATTTTTTTGAGCATCAATATTATATTAAAAAGTTAATATAAATTCAAGAAATTTGAAGATTGGATTTTTTGAAAAATACATAATTACATGCCTTCAACAAAAATGAAATTTTCCAGAAAAAAATGGTTTAAAACCTAAATTTTAAGTCTTCAAATTGCAATATCAGTTTGATATCAAACTCAAGGAATTTTTCGATAAAGAAATCCCTCAAAAAAATCTATAAAAATGATTGTCTCTAACATTTTTTTCTTTCATCTCTAGAGCTTAAAAAAATCTTTTATAACCAAAAAAATATCGACATGACTACTACAAAAAAATTAAGATTTTTTTAAATTACGAAGATGCTGTATTTTTCCAAAAAAAGGAAGGATGTTGTTTGAAAGAAAAAAATCATAATTTTTTTCAAAAATTTTTTTCCATTTTCAATCGTCAACTTTTTCTCTTTAAAAAAACATAAGAAAAAAATTATTATTCTCATTTTTTTGTAGAGTAATTTTTTTCTCACCAGCCATTTTATTGTTATTGATCGACAGCGATTGCTTGAACAAGGAGCTGAGGTCCTGAAAATCGATAAAATATATCCATCGATTGAATTTTGATGATGAAAACCTTGTTAACTTCGATGTCCTGGAGCATTTTTGACAGTTTATTGACCATATCGGGCGGCATTCCACATTCCTGGAAATGGAGGAAAATAAATTCAAAGCAGTTCAATTTTTCAAGCTTTAATGGGAAGGGGGTTTATTTTTTCAAAGGCCTTAAAAATTGTTCCTATAGAAGCCACTCTGGCAGTCCTTCTTGACCCGAAATGCAAAATATTGCTCCTAGAAGGAAATTAGTACTGTTTCGAAGCATTTCGAGTCATATTTTTTTAAATTTGAAAAAAATGCTCCGTTTCTCCCGTGAAATCGCCAAAAAAACCTTTGCAAAATATTTTTTTAAAAATATATATTTTGCAAAAATACCTTTGCAAAAATATATTTTTTTATATTTTTTTCGAGGCTAGATTTCTTTAACTCAATTTTTGCGCTTTGATTTTGAAAAAAATATTTGCGATTTTCTGACCAGTTCGAACAATTTTTCGTACCCTCAACTTGTTGACCATCATCTCCTCCTTGTCCTGATCCGCACTCATCTCCAAAATAAGGCGACGGGACAAGTGCGCTCTGTGGAACCGCATGAAAAGATCCTTGTTCTGCACGTATTTCAGCACGAGGAGCTGGAAATCAACAGTTAGCATTGGAAAGTGCGATAGAGCGCGAACCACTTGGTTGAGTTTCTCGTCGATTTCTTCGGATGTGAGCTTTTTGCTCAGCTGCGTTTTTCGGAGCAGAAGGTCACAGTAATTCGCCAGGAGCTCGGCGCATTTTGACTCGACGGAAGAAGTTTTTCTGGAAAAATTCACGACTTTGCTCTTTGGCTCGCTCTCTGATTGGTTAGATATACAATGAGAGGCGGAGTTTGAGCGAAGACAGATCTGAACAGACTTCACAAAAGCCGCAAACTCCAACAGTTCCCTTCAGAACGCACCCTTTCTTGTTGAGCAACTCCAGACGGAAGATGGAGCAGTCGTTGACGACTTCTCTGAACGCCTTGTCGCGGGTCGTCAGAAGACGTGCGTCGTCGCAGAACCCGTCGCGCACCAGGGCGCTGAACTTTTCGAACATGTTCAGCAGCTGCGCCACGTACTTCTCCGGGTCCTGAAAGATTGATTAATCTCTGACTCGAGCCAATCTTTGGAAAACCAATATCTTCTTTTGAATTTACTGTTCGGAATCAGAAAGAAGGGTCCTGAAAAAAAAAGTTTCCTGAGGCTCACCACAAAAAATTAAATTTTAGAAGATCAAAGCTTCAAAAAAAAAATCTTCGTTTCAAACAAGTTCCAAAAAAACTTTCTCGTTCATAGATATCTATTTACTGTTGAACTTTTTCTTTACATTTTGATACCAATTCAAAATTTAGTTCAACAAAAGTTTGAAAAAAACAAAAGTCTCCTTTAAAGCCCGTTTCCACAGGTGCCTCAAGACTTTAGGTTCGTAACTAAATTTAAACAAATAAAACTACTTTTCCTAATAACATTATTTCACTAGAAAACGGGCTTTCATTTAAAAATGAGAAATGAAAGATGAAAAAAAGAAAAATGAAACCCGATCAAGTCACATACCCTGAGAAAAATCTGACTTTTCAATCTTTCAAAAACTTTGCTTTAACCTTCAACCTTGCAAATATTTTACTAATCAATAATATGTGGGGAAATCATGTAAACCGCAAGAAAAAAGCTGTCACTTTCAAATGAACTAAGGTGAATGAAAAATGAAACACGATCTTAGTTTTATACCCTCTGTAAATCTGACAGTTCATGTAGTTCACCAGGAAAAATTTATCAGTGTCACAAGAGCTCAAACAAATGAAAATCAAACCCGATCTTAGTTCACTAACCCCTGAAAACCTGTCTTTTCAACTTTTAAAATCATTATGTTACCCCGTCACACAACCTCTAAAAAGGATCGCCCGTTAGGAAAAAAAACCTGGGAAGAATGTTTTTAATGCCTACCGCAGTGATAGTCTCTGCATTAGCGTGCATGTCGTTGAGGCCTTCGGTCCGGATGTGTTCGTCGATGCATTTGACGACAGTTTCGATGCCTTTTCGGGTTCTCCGAATCAGCCTGTAGAGACGCTGGAGCCCTGAAACGAATAGCTTCATTAAAATTCGAAAAATACGATATATACAGCTGATTCAAGGCTGGCTTTTGTTATCGAAAAAAGAGTCCTGACACGATAATGCACGAGATAGTGCATGGCTCGTGGAGAGGGCAGACAGGCCACCTTCATAAGCTAGTCGTGAATCGGCTACATTAACTTTTACGCGCGAAACTCTGAACTTTTGAATAATTTGGTCCTTTTTCAACTGAAATTTTTCGTGAAAGTCACCGTATAGCTCATAAATCACGATATATCGTTGTAGGACCCAATTTTCCAACTTCACCCTAAATTCAAACCTATTCAAAATTTATCTAAATAATTCTAAACGAACGCGTCAATTTTCGAATCACCAAAATTACTTTGACCAGGCCATCAAAAATTTTAGGCTCATTATACAAGTTTTCTAGGATCTTCCAAGAACAATTTACCAAAAAAATTATAATTTCAAAAAAATTTTTCGAGCTGCTTTTTGAATTGTTATAAGAGTAAAAAGTAAGCCTTATTTTTTTTAATTAGAGGATCTGAACTGGTATTGAAGGTGGACTCTGGTTTCTTCTGAATATTTCTGCACAAATATTTGTTTTAATCATCTTAGAATTGAAAAATAAAAACATACGTTCGACATCCCGATTCTGGATCAATCGAGAGCACTCTCCGAGAATACTTTCTTCATATTCTTCCACCAAAACCATCACGCAACAATCCATATGCTTCAAATCGTCAAATGCAATTAAATAGGAGAACAATGGAACTTTTTAATAAAAAAATTTTTCTTAAGAGAAAATGTATAAAATAAAACTTTCGATAGCATTTTCGGAACTCAAGACACTGATATAATCTCTAAAAGACCAATTTCACGGGAAACTGAAGCTCTTTCTGGACTGAAAAACTAAACTAGAAAAAAATTTATCTCAAACTAATAGGAAGACTCTTAAAATTTAATTTAAAAAAATGAAATTGAAGCTTTTTTTAATTTTCGAAGGAGAAAAATCTATAATATAAAAACTTCAAGAAGCATTTTCGGAATTCAATTCACTGATAAAAAAACTATAAAAAAATCCAATTTTCTAGAAAAATTCGAGGCTTTTCCGGATTTTATTTCGATACAACTTTCACAAAAAAATCTTTTTTTAAGATGTTTGAAAACACAAAATCCTCGCAAGACTCAATAAAACTCAAAAAAAGCTTTTTCGCCTTGAGACCTTCAAGATTTCAGTATCCTCCTTTAAACACCTGGAAAAAAGATTTTTGATAATCGATAATTTTTCCTAAAAAACTCGATTAAATGTTTAAAAAATCAATAATAAAAAAAACCTTTTTGATAGAATATTGAGTCATTACATTTGGTGCTTTCAATCTAGCCTCGTCATTACCCTGAAAGCACCTTTGATTGAAATAATCGAAAATTCCTATCAATTATCGATTTTTTTTTTCGATCTTTGATCAAAAATACTGACATGAGAGGTGCTGGCGGGATACGATGAATCCAAATATTTCGAGGCCCGAAGATTTTCCTCGTCCAATTTCCTGTCAGCGTAGATCATGTACTCCAGGACCCCATGTTCCTCCAAATACTGAAAGAAAATTTATGATTCAAAGGTTTTTTCCGAAGAACTTGGGAACTCCAGAGTGGTCCCTATAGGGGTCCGTGCAGGTTCCTTTCAAGAGACCACTTTAGCTCCCGCTATAGGGACGTAGTGTTTGCAAAAGTGGCCACTTCAGGGGAGCATGCTAGCCGATCAAAGGATTGATCAATTAATTTTCAAATACCTCTTTTCGCTTATCAAATTCGAACGAAAAATCAAAAAACCTCTACAGGGGCCACTTAAGCTCTGGAGGCTTATTACTCAATCCCTGAACATCTATAGAACCACCTAAATTTAACCCCTATAGGGACTCTTTTCCCTCCTAACCCCTATAGGGACCACTCTGGCGTCTATAAGAAACCTGGGAGTTTCGATTTTTGTAATAGTTGACAGTTTCCTCGGTGAAAACTTTCTCGAAAGTTCGTCTGTACAGCGCCAAGGGATCGTCTGGCGCATCGTTCAGAGCGACTGGAAAATATTCAAATTTATGATCGTTTTTTTTTAACCTTCTTTGCTTTCATTATTCGTTTTTCATTGACAAGAGAGTTCAAGAACAAAAAATTAAGATTAAAAACAAGTTTTTTTTTTTCGATTCGCGTGAAATTTTTTGTAGAAAATGTTTTTTTTTTTCACTGCTCTAGGCTCTGTCGGAGAAGCAAATATTATAGAAAAATATATATATCAACTCGAAATTTCAAAGTAGAAAAATAAGAAGAACCTTTTTTTAATTATAAAATGTGAAAAATTCAATTAAATTTGTAATAAATTTTTCACACCGCATTTAAAAGCTAAGTAGATGAATTTGCGGAAACGCGAAGAATTAACTTGAAAAAGCTCTTCAAAACCACCTCAAAAGCCTATAGGAAACCTTTATAATTAACTTGACGCGAAATTAAATTGTCTTTGGAAGCAGAATCAGTATTAATTTTCTCAACTCTTAAGTGATTCCCCGTCAAGTTATTTTAAAAAAAATCGCAAAAATAATTTTTCAAGTTATAATTATCCTTAATAAAACCCACCGAAACTCTCCCGCACCCCGATAACCAACTGAGAATCGATTATCCCGCCATTTCTTTCCGATTCGACCAATCCCATCGCCGCGGACAGCAACTGCTGACTGAACGAGGAAAAAATGGCGGTGTTCCATTTTTCCAGCATCACCTGGAAAATATATCCTAAATTACGGAATTTAGCTGGATTTACCGTTTTTATCGGGACAAGGTCAATAGTTTTCGCTGTTTTCCCATAAGCCGATTCGATCACCTGAAAAAAATATGAAAAAGTTTTTTTTTTCTTGGAGAAAACCTTGAATGGAAGGGGCAGAATATTGGCCTGTTTGTAGAACCGGGCCCACTCGTTGATGTAAACCCGCAAAAGCGAGCTCGTGCCTTCGTAAACTCGAATTCTCTGGTAATTTCGTTATTTAACTCATTTTCGTCATTACCACTCACCTTCTCAGCTTCTGCTACATATCGAACGATATCTTCGGAAAGAGCTTCTCGAACCTTTTCCTCACCATCTTCCACCCAAGAATGGATTTTGTACACGGACAGAAAAAGGTCTTGCCATTCAGTTGGGGTAACCCTCTTTTTAAAAATATTATAACCGAAAATTGAACGAAAATAATTTACCGTTTGGTTCAATAACGCCAGGACTGTTGGATGTGCCCGGGCCCATTCTGTTTCAAAGTTCAAGCCGCTTTCTGCGCGGAGTGATCCATGCTGAACACAATTAAATGAAAAAAATTCAACATTTTATTTGAGGAAAATAAAACCATTCTCATAAACGCCAAACAGTCCGGCAAACGCAGGACTCAGACGCTGAGGTGCTGAAATGCGATATTTACCTTCTCCAAACATTTTTACAACAAAAAGCAACAATAAAAAAGGGAAAATGATAATGTCAACGCTGAAAGCCAAAAAAAAGTTTGAGGGCGGAAAAGCAAATGCAGGAGGCGCGCGGATAAAATGCAATCTAAGCTTGTTTTTCTTAAAAGCGATTCGAACATATTTCACCTGTCTTTCTCTTTGAAGTTCGAAGTGTTGAAAGTAAGTTCGTCATATATAATTTATTGACATAGCTTACGGCTGCGGGGACGTATAACTCATTTATATTCAGGGCTGGTCAGAAATTCGTCAATATCTTCATAAACAAATTTCAAGCCAGCGTTAGATGAAAATAATTTTTAAAAAAATCTTCATTAAATTTTATTTGAGAAAAAAGGTCCTTGAATTCGGCTGAGATGGGAAGAGATTGAAGAAATTCCGAGCAAGAACTTTTTTCGAATCTCTTTTAAAAATTTCCATTATACCGGAGATGTCATCTTATTATCCTGAAAAAGTACTTTTTATCAGTAAATTTCTGATAACGAGAACCTCAGGGCCAACATCGAAACGTTTTCATTGCGTATCCCCAAGGAGGAAATTGGAGAACTTGAAAAAAATTATTTTCAAAATTCAGCTTTTCTCTTAAAAAAATATATCTGAAAAACTTTTGTGTGGAACACATCTCTTCTCGTATGTAGACTTTCTTAATATTTTTTGAACGAAAAAGTACAAAGATTTGATTTTTTGTATTTATTGAACTTCGCAAAAATATCACAACCAAAAAAAGAGGTAAATAATAGAAAAAAAGTGAATGGAGAACATTAATTGTCAAATAAAGTTATTATATACAAAAATATTGAACATCAAGAATGAAATACAGGAAAAATAGAAAAAAATTATTATCTTAAATATTAAAAAAAGATAATGAGAAGTTTATTAAAAAAATGAAATCACAATTTAAATTTCAACAGGAGGAAGAACCAGAGAGGGAACCGAAAAAATTATCGAAGTTCAAAAAAATCAGTTCACTCAGCTTCATTATTAAGAATAAAAAAATTAATATTATATAATTGAATGGGCATAATATGCACAATGGAATCTAAACAAGGTCCAAAAAATAAGAACCAGATTATCAGAGATGAAAAATAGTTGAACTAATTTTTAGGATAATTAATAATAATAAAACTCAGAATCGCACCATTTTAAAGAGTTTTTCCAAAGAAGGCGTGCGGGAAGCTGCAGAATGGACGTCGGCGGCAGACTTCTTCAGAAGATCCATCGAAGCGACGTCGATTTTCCCGGCCATCTGAATTCAGAATAATAATGATTTGTTCTTCAAACAGTACAACTCACACAACGCTCCAAAAAGTCCTCCAGATCCTTCGAAAATTGAAGAGTCTCGAGGCGAAGAAGGTGGCACGTCTTCTGGGCGTGCAAGATGAAGTTGCTGCCGAACTTCTTGAAAAGCTCGCTCAGCTCCCTCATCTCGTGCTCCAGAAGGAAGTTGCTGAGTTCCAGCTTTTCCTTGACTGACTCGGCCATGTTCTGAAAGGAATAGTTAGTTCAAGGAAAAAAAAGAATATTTTACCTTCAAATATTTTGTGACTTCGAGAGTCACGGGAACGTCGGCATTCACGACGACCAATTGAACAAACTGAAAAGGAAGAAATTTTAAAAAAAGACCGGTATTTTTAGAAAAATCAAAAAATATCTCAATCAAATAGACCTTGATAAAAAGCTTCAAGAAAGTTGTTCTAAGAATCGGAGATCTGGAAATATTGCGAATAAAACCAGAAAGTTAAGCCTTGTGACTCAAAAATTCACCAGAAGTAAGAGCTTTCAAAATTTTCGAGTATTTATGTGAGTGGAGGAAAGCAAAAGGTCAAAAGTTGAACCAATGGGTAAAAATTTTAGGTCAAAAAGGATAATAAACTCTATAGAAATCGACCTCAAAAAAAAAAAGAAAAGGTACCTGGAAAAGGAGACGGCGGTACTCGGGCAGGACTTCGTGGCAGGAGGAGTAGACCCTCCAAATACGTTCCAGCCACTCCTGTTCGAGCTCCCTTTTGCGCTGGGCAGCTTCGAGGTGCTGCTGCAGCTCGGCGAATATGAGTTCTTCGCTGAGCTTCTGGACGAGGGCAGAACGAGATCTGACGAACATTACGACAGGCAGCAGTTGGGAGAAACTGGTGAGACTGTCCTTCTTACAGCTCATTTTATAGGAAGATCAGGGCGGGAGCACGAGCCGAGTTCTCATCCCAGCTTCTGAGGTGTGAATGGATGCCTGAGGCTTGTTAGGAGTCGATCTGAGCCTCAGATGGGTGTGAAAAGAGACGAGTGGCATATATTTTTGTTGACCAATTTACAGTTTTTTTGTGTAACGTTGAGGCCTTCGCAACTATTTTTAAGACTTTAAGTATGTAGCTCTTTTTTTATAAAGCTTTTTTCCAACCTAAAACTATTAATTTGAACTTAAAATTCCACTTCTTCAGTAGTTCCCACACAATAACAGTTATCAGAAAAATAATTTATGAACTCTTCTTTTTGGTGGATTTTCTCAAAACTTCGGCCGACGGGAACGCCCTTTTGGAAGGTTCTTTCACAGGTTCTGCCGACGGAGCCAACGCTTCTACAGACTGGAGTTTTGAATGACGTTTTGGTGCGTCTCCAGTCCGTTCGGCTGTCAGGCTCAAGCCCATTTGTTGGAACTCTAAAACGAAAATTGAGAGAAAAATTGAATTTTCACGCTTTTGAAGTTTTCTTGGTAATGATGATTTTTCAAGGAGTTACCTACGGTTTTCAAAGAAACTTTATTATTTTCAAAGACCTCGAAGCGAAAAGTCAGACCTCGCCGGTGAGAGAACAAACTTGGGAAATTATCCACTTTAGGGTTTTGACATTTAAGTGATCACTATAGTAGTCAAATTAGTGGCTGAAATTCAGTGGCCTCTCTAGAAGTCTAATTGGTGCTACTAGACCACTAAAAACTACTAAAGTGGCCACTATTATCCAAGATAAAGGCTTCTCTAGAGGTGGTCTGAAAGGCCACTTTAGGGTCCTCTCCAAGTAGTCCTCGAGGAACCTCTTCAGGGGTCATTAGAGTTTTTCCTAGTAGACACTCTGACGCTCGAAAACTGCCAGGTCCCGGCAGATTTTTCCCAGTTTTTAGCAGTCTGACATCTCTGAACTCTCCTCTCACTCTTTTCATGTTTTCTGACCTAGTTGGTGAGAGAACGGAGGGCTCAGAGAGGTCAGAGTGTTTGAAGCCGTTGCGAATGGACTATAACTATCGAAAATAGAAACAATTTTTTCACCTGGCTGTTCATCCATATGACGTTTGAGCGCTCCCCGTTGCCATTTATCAACGAATCTTGTGCCGAATCTCTTGAAACATCGCGTAATGAAGGAAATCCAGAGCAAACTCAGCAGCAATCCGATCAAAACTCCATGAATAACTGCTGGAAACAGAATTTAGCATTTTGAGAAGAAAGATTCGATATATCGATCTCTAAACTTTCCAAGATAGGTGATATCTCTAAACGGTTTAAAAAATTCTCAAAATTGACCGGATTGCTCCTTGTAAAGATTTTGAGCGTCTAGACGTCTCCACTAGAGCTCTCAAAAGTAAATGTTTGAACGAACGTTCAACCAAAAATTTTCCGAACGTTTGATGAATTCGACCAATTAGTTAAATTTCACATGAACCGTTTGTTAAAAAAACTTCATTTTGGTTAAATTTCATAACTGAGCATTTAAAAAAATGACCAATTACTTATTTTTCGAAAAAATTTTGGTTAAAAAAGTAAACATTTAATATTCATTTTGAAAATTTTGGTCAAAAAAATGAACATTTAAATTTCACTTTTTGAAAAAGTTTGGTCAGAAAAAGTAAACATTTAAAGTTCACTTTGAAAAATTTTGGTCAAAAAAAGTGACCATTTACTTTTTCTCTTTGAAAAAAATTTGGTCATTAGGACGAACATTTATTTACTAGTCAGAATATGATTGTTTAGAAAATGACCATTTATTTTTTTCAGTCATTATTTGGAAAGTCACAAAATGAAAAAGAATGAAAGTGATCAATTTTTGGTTGATCTTTCAAAAAAACGACATTCGTTTGAAATGTCAAAAAGAAAAACTTTTCGTTTTTTTGAAAAAAATGTAATTTTTTTCAATTGGTCATTTTGAGAACTCTCCTTCTAGTTTTCATTAAAAAAGTTCTTAAATTTCAAACAAGGGCAAAAAAAATTGGGAAACGGCCAAACTTCGATGATTTTTTTTTCTGATTTTGAAGCCTCCTTTCTCGAAAACTCAAAAGAATGTTCATAGAAAAAATCAAGGAGTACCCCGACAAATTTTTCGAAAAATCCTCAACCGCAAATTAAAAATGACGTTGGCCCATTCCAGGTCTGAAGAGAACCTTCGGAGAAAAAAAGGCTCTTTTTGACATTTTTTTAAAGATCTTTTTAAAAAAAGATAAACAAAAGAAGGCGGCGGAAAAAAAGGGTGGAAAAAGGAGCTTCGAGAAACCTTCAAAACTTTTTTTAAAACTCAAAAAGCTCTAGACCTTTTTACGTCATTTTCGAGTTTATTTGGATTTTTCCCCGTGTTCCTAGGCTATCTTGGAAAGACTAAAATATCAAGTTAAAAACAGTACCTTGGATAAAATGTTCCAGAAACTCTTTTTTTGGCTTTTCATCTGAAATTTTGAAATAGGAAATATTATTTTGCGAAAAACGACAAACTTTTCTCACAAAATCCCAATCGATACTGAAAACGAAACATTTTAAAGGTTCTTATTTAAAAACCAAAACCTGTGCAGTGACGTTTTGGATATCATTAAGAACTTTCTCCGATACTTCTCCCCAGCCTTTGAGACGGCTACAATCGAAAGTAGGCGTGAAAATGAACTGGATCGAACTAACATCTTCGAGTAAATGCTCGGGATCTTCGACTACGAATGGTCGTTCTGAAAATTAATTTTGATAGAGAAAAGAAGTTTCAAAAATACATTAAATTCGAATAAAAAAAGGATAAAATGATTAGAATCACAACACCACGCTGCTGATTTATCGAAGCTTATTCAGGGCTGGGTTGAGCCATGGAGAAAATGGTCCTGGCACGAAAAGAAAAAAGACAATGTCTGGTTCATGGAAGCCACGCCCCTTTCAGTTCCAAGCCAGCCGCGAATCGGCTATGACAATCTGACCTATCTGTGCTCTCTTTTCTCTAACCGATGAGGTCATAGAAACAATCCGTTTGAGAATTTCATAAATCTCGAAAAAATTCAACGGCCCATTCAACCCGAAATTTCTCGATTTACCCAACTTTTTATCTAACAAAAGAATATTTTCAAAGAAATTAAACACAGAAAAAAACCAACCCGCTGGATCAAGTTTGTTCAAAATCTGCAGATCTTGAAAGAAGTTGAGATTTTCACAATCGACGTTCCCCGTAATTTTCAATTGGCCGAAAATTATACGCAAGTTCTTGAACAGGGTCTGGAAAAACGAAAAAAAAAAAATCAAAAAATTCATAAAGTCTGTTCAAAAATCATTGAAATGGATTTTGGCCAAGTGCCTCAACGGGTGTACCCATATTGTACCTGTTTTTTTGGCTATATGAGTCTCAGTTGTTCTAAAAAGGGGCTAAATAGAGCAAGAAGAAATAAGCGACCCAGCTGTGTTCATTTCGAAAATCTGAGACGCAACTGGGCTAAAACAGGGCCTCAGCTGGGCTAATAATTGTCGAAAGTACTACGCTTATACGGGTTAAAAACGGGCATACCCGCTGAGAGCCCGTATGAGCAAGGCTGAGCCACCCTCATCCGCATGAGAGTAAGTCTGAAACAAAAAACGGCTCTTTGCTTCGAGGTTTTTTATTAAAGCGAGCTATGCTCTTCTAATTAGCCCCAATTTCGAACCTTTTTTCTTGAACTCACAGTTTATTCATATGTGATTTAACCTTTAATCGGTTCCCTTCTGAAGCGCAAGTTATATTGCCGAAATGGATCCACACCGACGCTTCGATGCCATTGCAAATCGTTTCTTTTTCGTAGCTCTTAATATCCACTTTTTCAGCGATAAATATGTCCTGATTATAACATGCTGTAAAGTTTCCGATAAAGATAGATTTATAAAGAGTTGGAAAAGATAACCTGCCCAACAACTTGAAGCCAGGAAGAAAAGGAGGAACATTGAAGAAAACGTCAGAAAACAAAAATCCACTAGAAATGAGGATTGGTGTTACGTATTTGTAATAATTATTTGATAAGGAAGTTTGAAATATTTTTTTCATGGTTTCGTCGGACCTTGAACGACTTTCGCTTCATTACAGACCAGCGTGCTAAAGTAGTTTATAGTCAGAAGCCGTGACTAAGTTAGAATCTTGGAAAATAAAAAACGTTCAAAAATTGAAAATATTCTGCTTCAGAGCAACGAAAATGCTCTCCATATACGTGCTGGAGTAATATTTTGAACACAATTTCGAAAAAAGAAGCTTTCATCAAGTGTTTATTTAAAGATTTATAAAAAGAAAAACAAAAATTCCAGTCAGGGTTTCTCCTTGTTCGATCGAGAGCTCTGAGTTTTGTCAGGCTCTCCGACTTTCTGCTGATTCTTCGTCGAAGGTGCGGGATCCTCGACACTGCTCTGGGTCTTTTTCAAGGACATCTGAGGGGTGCTTTTTCCGCTCGTCCTCTGCTGACGTTCCTTCCCTCGTGACGTCACCGGCGCCATCGCAGTCGCCGCAGCTCCCGCAGTCACAGGAGCCAAAAAAACCTGGCTTTCTTCCTGCTTTTCCGCATACGACACGTTGACTTCGGAAGTTTGCTCCGTTTTCTCTTTTCTCATATCGGCCGTTGTTTCCGACGGAACCGTACGTACACCCTGAGAATAGAGGACATTTGCTTTAGAAAATGTCTTGGATAAATTCTTGCCGACTTGAAAAGCGAGATGAGCAGATTGGCAAGGGTAACGCGTTGCGTACGCGATGCGGTTTTTGGCGGGGAACTACCCGAAGGAGAACGGAATTAAGGTAAAAAAGAAAAAAAAATGTTTTGTTATATAGTCGATGTGCCACGACTTGAAATTTCATGGAACGACACTCCGCTGGGTGGCCGTGAAAGCGCCTTGCCTTTGCGAATTTCGGTCGCGCTTTCCATTTTTTCTTCAATTTGAAATTTTGACTATTTCTGTGCGAAAGCAATAATAGTTCCGTTTTTTTGGCACATAAAAAAACAATTAAAAAAAGTTGTTAAAAAAAGGGAAAAATATCAAATAAAAGGAAAAAAAGGAAAGCGCGACCGAAATTCGCAAAGGCAAGGCGCTTCGCGACAGCGCGCACTAGTTCCACAAGAACATCGGAGTGTCGTTTCATGAAATTTCAAGTCATGGCACATCGACTATATTTATTTTTTCATTGCTTCAACCAAATTTTTTCAACACCATCCAAAATTTAAATTCATTGAGGCACGCTCGAAGAAAGAGAAAAACGGTTTTAATAAACGATGGCTCGCGTTTGACCTCGAGTTTCCCGCCAAAAAGCCGCGTCGCGTACGCAATGCGTTGCGCTTTTCAAGTATAGTCTGTTCAGATTTTAAATGTCAAGCAGCTAACTCCGCCCCTGCTGAGACGGTACCCTTTCGCGTCGATGTTTTAACGCGCGGGATTTTGATCTTATTTGATCTAAAAGATAGAAAAAGAAGTCAAAAATGCAGCCTTATTAAAGGGCCATCGTCATCTGTAGATAAAACATTGACGCGAAAGATATTGTAGCATTGGGGGTGGAGTTAGCTGCTTGACATTCAAAATCTGAGAGACTATATTGTACATATTTTTTTGAAAAAAACCAAGTTTCAAAATGAACCTTTTTAGGAGTGTTCCTGGAATAGGCGTTTCTGGGCCTATCGTCGATTTCCCATTCCCTCATTCGACGTTTATCCGCCTGTTCAAAGTTGACAACACGATAACAGTGCATAACGCTGATAAAGATAATGATACTCAAAGTCACTGTAAAAACATATTCATAATAAATATCAATACAAAACTGTCAAACTTCCAAAACAGACTGTAGATACATAATGAAATTTACCGCTGATTTCTTTTAATCGTTCTTCACTAGCTGAAAATTTCTCTTTAAAATAATTAAAAAACCCTTTTATCTCACTGTCTCGACAAACATCCTTGGAGACCTGCAAAATTAGATTTTTCCCATTTTTTCTCGGAAAAATCTCTCACCACGACGTTTTTGACTTCTTTCTTCCAAGAACTTCCCGTTCCCGTACAGCCGCTATCAACCGACATAATCATTCTGAGGTCGGTTTTGTTTTGGAAATAGCTCGAGAACACAGCCTTGTCCTCATCAATTGAAAGTGCGGGTTCTGTTCCCTTAATATTTAGAAACTCTCGTTTACTTCGCTCACCTTCTTTCACATAAACGTTCATGAAAATCTTCAAACTTTCCAGAAATATCATATTATCGCAGTTAATATTCTTTATTTTGACTGTGGAGTAAGAAACTTGTAGTGCACTAAGAAGCATTGACAATCCTTTGACCATACTGAAAAATTTGAACTTCCTAAAAATCTTATTAGTTGAATTTTCTTCTCATTTGGTTATCTTTTCATCCTTTTCAATCAATAAAGAAATCCTCGTCAATCGATAAAAAAAATTTCCGAGGACTGCATTAATCTCCTACGTGAAAATTTTTGAATGCACAGAAACACCTAATCTTACGACATTTCCGGTAGATCTTGAGTCCCTTTTTCGGAATTCCTTCTTTTAAAGCGTTTCTTAATGATCTTTCCTTTTGTTCTATTATAATTAATCTCGGAGAAATGCTTTTGATCGAAAACTGAAGCTTTTACTATCTCATGTAGAGTCTTCCAAACATTATTCGACGATTTCTGCCCCTTTATGTGGTCAAACATACTTTTGAACATTTTTTGAATATATTTTTTTCTTTAAATTTGCGCTTAGCGCTAAATTTCAATTTCTATCGTCAATGACGTTACCGTCTTTGTTTTTATTCAACTCTGTTCATTTCGTGAACACGTATGGTTTTTGCTGCACACTGTTTTTATATTTTAAAACCAAACATGAAAAAAATATAGAGGGAAGTTAAATGATGTCAAATGAAAGACTATGATTTTTACTGAGCAGCGGCTTCAGATTAAACAAAATATTTCATTAGCTAGATTTTGATCATTCTTTGAAAGGAAAAATGAAGAAACTTTATGAAATGAAACCTTTTTTCACAGTGTATTTCAATGGGAGCGTCGGTGCAAATAAATTCTCTTGGTGGTTTTTTGAGTTCTTGGACCATGTCGTTGTAGTTTTTCACTGTGAAAGGTTTCTGATCGCATGAACCATTCACTGGGATGAATATTTCTTCATTCGGAACATTCGAAAAGTTTCAACCTTCTGTGATAACTTGAAGACTAATGAGTAGGAAAAAAGCTTGAAGAAATGTCATAATGCTCTCAAGACCTCTTTCCAACGCTCTAGAAATGAATCTTGTTCGTTCCGTTCTCTCGTCATTTTATTAATCTCGTTTACGTTGCTCATTCCTTCATTATGCTTTTTATATTGATCGTTGTTCCTCTCGCCTTTCTTTATTGGAAAACGTGTTTGACGATGCCTTCTTGGGACGACTTTGACGCGGACCAAGAAGAAGTTTTTGGATCAAGTTATCAGGTCACTTTCACACTTTCCTTGTAATTTTTGTGATCTTTAGGTTGATCCAAAAATTGTCAAATCGTCCGAAAAAGATATGAACGATCCGCTGAGGAAAGTCAAGGTTTTGTCTGATTAGAAATATTGAAAAGAAAGTGACTTTTTAGATCAATGTGACCTCATGTTTGTTGGCAGAAGCGAACTACGTCACGGCTGAACATATTAGGGCCAGATTGATTTGAGTTTTTTTTTCAGAATTCATAAATTTGAAGATTTTTCACGAAATTTTGCTCATAATTAACCTCAAAAAAGCATTTTTTTTTTTGACTCAAAATTTCCGTTTCGAAGTGATAAATAGGCTTTCAGTGAGGAACAGGACTGCTATCTCATTTCCAAAGATTACGGCTGCCATACGATCGACGAACTTTTCCAAAAAATGTCCGACAAGCTCCTCTGGGCAAAGGATAAAAACGGCGATTTTGTGTGAATTTTTTTTTGAATTCAAAATTTTTTATACATAAGTTTGAAAAAAATTGGTATGATGTATATAGAATAAAGATTACGTGGGAGATAAAACCACTATATAAATATCTTGGGAAGTCGTCTCGCCAGCCGCGCCTCCTCTCCGCCAACGTCTGAAGACGACGAGCCCGCCAGTCGTCACCAGCCAAAGGACACCCCGGCCACCTTTTCGATACTCCCAAATATGAATAAAAGGGTTGTACGAATTGTAATCCGTCTGATACGTACACTCATACATCCTTTTATTCATATTTGGGAGTATCGAGAAGAAGGCTAAGGCGCCGGGGTGTCCTTTGACTGGGGACGACTGGAGGATTTTATAATGAATATTGCTAACTTGTTTACGTTGGAACTTTTTATTTCCTTCATTTTAGAATAGATCGCAATTTACAGTCAGAAGTAGAAAGGAAACCCTAAACTGCGCAGAAAAAGTTGAAAAAAAAATTTTTTTTTTCTACTTTTTTATGGTCTTTTTGATGGAGATGTGTTTTTCAAATGCGAGATTAAGTTTTTTGAAGATTTTGGTCGATAAAAAAACTTTTCAGGCTCTAAACTTTCAAAAAAAAAAAAATTTAAATTACCCAAAGGTTAGAAAAAAAAACTCGTTGAAATTGTTAAATACCGGTGAAAATCGATAATTTAGTGAGTCTTTTTCTTTAAATTTTCAAGTTTTTCTAGGAGTCTGTTTTGATCCTTGGTATTTTTTTCAATTGGAAAGAAAGGATTTTACACTAAGACTTAGCGATAGTCCTTTCCAGTCCCCATCTTCTCTCTCCTAAGTCTCTGAAACTATTCAGCTACTCGTTGCGAAGAAATGCGCAGCTGGACGATCTGGCGGAAATGGTCGCAAAGCAGAGGACAAAAGAACAGACAGAACGGGAGCGCGCCAAAGTTCGCGGCCGAACCGAACTCCTGCGCCCCGTCAAGGGACCTTCAACCTACGGAGCCGCCTTTAAAAAGCATTATCAACGTAGATTTTTTCCCTATTGTTCTAAATTTTTTCTCCGTTTTATTTTTACTCTTGTTGAACCTGTTATTTTTCTGACAGAATCTATGATTTTATTTTCTCTCGTGTCGAATTTTCTCAAAATATGCGTTGAGCTCATCAATGGCGTGTTTTTCCGAAGAAAAGTTCACGAAATTGAGCAGCAACAAGAGAAAAAAAGCTAGACTAAACGCTTAAAATTTGCTGGCTTTAATCTCTAAAGCCACTCAGGACTCACAAACTAACTATTTCCATGTTGTCTGCTTTAGGGTCACAAAAAAGAAAATTTCAACTGGTTTACAGAAAGTTTGGAACGGAAAAAATAACGCGAAAATGACGCGATTTCGAGTCAATTATAGAAATAGTTTCCATGTTTTTTTACATCAGCTGTTCTCATTTGATCTCCATATCAAAATCATAGTCCATTCGGCGCCCGTTTGTCACGTTTTTTTTCGCCAAAAAAACCATATTCCGAATCAGATCAAAAATTGACCCCACTCTGCTTGGAGATCTTTGTATTTTGCTGTCCTTTTGCAGTTTTGTAGAGCAAAAGGGCGGAAAAAAGAGCTGTATTTACGGTAAGGTTTTTTTTTTCTGCTGCTCTTCCGAAACGCGACCGCCTCCTGAATACTGTTTTCCATATTTTCAAGAGCCCATGAAACTATAAACTTTTCAATGACGAATAGACATGAGTCGAAATAATTCCAGTAGAGCAAATCGATCAGTTTTTTTTTTTCGCGCGACTTTTTCCCCAACCAGCGGTAAATCGGAGAAACGGAATCATCTCAATTGTTTTGGCAGTCTTTTTTCTTCTACTTTCTGCATTCTCGTTATCGTTTTTTCAGAAACACATCCCTTGATTTCCAAAGTCACGTAGACATTTTCTTGGATTTAATAAAAATAGGCTTGTTCAGTGCATTTGCTAAAAAAAATTCGGTGACTCTAATTTTGAAAAAAGACAAAAATGCAGTGAAGTAAGTGTTAACAATGTTTGATCAAGTCTTACGACACTAGAGCGCATTTCAAAAAAACAATGCTTTTAGAACAAACAAGATTTTATACATTTTTGAAAAAAAAGTTTTTATCAATAGAGCATAATTCTTAAAATATAATATTGACGCTAATTGTAGTTAACTTCGATGAAAAATGGTAAATTTTGCAGGGAAACGCCCCGTTTCAGTTCCCGACGAATCCGTTCTCTCCGACATGAATCAAAGAAGGTTCCGTATCATCTTTTCGTTTTTTGATTTTTCATGCTTAGATCACCAAGGCAAGGAGGACTTCCTGAACTGAGAAGTCATGGAAAGACGGAACAGCGCGTGAGTTTCAAAAAAGAAATATTCTTTTCTGATCTAGAAATTCTATTTTTGTTTTTTTTTTTGTGAAATCTTTTTTTTCTTGCTTATCAGTTCATACGTAGTTTAACTTAAGAATTTTTCGGCTAACTTTTTGAAATTTTCAGTGCATAGAGATCAACGATTTCTTGTGCAAAAATGGCGCTTTCGTTGAGGAGAACGGTTCTCGCTACTATTTCATGAAGCTTGGAGATCTGGAACAGAAATTCTTCGACTACTACCAGAGACCCATGTGGATCAAGCGCATGAACGAAAAGTTTATTATATATTTTTTTGAAAAATGGATAAAATGGCCTTTTCTATCAGCTTTTATTTGGATTGTTTGGAAGCTTTTCATTGTCTGTTCAGATTTTGAATGTCAAGTAAAATAACGTCGGTCTAAAACGCTCTGTAGAAGACTCGCTTTCTTATTGGTTCATCGCGCCATTAGAAGCGGAGCTTGAGCGATGACTTGACATTCAGAATCTGAACAGTCTATAAAAATTGAAGACTAGAACTCTCTTATTCGTCACTTCAGAGAACTGTACGCGGCTTTTACGGAACCGGAATGGGCTGGATTCTTCAAAATCAGACGCAATTTCAAGGTTTTATCCTTTTTCAATTCGAAAAACGAGAAATGTTAAGGGCTTTTTCGAAATTCTCTGCTTTGAACGTAACGCTGAGTCCCCGTCCACGTCAGAAGAGGGTTAAAATATAATATTCAAATACTCCGATACAAAAAATTTTTGCAGAAGGTCGACCATATGATCGCGACGAACTTGTGGATGCGAAGTTAAAGCTTCCGATACAGCCGATTGGACGAAGAGATCCGCCATTCAACGATTTCCCCACTCTTCATAAAGAGAATAATAACTATGTACTTATTTTGTTATGTTCAATTATTTTATGTTGTTTTGATCTTTCCAGCCCTACCCGCGGCTCAGTTTTTCCCTCCGAAACCATGTTTTTTTGCATTTGACAGCTCTCATAGCAATCAAATCAAGTCTATAACTAAACGGTCAATTAGAAAAAAAGGTGAAAGTTCTGACGTGAAACAGGGTTTGAAACTCTCCAGTCTTACTGTAGCTCGTTTTTCCGTGACTCGTGTACAACAGACGAAACGTGTAAGATGACGCCATAGCTTATTGAGCGTTTCATTTTCAGTTTTTTTCGCCAATTTTCATTTTTTTTTTATTGTGAAAAAAAAATTTGGCTTCGAAACGTTCTTTCGAAAGTTTGAATTTCGTTTTCTGTTCTGGGTAAGAATATAGTCAAAATTCATTCGAAAGTTCATCTTTTTCGAAAATGTTATGATTTTTTCTGATAGGAATTGTTTCGAAGTTTCAAATGGCGTTCATTGTAATTTTCTCCACATTTTTTTTAGTTCAGAGGCCTTTCAGAAGTTCAAGCTTCTTTTCATAATATTTTTTTCTAAAAGCCCATTTTTCATTGTTTTCGATCAAATTGAAGATTTGTTTCGACCAATTTCTTTTATTTTTCAGAAAACTCGGAAAACTTACAAAATGCAAAACGGCTACGGTTTCAACAGAGGAACCCATGTTTCTCGCGTCTCTAACGGAGCTCTGCCGAATGCCGGAAACGGATTTTTGGACGACGAAGACGACGGCTGGACTACGAAGAAATTGCCGGTCATGAACACTACGTTCTCCGGTTTCGGAGCCGACCAAACCGCAAAGAAGGCCGAAACCAACCAGTCTTGTTTTGGGTTCGTTTCAATGTTAGAGAAAATATCGGAAAATAATAATTTTAAGCGTTTCGTTGAATTTTTTGATTAGATTTATGATCGATCACGATTATATCTGAAAAAAAAATTTTAACCCCAGTCGGTGTATGTGAAGTTTTATGAATGTACAAAGAGAATTTTTTACAGGGCTCCAATTACAACTGGACTCACCCCGCTGCTTCCAAAGTTGGACGAGAAGGGCGAAGTTGAAAAAAAAGAAGCAAATTTGAAATTAATTGTTGATTCAAACAGAACGATGATATTTTCGCTCCGATCGTTACGTCACGCTACAATGTTAACACTCAACTGAAAAATGTCGAGGGAGAGCCCAAACCGGATGATGAAGGTAACGGAAAAAATTATTCTTGAAAATATCTGAAATTTTGTCTTGTTTCAGTGAATCAATCGATTGGATTCGGCGCGGATTCGTTTTCTGCGAATCCATCTTTTTCTTTCGGGGCGCCGCCGCCTTCTAGCCAACAGAACTTGATTCCAGTGATTCCTGCTCCAACTGCGAAAAAAAGTGAATAATTGGAGAAGCTTGGATCATAAGAATGATATCAATTTTTTTGTATATTTTTTTGAGTTTTTGAGTTGTCATTCTACTATATACTTCGAATACACAGGAAAGGAGACTAATATTTTTTTCAGTATAAACGAATAACCTTTTTTTAAGTCGAGGCTTCTGATAGAATAGCCGCTTCTTTATGAATCATAAGAAAGATAACGATTTTTTTTTCGCAAAGATTCACTATTCCGTGTTATTCTATCATTTACCACAAGTCTAATGAAAAGGGACAATTTGAAATTTTTCAGTCTTAAAATATCATATTTTCAAAGCGAGCTATTTGACAGAAGAGTCCAAAGCAACCGCTTCTCTTTTAACTTTTTTAGAGTTTCGATTTTCTGAGCTGTTATTCTGCCATTTACCGGAAACCCTTTGATCAGTGAAATTTTTTAGCCTACCGCCAGCATTGCGGCCCGTTTTGGCACAGCTAGGAATGAATTTGACGCTCAGCCGCAAATGGATCCACATCCCGTCAAAACTGAGGCTCCATCGCCCATTTCGACACCGATCCAACCGTACCAAACAGATGAAGAAAGAAACGTCACATCCCATGTTCAGGCTCCTCAATATTTCCATGAGCGGCAGAGGCGAGACTCGTCCGTTTGGATCCCCGCCGGAGGAAGACATTGTCAGCTTCGCCAGGAGCCTCACTAACAGGAAGAAGCTGCTGAAAGACTGCTCGTCCAACCAGATGATGATGATCAACTTCAGTCCGGACGTTTTCAAAGTCACCACTGAGTTTACAGGTCATTGGGAATGAAGAGTTTGGGTAAAGTAGAAAGTTCCCTCAAAAAGTTCTTTCAAAAAAGAGGTTCTAAGGATCACCAACGATCTTTCCTTTGATAAAAAGATGCCGGAAACTTGAAAGATTCCAGGGAATTTGAAAATATGGCTGTGTGAAAGGAGCTCAAAAACTTTTTTCCATCGTTTGGAGCTGTTAAGAATTCTGGAGCTTCTTTCAAGTACTTCGAAAACCATTTTTAGCTCTTTCTGAAAGACCTTGAAGGAATTTTTCCGCTTTGCCTTTGAAGCTAGAAACAGTGATCGAAATTCGACATATAGAAAAAAAAACATTAACTTCAAAAAATAAGGAAGTTAAAAAATCCTGAATAGAAGAACATTAAAACTTGTCAAAATTCTAATATGTTTGACAAGACAATCGAGCTTTTTCATAGATTTTTTTTTCAATTTAAAATTACATTCACTGAAACCAAAATTCGCGTGTCGCCTTAAGCACGGAAATTTCTCGGCAACGTTCTTTTTTTTCAGGAACTGAAATCGTTCAACTGTCCCCTGAGGTGAACATCGGCCGACTGAAGCTCGAGTTCAAAACGTTGAGAACGGCGGTTTTCTCGGATTTCGCCTGGCTGGCCGACGTTCGCAGCAAACAATATCGGCTCAGCGATGGATTCTATCTTGTCAGTAGAACCGGAATTGCTTTCTGAAAATATTTCCTACAGAAAGCTCTATTTTATAGCTTTTAATGGAGCTTTGTGCAGTTTATCATGAAAAGTTTAGCTGACTTAAGCTACCTGGTTTAGTTCTCATACTAAATTTTGAAATATCTAGCGTACTTGGCGCAATGCCTTTACTCTTAAATAACAATCACATGGTCACAGTATCGAAACCTCGCCAAATAAATTGTTTTAGATAGTTTTTTGTCTTAATAGTGGATATGAACACTTTTTTCAACCCAAAAATGTTTTTTATCAAAAAAAAAACCGAAGAAATGCAGAAAACCAAATTTTAGAACAAAGACGGCTATCGGCGGCGAGCTGCATTTATTTTTCATGACTGCTTCATTCTCAATTTTTTTTTAGAAACTAACAAGATTATTGTGAATGTATAACTTTTCGTTCTCAAGAAAGTTCCTAAAATCTTTGGCTTTACGAGTTTTTTTAATTTCTCAATTAATCGCATCTACGTGAAAGTTCACCAACAACAATAGTGAAAAAAGAAAATGGCTTTTCAGTGCTCGGTTTTGCACCCCGTCGCACCAGCTCATGTTATCATGGGGGCCGAAGTTCCTGCGAACACCCAAATAATGGAACAAATCAACGACGAAATACAGTAAAATAACCTCATCCTTATTCTCTGACCTGCAAAATTCCAGAAAAGTTCCTCTCTTACCTTTGGACGTCAAGAAAATCGTTCCAGGCATGGAATGCATCTACGCCTACGAGTCAGCCGGCTTCACCTATCTCCGGGCTCTGATCCTTGGAGGAGTCCGTTTTTCGAGAAATTTCAACTCGACTGGAAATTGTTTCGCGAAGAAAAATTGAAAGAAATGGATCATTTTGACATTTTTAAAAATTTATACGGCAATAGGAAGCAAAAAAAAAAAGAAGCTGACTATTCACAAACTTTTTCGCTTTTTTTTCAAAAAATCAAGTTTCAGAGCGATTTGAGTTTGAAGTAAACTAAAAGTGCAATTTTCTAGAAAACTCGAACAAAAAAATAATTAGAGAGCATCAGCGTATTCGGCCTTGATTAGAGACAGATTGAAAGTTTTGGCAATGTATCAAGTTTAAACATTTTTTTCAAGCTCAGTTTTTTTTTACTTTACTGTTTTTGAGAATACTGTTCTAACATATACAAATGGAAAATTAAAGTTGATTTCGAAAAGAATGGGAATTTCAAATTTCAAATTACTTGCTAAAGTTTAACTTTTGCATTTATATCAAAAAGGATCACAGAAGATTCTTAGAAAATCCCTGAATTTATACCTCAAAATTAATCATTCTCCTGCGTATTTCAACCGAATGAGTATCACTGAACAAAAAAATAAGCGAAAAAAATAATCTTAAAAAGTTTCTAGACGTAACTTCTGGATTTTCCACAAGAATATTTAGCAGTTAGTTTTAAAAAACAAAAATAATATCTTTTCGGCTTGAAAAAAATTCAACTTCAGACGTCAAACGGCCAAGGCGCGAAGATAATTCTGGTCGATCATCATACTTTTTATGCTCTTGACGCGGAATTTTCGTCCTTGCGCCAAATGGCCCCGCAATTCTCCCTCAAACGTTTAAAGACGCGAATTTTCCTCGGACAAATTCGTGGAGTCGACGGCGTCAAGCGGGTTTCAACTCTGCCTCGACATTCCCTTGGACTGAAATTTATTGTTTCAGAAGCTCCAGGATGAGGTGCATGAAAAGATCCTGAAGGAGAGAAACCAAGGCGAAGTCGTTTGCGCCGTTTTCGGAACCGATGTTTGATTGGAATCGACAAGAAAAATGTCTTGAAATCTCGATTTAGAAACCAAACGAAGTGAACCTCATTGACTACGTCATGATGGAAAATGGGGAGGACAAAGATTGGATCTCGAAATATCTTTTGGTGGGTTTGGGTGACAAAAATGAGAAAGAAATGCAAAGAGAATAATTCAGAGAGGCAGGAAATTTATTGAAAAAAAAAGCTGAAAATGGCTTGAGTATGATTTTTATTAAAAACCTTTATTGAAAATCCGTTTTTAGATTTCCTGTTCGAATAGTCATAACTCTAAATGTTTTCTTTTTCATAATTATCCCCTTTGAGTGCTAACTTTACGGTGAGAAATTGTTTTGGAATTTTTTTATGGAATTTTTCAAGTTTCTGTGAAAAAAGTTTTTCATTTTTCAAAATTTTTGTCTTAAGAGTTCCGATTCTGCGAACCCAGCCCCGAAACATCCGGACTTCCTCAATTTGACTTTGGCTCTGCAAGTCTGTGATGTAAGATATCTTTTTCTTTTCAATCGTTTTTTAGGAACTCAATCTAGAATACTCATTTTTCAGAGGCTCCCTCAACCGGATCGATTTAGCAACCCAGAACTGGGTCATTTTGAAGAACAAGGAGCGCACAATCAAGTTAGAAATATGATTCTGAGCAAATTGAGAATAACCACTTCTCTCAGGACCAAATGGAAGTCTTCGAACATGTTCCGTCTCCAGTCGAGGAGTCTCAGGTCGAAATGAGAGACGCGGAATCGTCTCCTGAGAGAAGTTGGTTTTTCAAAAGAAATTATCGCGTTAAACAAGAGTTTTGTGAAGCAAATTAAACATTACACTTTGAAATCCTCGAGTTTTGCGCGTGGAATTCTTGAAGACCCTTTGGTGTTGTTCAGTTACATGATATTTCTTGCTTTTTCTTGCGCGCAAACCGTTTTAGGTCCGACGCTCTTTGAGTATCTAAATCTCACGAGAATTCATCAGTTTCGAATATAAATGAGGATATATATAGGAAAAAGAACGATTATTTTTCAAGATTTACAGGAGAATGATATGAAAATTTCCCAACTTTGGTCTCATACCTTTAAAGGCTTTTCATTCCAGTTTTCTAGTCGGGAAAAATAGAAAAATTCAGTTTTTTTCAATTTCAAAATTTTCAGTCGAAGTGGCCGAAGTTTCACAGCGGGAGACAACATCGAAAAATTCCGAATTGCGCATTCAACTCTTGACGTTCGTTTGAAAAACGTTTTATTTTTACATGGTTTCTGAATTTCCAGTGAACTCGGCCTCGAAGCCATCACCAGGAACAATTTCGCCAGCTACCTTCGCTATCATGAGTCCATCATGGAGCAGGTAAAAAGCTGTCCTTTTGGTTGAAAAGTGGACAGGAAATTTCAAAGAAAACGGGCAAATTTTGAGAACTTATTACAAAAAAAAAATTGAAAAAAAGTTCAAGAAAATGTAGAGAATGTAGAGGGTCTAGATTTTGGGAGTTTTCTTTTTTTGTCCTTTTTATTTTGGTTGAAATGATCAAAGTTTTTGAAATTTTACTTCACTTTTGTGGTGTGTCACCGTAAATGTAGATTTTCAGCTTTGAAAATAAGAAGAAAATGTTTGAAAGCGTTTTTTGATGATTCATGATTTTTTTCTACTTTTTTCTCAATTCCTTATTTTCAGTCGAGACTGGCTTATTTTTCGCAATGAAGCGGACCTGGCCCAGCGCTGGAAAGAAGCTGAGGCTCACCTGGAAAACGAAGCGAAAAAAGCGTTTTTCCTTGGCCCCAAAGCACCTATCCGCGACGATACTAACTGTTAAATAATCAAACAATATATTAATTTTCATATCCTATTCATGTTTTTCGTTTTTCCTTTCTGACCGTTTAATTATAAACCTAATTCTCACCGTGTTTCACTTCTTTTTTTCTTTTAACTGAATTATTTATATTCACACCAGAGTTTACTAAAGTTTTTTGTTCTTTTGGCTCGTTTGGCCAAACCTTCTCCTTTTCTTTTGCTCGTATCTAAATTCTTCTCCTATTCAAATTATTTAACACTTTTTTTCCACTGTGGAAAATTTACGTATGCATATTGCCACTCATTTTTCGTTGGGAAATAAATCAGGCTCGTTTTAATAGAGGCTATTTTTTTTTTATTATCACCAAAGGGGCTATTTTTGGACCGCGAAGACGTGTTTTTGTTGTTTTTCTTATCGTCATTTTATTGGTTGTTTTCCTATTTTGAGGAATTTTTCTCATGGATAGGTTCAGAGAATGTAGAAATGACTGGATATTGGCCTCACATTTATATTTTTGAAAAAGAAACAATGACAGGGATTATATTTTTACGCCATGCAATTGATCACTTGAATTTCAGCGATCAAAAACTCGATTTTCGAAAATAAACGAAGGAAAAGGGGAAAAGAGGCGTGGCCATCGATTTTTATTTTCTTGTTTATTTATTTTTGTGTTTTTGGATAATTTTTGAAAATTTTTTTCTTCTTCGAACTTGTGGAGGGACTTTTTTTCATTCTGATTTTTAAAGGTTTTTTTTTATTGGGAAAAGAAAAGTTGAAGAACGGTTTCCGACAAACATTTTGAACCAGTGTAAAGGCACAGGGCGAGCTCAGAAAAGAATAATCTTGAACCGAATTTAAGCTATTTTTGCCTCGGAACTTGGTAAAGCGGATCGGACGTGTCCTAGTGACCACTTCAGGAGCGTCAGCACGCTTAAGTGATCCCTAGAACCGCCTAGAAACGTCCGGTTTTCGTTACCAAGGCCTGAGGTTGTTCAGTCGTGGTTTCAATTTGGGTCTATCTTCAAAAGCGCGAAATTTCAGTCCAAGAATCATTCCTGCAACGGGAAAGGTCGATAGTTTGTGGGTCACTATTTTCTACAGGTCATTAAAAATTTGCACTTTTCGAAAGTGATACCAAATCTTTGATGAGTGGACTATATTTGACGATCATTCTCTCTTTCAAGCCAATAAAAGGTTCTTCCAGTCTGATTATTTCTCTATTCTCTTTTTTTGTTCATATTAATATTTTAAAGTATTTAGTTTGCTCCTAAAAACACTTTTCTAACTTTTCCAGCTTAACCTGTAAGAAAAAAATGTTTGCATCCACTTTTATCTAAATTTCTCTCTTTGTGAACTTTTTCTAAAACGGGCATGAGCTTACTAAATTTTTATTTTTATTTTATTTTTGGTTTATGACGCCTTGATCTCGCACAAATTGGCTCAAGGCGTCGCGGTTTACTAAATGAGGAATTTCAAAAAAATTTTTGAGGAATTCCTGAAGCTTTTTTTCGATACCTACTTTAGAACAAGCTGGATCTAATCATGAAAAATTTCTTCTTTTTTTCAAATCGATTTTTTTCATTTCCAAAAATTTTTTTCTTCACATAATTTTAAATTTCGTAAAAACTATGGCTCCTTGTTATAGTCTGTTCAGATTTTTAATGTCCAGTGCAATGACGTCATTTAAAAACACTCTGTGGATGGCTCGCTCTCTGATTGGTTTATCGCGCCGTTAGGGGGCGGAGCTTCCGTTAGGGGGCGGAGCGAGGACTTGACATTCAAAATCTGAACTGACTATATTCGTCAAACAGAAAACGTGAGTCAAAAAATTCATTTTATGTTATATCCTTGGTTCTGAAAAAAATAGGCTTCGTTAAAAAAAAATCATACTTTCTATGTTTCTATATTTTTATAAACTTGTTCTGTCAATTTATTTCTGATGTTTGTAAATGGAACATTTTACCGCATCTTTTCGAGCATTTATCTTTTCGAGCGTGCGGTCACGACGTTTGAACCCTCATTTTTTCGAAATAATTGATTCGATTTCCGATCATCCAAAAAAAAAAAGAAACCTTTCAGTCTCCCCTGAAAATTCGGAAACCGTTATCGCGATTACTTCTAGAAGAGTCTATTCTTATCAAACCAGGGTTTTTGTCGTCTTTTGCAGATATTCCATCCACAAAGTTGAGAGACTGAGAAAAATGCTCCAAATTCTCTTGGCCATGCCCTTCTCAATTTCCGTTTTCACGTATTTTCACGTCTTCTGGCCGTGTTGTCAGGTTGGTCTACTATTTTATTGAGGAAAAGTTATCAAGGCAAGTTCGAATCTAATAATTAGGAGATTCGAGGAAAAATCGCGTAACTTTCCATATTATTGAAGCAAAAAGTCTTTTTTCTTTTTCCCTCCATAGACACGAGCGTTAAAGATAGATATAGTTTATTTTTGGCGACTTGAACTTCTCTGCGCCCTCCTCGTCACTCGGCGATCCTCTCATTTTGACGTGCTATTTTCATTTTTCTCTGACCTCGTCGGCGAGGGAACAGAGAGACGCAGATTCTCGAAAACGTTCAATTCGCGGAGAAAGGGGCCTTTTTTGAAGCCTTCGGGAATAAATAGCCGCAAAATTTTAGTCGGTCAAGAATCGCCGTAATTTCCAGTTGATGTGCGCTCCATTGATAAATTTGCCATTTTCCCACATTCATTATTCTACCTCTTTTAAATCCTTCCATTATTATCTTGTTGCGAAAAATTTGGATGACTGTAGCGTCTTCCTTGTCTCTGTACACTATTTCGCTAGCTTTATTGAAAATTTTATAAATTTTTTTAACTCCGCCAATAAGTCGGTTGTATTAATGGACCAAATGAAAAATTAGAAATTCAGAAAAAGAAAGGTTTTTAGCGACTTTTCTTCTAACAATGTAAAGTTTTTCCAATAATGTCTTTCCAGTAAATAGTTCAGAGCAACCTCAAAAGTTTCTCACGTGGTTTTTAATGGCATATCTAAAGTTGACAATAAGTTTTATCGCTGCAAAGTTCTTGGACAATTGATAAGAGAGGTTCGGAGTGTCATATCTCGGAAAATCAGAAGAAAAATGCTGATAATCGAAAATTCCTTGTGCTTATTACTGTAGCTTGTTGAGAAGATTATAGTTGTATTTGAACTTGAGGCTTTGAAATTTTGGGAAATTGAAAAAAAAAATCTAGTTTTTGAGAAAAGACACCTCAAATTCCGTTGAAATATGCTCATTCAGGGCTTTTAGTCCTCTTTTTCAAGAAATAGGAAGTTTTGGAGATTGAGACTTTCAGAATCTTGTTTTGGTTCATCAAGGATTTTCCTAGCCAATTTTCAGAAAAAAAAACCGAAAAATAAAACGACCCTCCTTTTTAGTTTCCTTGCAGCGCTATAAAACACATTCCTGAGGTTTTTATCGGGTTGTTTCAGTGCTTTCGTCAAAATTCGCAGCTTATCTTGTTTTCCCTTTATTTTGTTATGTTTTGATTGCATATAGCGAAAACAAGTCGTTTGTTTCTCGATAGGGCAACTTTTCTGTTTATTCCAACTTTCTTTTATAGTATTTCGAAGCTATTTTCAGCCGCCACGTGTTTGTTATTAGTTTCAAATCATTATCGAAGTTTGTTCTTTGTAGCGAACAGAAAAATCGGAAAAATATTTGTAGAAATAGGGGAAAAACAGAGAATATTGAAAATTCTTTGAAAATCAACTCCGTTGAATCAAATCAAAGCAGAAAATCGACCTGCAAATGTTTAAATAGTTCAAGTTACGGAAAAAAAATTCTTCAAAACAATTGCGGCGAATAGACTATAGTCTACTCTCATCTTGAAGAGGCTGGGCGGATGTGCCCGTTTTAAACCACTATCAGCACAGCTGGTAGAACTTTTGGTATTTTTACCCTAGCTTACTAGGGAACTACTCGGACTCGGGTACACGTTACAAGTTGAAACTTTGGTAGCTCCCAGACCCGGGTAAGAGTACTTGGAAACAAGAGAGATCATCTGCTAAACCCCATAGGCTTCTGAGAAAAAGCTTTTTGAAAATGAACAGTTTAGGCTTGAAAATTATCAAATTTCAGTTTTCCTTTTTCTTTTGGCTGGAAATAAAGTTTTTTAGAGTTTATCATAGCCGGATCATTCAAGACGAATGTATTTAAATATAAAATAAAGTAAAAAGCAGTATTCTGAAAATTTTTAGGCTTAATTTTCCCATTTTCTACTAATTTTTTCTCAGTTTTCTATTGGGTTTAGCAGATATTCTCACTTGTTTTCAAGTGTTCTGACTTGGGTCTATAAACCACTAAAGTTTGAACTCGATCCGCGTACCAGAGTCCGAGTAGTTCCCTAGTTAGGCAGCGCTTTAGCACAGCTAGGTCTCAGATTTTTGAAATAAACAGCTTGGTTACTTATTTCTTCGTACACTCATTTTTCTCCCGTTTTCGCACAACTGAGATAAAAATAGCATAAAAACACGGATTTAATACGGGTGCACCCGTTGGGACACCTGGAGAGAGAGTATAGAAAAAGGTCCAACTTAGTTGAAGAAAAATGAAACTTTTCAGGGTATGTACATTTTCGCGCGAATCATGGGCCTATTTTACGAGACGTTTTTGCATCTGATGAGCACCTCGAAATACACGACGAGCGACGTCTTCTTCTTCTTTTTGACCGTCAGCCTCGCCGCCAAGATCCTTCTCGACACTGTTCAAATCCGTGAGCCATAACCAAGTTTAAAATGAGTAATTAGTCGTAAAAATAAGCATTTGAAGCTGTTGACTTTGAATTCCGCTTTGAAAACTATAAAATCAGACCAAAAAAAAAAATTGAAGGGCTCTTTTCAGATAAATTTCAATATATCAAATATTTTTTTCGAAAGAAAAGCGGAAACTGCGCTCTACGGATAAAATTATTTAGTTCAATATTTTTTTCCAGTTAAAAAAATAAAAAAAGGACTAAGTGGAGTATTTCTGAGGGGTCCCTATAGAGGTTTGTTTTTTTTAGAAGCTTCTATAGAAGGAAAAAAGGCACCTGTAGGAATTAAGGGTCTGACCCAAAAGTTGTCCCTCCATAGGGCCCCCTATCAAACCCCCCTATAGGTACCCCTCCAAAGTTTCTCAGAATTTTGATGTAAAAAATAATTTTTCTTCCAGAAATCACCATCGAATGGGCGTCGTGAATCTTTCAACTTTTCTCTTGAAAATTTTTTATCCTGTGAATTTATCTTTGTATATATTCGTTGTGTCACGGGTATTCTTGTCACATTTTGTTTACCCTCATGGAAAATTATATTTTGTTTTAAGAACCTCTGAAATTGAAATCAAATGAGGAAAATAAAGATTTTTTGGCTGGTAACGTGACATTTTTAAGAAGGCTTGAAAAACGGAAAAGGAAAGTCCAAGTTTCCAAAAGTACAACCGCCAAAAGGGCCTCGAAACTATATTTGCATTACTTTTCTTGTTGGACAAATACGAGAAGCCGTACAGATTTGATCGTTTCTTCATTGACCATCCATGTCGGGAAATCATATAAAAGCGGGAGAAGCTGTCCGAAAAACATCCCCTTTTCTGCGCGGCTCTTTTTGGTCTGAAAAATGTGCTCCAAGAAAGTCTTCGTCCTCGTCGCTGTCGCCTTCTTTGGATTGCCTGAAGACGTCAGAGCCTGCGGAAGCGTTGACGTCATCCCTGTGACGACCGCGGGTCCCTCTTCGACGCTGGCCAGCACGACGACCATGGGTCCTGGCAGGAAGAGAAGGTCCATCGTCGACGTCGATGACGTCAGCGTCATCACCTTCATCACTGACGTCATTTTCGCCGAGCAGAGCGAGGAGGACGTCCAGAAGCTCGTCGAGGAGGTTTTCATTATTTTTTTGGAGGTATTCAAATATTTTTCCAAATTTAGTTCCTAGAAACTCGAGCAAAATCTCTTTTCTACAAAAAAAGTGAAAAATAATCGATGTTCATTAAAAATAACAAATTTCATTAAATTTTTTTATTGGAAAAATTGAAATTTTCATCATTTCCATTGACAAAGACCTAAAAAAATGGCGTTTAATACGAATTGCAAAAAAATTTGAGAAAAAAATTTATTTTGGAAAAATTATTATTTATTAAAAAAATCGAGTAAAAAAAGTTTTTTTGAACATACTGATGATAAGAATGATAATTCCAACCTGTTTTCAATCATTAAAATTTCAAAGTTTACAGATTTCATCGAGCGTTTCTGAAAAAGACGGAGCGATGACCGGCGCCCAATACAAGGTCAACTCTTTCGAAGACAATGGGAAACTCGCCGTCCGATACACGATTCAAAACGCTTCCTGCCAACAAGTCACCAAGTACCGCAGCTTCGGAATAGCTTGATCAAATTGACTTTTTCAGATTCGCCAGCACCGCCAAATTCTACGCCAAGTTCATCTCGGTCGCCACCGTTGAGTGCAACCACGAGGGCCAAGAATCCGCATGAAATTCAAAAATTTAGTTTTGGTTTTTTGGACTTTTCAATCATTTGGGTACCAGGAATAAATTATTTTTTTCTCGTTGTTGAAAATGATCTTTTGAAAAAAAGAAAAAAATATTTGAAGATAATTTTGAAAAAAACTATTTTCGGAGCCGCTTGAAATAGAAATCTTTCAGACGCACTTGTAGCAGGACCAAAAAAATGAGAGGTATACTAATTCAAATTCCAGAACTTCTTAATGATCAAAAAATATCAAAACCCGAAAAAAAAACAGCGTAAAACAAAGAGAAAACAGACCCTTTAAAGCTTCTCTGACCAAGCTCTAGTTCAGCATACGTGATGATTCAATAAAAATCTTGAAAAGTTTCTTATGACGTGAAATTTTTAATATTCAGTACGTGACCGTCATCGAAATGACAACGTGTTAAAAGTGATTCCGCGAACTGCAAAATAGCCGTCAGAGAAAGAAAAATATAACTAAATTTTGGAGAGTCAGAGACCATTTTGCAATACTACTTTGAAGACGGCATGACCTCAAATTATGAAAAAATAGACGTTGGCGTAAGATTGAAACGTGGATAAGGAGGGTATATAAACGAAACGGTCAGCTGAATTAGCCATTGAAAAGCAACTTTGGCTAGCGACTTTCTTCGAGAAGCAGTCTCCAGCAATATGTTTCTAGTGAGTTTGGGGCCTGCGGGAGGCTTCTGGCTCCTCGAGTGAACACATAAGCGGCGCTGGCGCCCCTTGGGTTAACACTTGGTGGCTGGAGCAACCCTGGGCCCCAAAAAATGTGATTAATTTGAAATAATCTAATCACCCACAAATCGACTAATCAAAAAAAAAAATGAAAGCCCGTTTTTTCTATGAACTTCTTTCTGACAAATGACAAAAAATTGATAATTTGAACTCGAAACTGTTGCGAAATTAATCAGACTAGCACTTCCAAGATTTACAAGTCCACGAGTGGTTCAGTCAACTCACTGATTCTCGGTTGTTTCAGAGAAGTTAAAGGATGAATCGGAAATATATCACGAGGGTATATTTGAAAAGTGAATCAGGGTTAGATAATAATATGTTCATCGTCATACCCCGATTATACCACTCAAGTGTGTTCCAGGATTTCCTGAGATCTTTTTAGTTTAAAAATCACCAAAATAAGGTTTTTTTTTCGATCCTTAAAATAAAGTAAACACTTTCAGGTCAAAATGATCACGGGTAGAATGTCGAGAAAGTCTCCGGATAGCCCTCCTACTACTACAAATGAGGAGACAGAAGAATATGGTAAATTGTTTTTCCAAAAAAAAAAAAACAGTGAAAACTGCAACAAAGGGGAAAATTTTCCGCGATTGTCCTGAAATTTAAAAAAACAAAAAAATGTAAAAAAATTTATGAAAAACAACCGAGAATTATATACAGGCCGTGCTTTAGTGACTTTCGCGAAAAACAAAAAAAATTAAAAAAGCAAAGAAAAATGAGCACCGGAGTCCGGCGCAAATTTTGCGCAAAGATGTCCTTCCCAACCGTCGCGCGTAGGATCCGTTGCTTGCGTACCCGGCGCAACAATCGACGACCCTTTTTGGTACTCGCAATCAGGACCCTCTCACTAAGAATAACTGACGAGATAAACGCGAGCTCGGTGGCGGTACATTGACTAACTCGCAAAAATGTCGCTTTTTTCTAGGCGCGATCCCGCATTTCTCTCTGCGCGACCTCGCATTTTTCTCGGCGCGACCTCGCATTTATCTTGCATTTCGGAAATTTTCAAATTGCGAGAGAAATGCGAGCTCGCGCCTAGAAAAATGCGAGCTCGCGCCCAGAAAAATGCGAGACCGGCGCGAGAAAAAAAGCGAGATGTTTGCGAGCTCGTCAATGTACCGCCAGTGTCTCGCGTTTATCTCGGCAGTTATTCTTAGTGCTTTTATTTTTACCTTCCATTTCGCACTACCATCCTAAGAATAACTGCCGAGATAAACGCGAGATCGGTGGCGGTACATTGAAAAACTCGCAAACATGCTGCATTTTTCTCGGCGCTACCTTGCATTTCGAAAATTTTCATATTGCGAGAGAAATGCGAGTTCGCGTATATAAAATGCGAGCTCGCGCCAGAAAAATGCGAGAAAAAAGCAAGATGTTTGCGAGTACCGCCAGCGTCTCGCGTTTATCTCGGCAGTCATTCTTAGTGGACTCGTATTTGCACGGCGGGTCAACCCCACCAACAGAAGGTTTTTTGTACACTTCCACCAATATTCTTCTGACGTGAACCAAAATCCCAAAGCCAACGTTATATCGCGGAAAAGGCTGGCGCTTTGCGGTCTCTAAAGAAAGTTTATTTAGTCAATGTTCACGAGGAGCTCGGGTCTATCAGAAAGAAGGCTGGACTAGAAGAATTGGAAATCCCGTTCCAGGCGCGCAAGCTGCCTTTTTGCCATGGGTTTGACAAATAATTTCCGAAAAAGTCTAAAATTGATCAAATTCAGGTATCTGCCGGCTTTGGAAGCAAACCATCTGCTCATTCGCTCGGGAGATTTTCTCATTCGTTTTCTCGAGGGTAATTCGGGAGAAACTTTTGGGATAAAGTTTCGAAAAAGGACATTTTTCAGATAATAACAAGGTTCGAGTTGTCGTGAGCGTGGGTCTTACGTCTACGCAGTCGTACAAGTACAGAGAATTGGAGGAAGAAGGAAGAGAGCAAGAAGAAAAATGGAAAGCCGAAAGGGCGAGGGAAGGTGAGGAAACCTGGATTTTATAAGAAGATTTTTAATTTGGAGGAAAAATTGTTTTCTTTTGTGTAAATCTATAGTTACAGGGATGAAAGTCCGCATTCTAAATGAGCAAAATAACATTTTCTTTGCTTCCTCAATCATGTTATAAAAAAGCGATTCCAAATGCGACTTAATTTCGTTTGAAAGCACGGCATTCAAAATAGATCAGATCAGTTTCGTATAAGTTGATGAAACCAAACTTGATCAAAATTCCAAAAGCGGCTTAAATTTGATAAGAATTCTCGGAAAAAAGCCCCTTAAGGAATGGCCGCTATCGTTCTCAAAGAGCCAGGAGAAAGTCAAAGAAAAAGCCATTCCAAATGCGGCCGAAAATGGGTTTGACTCGAAGATACTTGCTGCAGACTGTATGCCGTCGGAATTTCGAAAATTTTTAAGATGAATAGAAATATTCGAGTCCATAAGCCTGAACTTTGAGCTTTTGTGGTCGCATTCGTAATATCTCAAGAAACAAAAAAAAAATTTTTTTCAGGAGGTGAACCCTTTCGCGAGACCATAGCTGTGAACGTCCGGCATATGATGGTGGAAGAAGAAGACAAACTCGGTTGTACTATCGACGAAGAGACTTTCTTCCCATGTTTGTACAGTCTCCTAGCCTACTATATGTTTGTGAAACGTGAGGTTGGTCATTTGAAATTTTCTTTTTTTTCGTTTGCAAAAATGCTTTGAAGTATCCTCGAAAAGTTTATACAAAGCGCCAAAAAATTGGCCATGTAACATGAAGCTAGAGTACTGAGAAAAACAGCCGCCGCATTCGGATCTTTTGCGCTCCAAGACTGAAATTTCGACGGCTGAGATTTCTTTGTTCCATTTTCATCAATGGATTCTATAAAATCAGCCGCAGATTTTCAGTTTACCGGAAAAACAGTCGTCAAAATGACCAAGCTCTCTACAGAGAATAATTTGAGTTTCACGTGCTTCGAAATTCAAATATATCCTCACGAATTGTGAAAATTAGGCGCAGAGCGTAAATATTCGAATTTTCACGGCCATCCTTTCCAAAACGATATTTTTCAGGGGCCACAAGATTTTAATCTTCGGAACCCGATAAATCGCCAGTACGGCTCCTTCCGTTTAACCGAGATCAACATTGTGAGAATCGTGAGGAATTTTTCTTAGAGAAATATAACAAAAAAAAATGTTTCGGTTCAAAAGAACGGCAAATTCTCAATATTTTCGAAGCACCAACACTTTTTTTGTCCAAGAAGAGATCAACGTTTTTGCAGCTTAACAATGGTGCGTACGGCCAAGTCGCCTTGGCAGACATTACCCATCCAGCTTTTGAACAAGACAAGGCGGCCGTTAAAACGGTAGGTCTTTAGAAATATAATTTTTTTTATGGATGTAGAAAAGGTCGACAAGGTAAGAAAGAAGGGTAAACTTTTAGGGCGGAAAGCGGAGAAAAAACGACCTAAATTAGTAGGGCTCTGAGCTGAAATTTGAAAAAAAGTGATAATTTATGAGCTCAAAAAATTTTCAAGGCATTGGAATGAAAATAAGGACTAACTTGCCACCTTGTAGAGCATTTTTTGGTGAGTTGAATGGTATAAAAGTTTCGGAAGAAATTCAAAGTGGGGAGCTCTTTTTGATCTTTACCAACGTCGGCAATGCACTTCTAGTGACCATTTTTGCGGCGTTAGAGCTCTTAAGTGCTTACTACAAATACTCAGTTTTTCGAGTTACTGAGGCCCGAGTTGTGTCAAAAATGCAGTTTGCAATAAAAATTGGGTGGTATGAAAAAAAAGGCCAGCGAAAATTCGAACGGCAACTTTTCCGATTTTTTCCTATTGCTAGAAAGCATTCCGACGACCACCTTTCCGTCAAAATTTTTTCCGACTTTTCCCGATGAAATTTCAAATCCTCATATAGTGTAGGCAAGCTATTCATCATTGAAATTCGAAGAAATAGAAAGAAAACATTTAATAGATGTTTTGAAACCGGAAAATATAAGGGAAACAAGTCGGAAAGTCCCCTAGCGATACCAAAAAATCAGAAAAGTCGCCGTTCGAAAATTCGCTGGTTTTTTTTTCGTACCACCAAAAATTGCTCTGTAAACAATAAGCGACGCAATTTTTTGTTCTTTTTTCAGGTCAAACAAGATCTCCCTGAATGGCGCGAACTGGAAGAAAAGCTCATAAAAGAAGGAAGAGTTTCGACCCCTCTTGATAACGACAATGTTCTCCGAACGTTAGGGTTTTGCTACGACACCAAACCCGTCCAGCTTCTCTTCGAATATTGTCCCGGTGAGGTTCCCGAACGACATTCTCGCCAATCTCTATGGAAAGACTGTGAGAAGGATCAGTCAACTTTGAAAGAACTTTTGAGAGATTCCGAAAAATCATTTAAAACGACGTAATACACGTTGATTGGGAAACAAGATGCCCATTTTTGATACCCGTTTGCCTAACAGTCGAAAACCTGAGTTTCGGCCTTTCTTCTTTGGTAGAAGTCAGAGGTGGAGAAATGGCGCCCCTAAGCGTTTTCAAACGTTTACATTTCTAAACCGACGTAGGCCGCCATGGCCATTTCTTAATAAGTCGCTGCCCAGGGCGCCCGGGGCCAAAACCGCGATGGCAAAAAAACGCCATTGGAAGAAAAAGAACGCGCAAAAATTGGAATCTTCTAAAATCTTGTAAGATCGTTCTTTTCGAAGCTTTAAAACAAGGTTTTTTGAATTTCCAATTTGGTATCGACGAAAATTTATTCTCTCACTATTGGCGGGTTCGTCACCATTAATCTGGAACATTTCGCCAAAAGAAAAGGACAAATATAACCGTACTCCACATAAAAAAATTCAACTGGACATCATATCCACTGAAAAATTAAAAACAATATTGAAAAAATTGCGAAATCCACGATTTAATGAAAAATTAACAAAAATGACCATTTTCGCCCTACTTTTGCAACGTGGTAATATACGCCATCGACACATAATGACGCGGCTCATTTCTTCTCAGAGGCCTGATGGCTGAGGCGGGCATGTTGCGCCCTGGAGGGCCCCTCATTTCTTCCACCTCTGGTAGAAGTCTTGTTCTTTTGAGCTTATAGTCCATTTTTCGGGACTTGAAAGGGCGGAAAATCTACATTTTTACCGTAAGTGTCGTGCGCATGCACTGTGACGCACTCTCACATGTGTTCAAAATCATTTTCGTGAAATTTAAAATCATCTCCGACTTTTCGAAATTCAGTCATATTCTTAACTTTTTGTCGGCAATTTCGAATTTAGCGGAATTAAGTGAAAAAGCGTTTTTTTTATGAGAAGTATATTCGTCTCATGACCCATTCAACATGCGCCTTTAATATTCCCTGTTTACGCGTTTCCCATGACGTCACATTAGAACGGTCGAGTTTTTGGCCACGCCCTTCCACTAATAAAAAACGCCGTTGCCGGTAAGGGGGAACAGAGACACTCAAATATTCGAAAACTGTCGAGTCGCGACGAATGTACTATACAGACCAAGTTTTGACCAAGTTCAGACCAATGTCATTTTTTGAAGGTGGCGCTCTGAGCAAGTTCCTAGTCGCCAAGTCTGAGAAGATGTCGAACCTCGCTTTGGCGAGGCTCTGCTTGGATGCCGCGAGGGGACTAGACTACATCCACGAGGTTGGATTCCTACACAGAGATGTCTCCGCGCGCAACTGTCTGTTGGACGAAAACGGAACGGTATTTCCATGGAACCTGCAATGAATTGACCAACGTCTTCAGGTGAAAATTGCCGGATTTGGCTTGTCGATTAAAACCTGCTACTACGAGGTGTGGCACCCGGAAAAACTTCCTATCCGCTACCTGGCACCGGAATGCTTCAACGACTTCCAATTCATAGCCGAGACCGACGTTTACGCCTTCGGGGTTTTCTTTTTATTCGTATCTGACCAGGAAGGTTGGAAACTTTCTGGAAAGCCCGAAAGTCTCAAAAACTGCAAAACTTTCGTGAAACTGACTCAAATTGAGTTTTCCTCGACCTTGTTTCTCAAAAACTAGACGGTTGTGCAACTTTCAGTGTTATTCACTTCTGGCCAATTTCAGGAAGTTTCCAACCGCAAACGGAAATTCTTTAGAAGACATTTTTCTGTGGCTAAATTGAAAACCTTTTACAGCATATCTTATGCGAAGTTTTTAATCAAGGCCAATTGCCCTATGCCGGCATGAGTGGAGAACAGGCCCGCACAGAAGTTCGTTTTTCCTATTTATCACAAAAAAGCCGTTTTTTGCAGATTCTCGCCGGAAAGGCCCCAAGCATGCATGGCAGAGCACCCGAAGCCCTTCGTCTCTACGTAGGAGGTCGGCTTCTCGCCTACCACACGGTCTACAGGCCACCCATGCATCAGGTAGAGTTTTTTCGACGCGAAATAGGTTTGAAACTGAAAAATGCCTTAAGCTTTTGAAATAAGGTCACTGACACGGAAAGTCATTTTACTTTGTAGTTTTCTACAAATTTGCTAAAACATTCTCTGATTGTCCAGATCCCTCATACTACCTGCACAAACTCCGAGTTTCTGAGATATTATTTTTTGAAGTTTAACACAGAATTGCACCCCACGAAGAGGTCATTTTAATTTGTCACTTGGAATTTCCTACAAGAATCTCTAAATAGTTATATGAAGATCCAAAATTTTTCAACCCGCGCCAGAATCTAGTTTTCGAGATAATTGATGGGTCGAAAAGTTAGGCCTAAAGCCCATTTTTCGCAACTTTGAAAAATCATATCTTGGAAGTTTGCGCAAGTAAATAATAAGGGATCTTCATCTAGACCTTCAAAGAGTGTTTGAGCAAATTGTAGGAATTTCAAACCGAAAAGAAAAATGACCTCCTTCTTGAGCTACCCTTTTGAAAATTAAAATGCTCTACAGGAAAGTTGAGGATTCCCAGTTTTTCGATCTTTAATTTTCCATTTCCGAAAAATGTCCATGACTGAATATTGCCCCCGATTTTTTCGACACTTGAAAAAATCAAATTTATTACATGATAAAAAGTAAGTTTTCAAAAAAAAAAATGATAATAAAACTTTGAAAAAAGAAACTTTAGGTGGTCCATTTTCTCGAGACGCTCATCAGCTGCTTGGAAAAGGTTACAAGTTCAAATATTTTTTAAATGGTTTTGTATCTCAGCATGAACCGGAGGAGGAGGGGAAAGATGAGTTTCCGATGGAGGCTGACAACGACGAGGCGATGCAGCCGAACCAAGCCACCGAGGTGGACTTTTGTTTTAATCAAAGCCCAAAGGTCACACTGGAAATGGCTCCAAGCGCACCGAATCCTTCAAACGAACGCCCGACCGGAAACGGCTTGCGCGTGCAGATTTCAAGGAGCATTGAGCCATTCCCAGTGCAACCACCCTGTTTCTAGTAGTGGAAAACTTGATATTAGCTTAGTATGAAAATAGGGTAGGAAGAAATGTGTCGAAAATTAGAAAAAGATGAAAAATCAACTTGAGCCAACATTTTTTACAGGACGTTTATGAGTTGCTCGACCCGGGCAACAGATTTGACATCTATTAAAGTCGCAGAATCCAGCCTCCATAGAGAGGAACCACAATCGAACATGTACTACTTGCTTTATATTCAATAAAAAGTTGAAATTGTGTTGGGTTTCCAATAAATGACCTTTGAATTGCTTTCTAAGCGAATTGAAACTTTGGCTCTCAAGGGCTTCGCTACTGTTGGTTCTAAAACAAGCAGAAAATAAGAAATGTAAGATGACCAGGGTACCGTCACGTAAGCGGGATAACAAATGAAAAAAAAAACAGCACGATTCCATAACGTGGATAGGGAAGGTATGAAAGGCCAGCTGAAACCGTAGAAGGCACAACAAGCCACAAGCCGCCAACCGCAAACCGTGAGATGTCGTCCCTGCAATACTCAAAAGAAAACTGGAGCCTCGAGCGGATCGCCGGCCAAAAGGAGCAAGAAGCAGTGGGACGGGCAAGGGAAGGAAGAGATGGACGAAATACCGTTTATCCCCACTTTCGCTCGTCTGCATAAACTGCAGGAAGCTATCGACCTCCTCGACGCCAAAATCTCGATCTTGTCAAGTCGTCTTGCCAGCCGTTTCTCCCAGCCGCCGACCTCCAAGGGCGACGAGCTCGACCGTCGTCCCCAGTCAAAGGAAGCCCCGGCACCTTAACCTCCTTTTTGCTACTCCCCAAATGAATAGGAGGAGAAACGGCTGGTGAGACGACTTGACAAGATCGTGATTTTGGCGTCAAGGAGGTCGATAGCTTCCTGCAGTTTATGTAGACGAGCGAAAGTGGGGATGAACGGTATTTCGTCCATCCCTTCCTTCCCTTGCCCGTCCCACTGCTTCTTGCTCCTTTTGGCCGGCGATCCGCTCGAGGCTCCAGTCTTCCTTTTCTTGGAGTTTGCAGGGACGACATCTCACGGCTTGCGGTTGGCGGCTTGTGGCTTGCTGTGCTTTCTACGGTTTCAGCTGGCCTTTTATACTTTCCCTTATCCACGTTATCAACTCGTGCTGTTTTTTTCATTTTTTATCCTGCTTACGTGGCGGTACCCTGGTTATTCTTATGTTTCTGCTTGTTCGGGTCACTCTTTCGAGCTTTCGAACGGTAACTAGTTCCCAGTGTCTGGCCAAGCTTCGGATGTTAGGGCGGGAATGAAAAAGACTTCGAAGATTTGAGCGCCTAGCTGGTGGTCTTTTAGTTGGCTCCTGACTTCTCGAATGTGTTTAAAAGCCCTTCTGCTTCTGCGTCTTCCGATTTCCTTACTCAGGTCGTTCGCAATGTCGACTTCTCGTCTTAGGTAACCCTCAGGTAAAAGTCGGGAAGTTTCTGCTTTTGGTTCCTCGGAAGGCATTTGGAAGCTTTCCAGCAAGTGGTCTAACGCCTTCCACATAGCTTCCCAACACCTTCTACTCAGAAAAATGCCTGCCGGAAGCCTTCCAGAAGCTTTCCAGCAGACTTGTGTGAGGCAATTTTCATTTTCAAAGACTTCCCAACTACCTTCCGAACACCTTCCCAGGATTTGCCTGAGACGTAGGTGTCAACTTGCTGCAGTAGGTCTGCGATAAGGCTGGTCCATCGTCGCAGAAGTGATTTCGCATCCATTGCGTCTTTTTGCGGTTCATCGGAAGGTCAATTTTTTTTTCTTTGGACGATCGGCAGTGTTGTTGGCGAATAGGTCAAAGTAATCGACAAAGCGAAGGTTTGGGACAGTTTCGCCGTCTATGGAAGCGTCTTCGTGGTCTTTGTCTTTGTCCCAGTCGATTTGTTCTAGTTTATGGTATCTACAAGAAAGGAATGCTGAATGAGCCTCAAAATTACAGACCTGTCAGCTCAACGAGTGTTATATGCAGAGTACGTGAAATACTATTTGCGCGCGAAGAAAATGTTCGAAAATATACTGAAAAAAAACCGAACTTTACGAGTAATTCGCTCACTCCGAGGTCCAGCCGACGTATGAAAATAACTTCCAAAAATCGATATGGCCTTTAAATAATCTGAATACCGTTTCGTAATTCACAGGCAAAGTCCAAACGACCTCAAAAATGCCTTAAAAAGATCAGCCTAAAGCTCCTTTTTGAGTTCCTAAAAAGGTGTCAAAAGTTTCTCGGGATCTCCTTTTTTCCATCATCTTTCCGCCTTCTTTTTACACCTCCTTAAAAGGTCCTTTTCAGAAAACGTCTAGAAGAAAGGTGCCTTTTTTTCCGAAAGTCCTTTTTGAGACCTTTTGTAATTTGCCCGTGAACCCCAAAAAATTTTTTTTCCCTCAAAGTTCTCAAAACTGCTTCTTTTGTTGTTTCAGCTCACCAACTTTCCTCTTGTTGCAATTTTCAATCAATCAATTAACATTCAGGAAACCGCAAATTAGCAAATGTCGAGCAGAAGAAAAAGCTTTTTAGCCGCACTTCCTTAGGAAAGCAAATAAAAGGAGGTCTCGTGAACTATCGTCATCCAGTCACAAAAGTTGGTTTCTTCGTTTTTTTTTTCAAATTTTAGTTCAAAGAAATCCGCTGACTTATTTTCCTTTGATTATACATTTACAGAGGAGGAAGATTTTTTATAATTTAATTTTACTTATATGAACTGTCCCCGCTCATTTTATGTTCTTCATTCGAAATTTCCCATTAGAGCGTTTAAAGGAGCATAAATAAAAATTAATAAGAGTTTCGTGACGGGGAACCATTTAGTTTTATCCTGCAGGTCTTTTGTATTTTCTAACAGAATAATGAAGCTTTTGAACAAGTTTCACAATGTAAAGTTGTCGATGTAGATCCCAGTTCATATTTTTCTGGTTTCTAAACTTGAAATTGGGACCTTTCTTCGAATTTTTCTTTTTCTTTGCAAACTTGAGCTAAGTTTTATAGGCTTGCTTTTCATATTTTCGAGCAACAAAATAAATTTTTCAAATAAAACTAAAGATCCGGTTTCATTGTTTCTTGAACTCCAAACTAAAAAATAGTTGGTAGAACGGAATTTTTTCAAATTTTCTCTCCAAGAGAGAACTTCATCGAGCAACGGGATGGGCTCAAAGGTTCATATGAAACACGCGGGATCCAATTGAAAGCTCTTCCAAAGCACGAAACTCGAACGGCACTTTGCTGGGGCATTATGGGAATGGCTGGCCGGCGTCTCACTCGATTTGGGCCATCCGATCCCGAAAAAACAAACAGCGGCCCAAGTTGGTATTCCTTCTGAAAATGTCGAGGAGTCGAGAGCCCGGCGCCACGTCATTATGACCTCAAAGTGAGTTTTGTTGTTTTTTGCTCGGGACGTGTTTTTCGATTGCTTTTCGGGTAGAATCTCCAGGTATTCTGTTTGTTTTCACATGTTAATAGTAGTTAATGAGATATTATCATTATGCGAAGATTAATGGAAAAGATAATAATGTCAGTAGACGATGTGAAATATTTTTTTAAAGCCTTCTATTTCATTTTATGGCTTTCCTACATAAGTTTAGAGCTCAGAAACTTTTTTCAGTGTTTTTTAAGACCATGGAAGGCGTCTGCGCCTTTAAAGGCACAGCGAGGTCTTTGAACGAAAGGGAAACCAGAAGTGTTTCCTTCTTTTTGATATAAGGAAAAAAAATTTCATTGTTGTCTTGAGATTAATTGCGAAGATAATAATGTCAGTAGACGATGTAAAATATTTTTTTAAAACCTTTGTATTTTATTTTATGGCTTTCCTGCAGAAATTTAGACCCCAAAATTTTTTCCGTGCTTTTTAAGACCATGATAGGTGCCTGCGCCTTTAAAGGCACAGCGAGGTCTTTGAACGAAAGGGAAACCAGAAGTGTTTCCTTCTTTTTGATATAAGGAAAAAAAATTTCATTGTTATCTTGAGATTAATTGCGAAGATAATAATGTCAGTAGACGATGTAAAATATTTTTTTAAAACCTTTGTACTTTATTTTGTGGCTTTCCTACAGAAATTTAGAGCCCAAAAACTTCTCTCAGTGCTTTTTCAGACCATGGAAGACGTCTGTGCCTTTGGCGCAGCAAGAACTTTTAAAAAATATTAAGTACCAGACTTTTTTTTCTTCTTTTCGATGTTAGTAGGAGCTAATGAGATGTTATTGTTATCATTAAACTATTAGAGGATCCCAGTAGACAACATAGACTTCAAAACAAATTATTTCATTCATTTTTTTAGCTATATTATTTTTTTAAAAAGACACTTTTTGAGATGATCAAAGGCATGTCAACACGGCCTGAAACAATAGCTACAGTAGAAACAGTTCTTGGATTGGAAGCTTTTTTTGAAATACCAAAGAAAATGTTAAAAAATGCTCCTACATGGGTAGCAGAGCTGTTTCCAACCGCAACGCGACCGCGACGCTTTAGCCATTTAAAATGAGGCCTTGGTGTGAATAAATCTTTAACATCAATCTTTGCATCACTTTGTGAGCTCTAAAAAAATTTATAGTCCATTTTTGGTAACTTGAACTTCTCTGCGCCCTCCTCGTCTCTCGGCGACTCTCTAATGTTGACGTGATCTTTTCACTTCTCTGACCTCACCGGTGAGGGAACAGAGAGACGCAGACACTCAAAAACGGTCGGAATAACTTGATTTTTTTCAAATTGAAAAAATTCTCATTTCTTTTATGCGAAGTCATTTTGAGATCTAAAATTTAGCCTTTACTGGTATTAAATTTAATAATTGTACCGGATGGCTTCTCATCAAAAACTGAATTTCGAAATTCCAAAAAAGAAAATAGTCGCTCTATTTTTAATAAAAAATAACTTCAAATCCCTTTGAAGCCTTTGTTCCTCTTCTCATTTCGCGTTCCCCTTGAAAAAAATGTCTGGAAAGAGGTTACGGCGAAAACAAAATTCAAGTCGATTCGTCCCTTTCTTCACCACGAATTTTACTTTTTTGCTCTTCCGAACCTTTTCATGTTGCATAAAAACCAGGAATTCCTCTATTTTCATGAATTTCTGACGGAAGAAAGCCACCCAAGAAGGAAAAATGAACGGAGAGCAACATAAAAAGGCATCATTTTGTTCCGTTGAAATGGCGGCTTTAAGGCGCCTCGGGGGATTCTTTCGGCTGCAAAATGAACGTCCGTTTTTTTTTTTCGTTTTCCATTCCTCGGGAAAAGTACGCTTTCGCCTCACATCTGTATCCAATTTCCACATATTGCCGCCTCGTCGAGCTTTGATCTTGACGTTTTTTTCCGTCGATTTCCCTGTTTCAACAAGGATTTTTTGTTTTCGTAGTTATACGTTCATCATCAAGTTTTATAGTGACTAGGGGCATTTTTTTTACCAATAACAATCTTGGACGTCCGTAACGTAAGTTGGACGGTTCCGGAAGTTTCTGAGCAATTCTAGGGATCACTTAAGAGCACTGACGCCGCTAAAGGGGTCACTAGAAATGCTGAGTTATTTTCCTTTTTTTGTATACTTCTACATGTTTTTTGGTAGCAACAACGAATCAGACACGATTTTTTCATAAATTCTAAAAATTTCTAAAATATCCATATTCTCAAGAAAATGGATATTTTTTCTATCACGAATTCCCGTGGAACGGCTTTTTCAATGGAAATTTACGCATTTTTTGAGTTTCCGTAGATTTTGTAAGCCTTCCTTACATGTTAGAGAAGATTTTCCAAAAAAAAAATTTGAAGTCAGGGCTTGGCTTTCCTTTGTGTCGGGAAAGATCCAGAAAAAAATTAAAAAAAGTTCACGCTTTTTTTGGCAGTATTTCAAATTGATCTCCGAACATTAAAAAAACAAGATAAATCAGAAAACTGTTTCGAGAAAATCTTTTTGAGAAATTACGAGTTATTTCTTGCCTTGTTGCTACCAAAAAACCATGTAGAAGTATACAAAAATAAAAAAATAACTCAGCATTTCTAGTGACCCGTATATTATTCGTTTCTCCAGGGAAACTAAAAATCAGTTTATTGTAAAATGTAATTTGGGAATTTTGTCAAAAATGTTTGCAAACCTTTCAAAAGATGGCAAACTTTTAATCAAAGAAAAAAACACGTCATTAATTTCCGAAAATAGCCCAACTGTGAAATGCCAAACCTGCTTGCTCAACGCCTTTTTTTCTAATTAGGAACGAGATGTCACTCTTTTGCTCTTTGCCCACGGAGAAAAGGTCCCCGAATGATGATGCTTCCTTCATTTCTAGTCTAATCCCGTTCCCAATGTTCCGGCAACATCTTTCGATACAACCGATCACGAGAAAATCTTGGCCTCCAATCTTTTCGTCCAGCTCTCATACACTTTTTTTTGTGGTGTCATCGATCAAAAACCCACGGCGACTTTATTTTTCCCCTTTTTCTACCTCGTTTTTTTGGGTTTCCTATTGAAAATTCCGTTCATTTACATTTTGAAAGCGGGTTTGAAGTGTTTTTTGTCGGTCCTTAAGCACGCTGGAGGGGTCCCTAGAGGGGTTGGGGGATAAAAAAGCCCCTATAGGGTTTTAGAGTCTGACCTTTAAACCTCTAAAGCTTCAGTGGCCACTATAGGGGTTTTTAAAAGCTTCGTTATGGTTTGAAAATTAAGACAGTCTTGTTCCGTTTATTCTCGGTTGTTTTTTTCATCCAAATATCATTAACTCATTGACGACTAAAACCCCTTTAGGGATCACTAGAATGCTCCCTTCCCCTGTAGGGGCCCCTAACTGAAATTCCTATATGGGAGCACTTAAATTTTCAATAAGGGGCTCTTATAGAGGGAGATTGGAGAGTCCCTAGAGGGGAAACTTCAACGCCCTCTAAGCTGGCCCCTTTAGGGATCACTATAGAGTTCCTTAGCCGGAAAGTTAGAAATTTTCTGATTTTAGTAAACATTAGTTTTTCCACCAAACCTTCAGGGAAGAAACTTTTTTTCTTATAGGAAGTGCAAATTGAAATCGATTTGAAGCTCTATAATTTATTTTTAGAATTCGGCGGTACTTTTTGTGAATTCGAATTGATTTTCTTTCATTTTATTTAATTTCGGAATTTCGATGCTGGTATTTTTAGTATTACCTTGAAACGTGAAGTTGGTGTAATTTGGAGTTTGCTCTAAATTTTTTTGAGCTCATATTTTTTTTCGGACTTTACTACTTTTTTTCAATTTTTTTCATATTTCATTTTCATTTTTATGATAAAAGTTTTGATGTTTATTTGTCTGAATTTCAAGGTCTTGAAGCATGACAAAAACTGAAGCTGAAACCGTTGTAATAATAAAGAGCCCGAAAAGTTTGAACGACATACTGCAAATCATTCATTTCCTATGTTCCTGAGCGTTTCCCTCACTTTTCCCAATCAAAAATTTCAATCTCGTATTGAAGCCTTCCTCTTTACTTTCTCACTTCTTTTTCTCTTAAATTTTTTCGTTCCGCGATGAGATTCTTAGAAAATAAAGAAACTTCCTTCCAAGAAATTCGCCGAAACGTCTTAAATTACTCTGGAAATTGAGAGTCCGAAGCTTTCATGGACTCTTTTTGAAGCCCTTCCTTTAACCATCAATAGTTTTTTTTCCGATAAAAGTTATTCATTTTTGAAAAAAAAAGTGGTTAAAGGGCTCGTAATGGCAAGCTTTTGAATTTGATTTTTGGAGTTTTGAAGTTTTTAATGAGTGGTTTTTTTGATATAATTGGCTCCAAATTATTAGAAAAAAACCTATCTCTACATTGTTTTCCAATTAAAATAGTGGTCGATTTTCCATTTTTCCTACGTTTGTATAGAGGTGCGTCCGAGGGTGTATACTCTCTGCGCGCTGATGCTGTCGCTTACGACCACATCACGTTGAAAACACGCCATCCCGTCCGATCTGGCAAGTTAAGCAACGTTGAGAGCCGGTAGTACTTGGATCGGAGACGGCTTGGGAATTCGGCTTGCCGTAAGCTTTTTTGCTGTTTCTCACTGCGTCAAGAACATTTTTACGCAGTTTTAAGCAGTTTATTATTAAAAATTTCAATTTTTAAGCTGAATTCAGATAAAAGTCAAGATAATTTTGAGATGCGCGTTTGAAGTCTGTCACTTAGATTGAAAAATATGACATTTTATGAAGCTCCTATCTTAATCCAAATTTTTAGTTTTCTAATTTTTTTTTTCGAATGTTTCTTTTGGGAGAACTACGTCAAACGCATAGCTTTCAATTTAGAAATTATTTCCATTTTTCCCTTTTAATTCCTCACAAGTTTGTATCAGTTCCTTTTCTCATTTCCGCTTTGAAATCGTGTTTCACTGACTTGGATTGAACCTCGGACTCCAGTACTAAAAAAAAAATAGGAAAACAATTGGTGAGAAGCGCGATTTTACACTTTCCGTGCTCCGATTCGCGCCCAGGACAATCAATTTATATGTGTCGATCGGCCGGGGTCGAAAAAAGAAGGAGAAAGCAGAAAGAAGGTCCTTTCGCCATTGATCAGCTGCTCCTTCGGCGATATTCGGACACGAATAATAGTCGGCTCGAATTCCAGCATTTCGACGTCGAAAACAAACGGAAGTCCAAGCCAGAAGGAAATAATCTCTGCTCGAGTTTATTCCACGAAACTTTCAACTTGAAGCTTCACCTATTCATTTTATTTTTGAGCTTCTGAGTTGAGAATCTTCGTTCTGGAGTTTCTTATTGGCTTTCTACTATTTTTCATTGATCAACTGCAGCTTCACTTAATTCTCTCGTCAATTTTTATTGATCAACTACTTTCATAAAACTTCTGTCGTGACGTCATAAGGGACAAAACTAATTTGGTACTCATCATCTTCTCATCATTTTGTGGAAATTTATTTCGCAAATATATGGCCTGTATCTGACCGCATTAATCTACTCAAGTGACGTCATCTTCTGGAAAAAATTGACGTCATTCTGGTTCTAAAGTGACGTCATTTTATTCAATCTGTAGTTTTTTTAAACTTCAATCTACAACTGCAATCGTCGTTTTTTGGCGTATTTCATAAAAAGTTCAAACGTCGACTGATTCAATTTTCACTGGACTATATTATATTTTTCCTGGATTTTCTGAGCTTCTGAGCTCCGGGCTTGATCTCAACGATATTTTTCATATCTCCGAGGAAATCGACAAAAAGAAAAAGTTCCTCAAACTTTGCTCCAATCACACTGGCATTAGTTGGAACATTTTGTAATCCTGCCGTCTTCAAGATTTCCGACGCTTGAAAAAGCTTCAAAACCAGAAAAAAAAACGACGTCTTCTCTCACGTACTTGAGAATTTTTTGTGTCCTTTCTCAAACGAACCTCTGTATTCGACTGAAATGAGCCATGATGACGTCAGGTTTCCGGTATTCTGGCGGGCGCCCGTCACGTCGTCCAAGCCTGAAGACGTGGTCGCCTCGACGAGTCTCGAGATGTCAGAAGGCGTTACGGCTGAACCGCTCCCTGCCTCGTGAGTTTTGATTTATTTTTTTGGGGGTTTTAGAAAAATTAATATGGCTCAGGTTGTTTTAAAAGGAAAAAAATAAGTAGATTTTTTTCAAAAATAAAAATCTTCTCTTTGCTTCTTGCTTTTTTTTTAAATGTTTCCTGGGAAAAAGCATTGAAATTCACCAATTTTAAAAATTTTAAGCGAAGGTGGGAAGTCAAGTAAATATTTTTATTTCGAAAATTTCAATTAGAAGAATTATTTTGAGACCACATTTTATCAAAGACGCTAAAAGCATTTCTCAAATTTTTCAACAAGTTGCCTGGAAAAATAAAAAAATATTTACTTTAAGAAATAGAAAAATTAAAACGGAAGCCTCCTCAATGCAAAAAAACTTATGGATTTGAAAAAAATTTCTTAATTTTTTTAATGAAATCGGCTTGAAAAGTCATAGAATCAATAGCCCGATGTCCATAATGAATGTTTTGATAAAGTAAAAAAATCAAGTTTTTTTTTTTGATTTCGGGAATAGTATTTTCATTGTCATTCGAAGCATTTTGGTTCGAAAGGTTAGTGGAATTAGTCGAAAACTGCGCGACGGACGCGTATAATCTCCCATCCGTCATCCCATATTTTTTTCCTTGAACTCCCGGGTTTTCTTTATTTTGATGGGAGGTTCTGAATGTCTTCCATAGCTCCCCAGCCTCATGAAAACGGTTCATTTTGGTCGTCGCATCGATATTATTTTGAGGAGGCTGGTTTTTATTCTATTCAAGTTTATTTATAGTCTATGAATTATAGACCTTCCACGTCACAGGTAATAAAAAATTCTGTGCTAATGAGCAGAAAACGAATGTTTTTCAGCTTCTTTGAAAAAGTCCGACAATCCTTTTAAAAGAACCACTTCAGAGACAGAAACGATACTTCTCATAAAAAATTTATCCGATTTTTTTCAAACTTCTGAATCTTTTCATATGTTTTAGGTGACACATAAATTTTAATTATTTAGAGGATTTTTTTCCAAAGAGAAAAATTTCGAACCTTTTTTTATACAATTAGGTTGATAAATCTGTAAAAATCTAACCATGAAATTTTCTTAAATTCAAAAAAATCTCGAAAAAAAGCTTAAATTTAGATTTTTTTTATTTCAATCTGCCTGCGTTTATTGCGGAAAAAGGCTGAGAAATAGCCAAAATTGGAAGATTTTCATTTTCAAACTCATTAACGACCCGTTGGATCTAATGGATATCCCTCTGGTCACATCTTCAAACTTTATTTATTTCTTGTCAAAATAAGTGCCGAATATTTTTTGTAACTTCGAAAATTGGAGATTCTGATGGTTCGTAATGATTTTTTCCATTTTGAATACTAAAAGAAAAAAAAAATTATACTAACCCCAAATTTTTCACAATTATTTTGTTGAAAGCTTCAAAAATGCGACTTAGGCTCACTATATTTCAATCCTGGAGTATCCAAATTTACTTTTATACTTTTTAGAGCTAGAGAGCACTGGTAAAAAAGAGGTGCAGAGAAAAAAAAGTCCACCCTCTCATTTTTGAAAGCTCTCTAATTTTCGAAATTTCAAACGTAGACTCGAATATCCTTGAAAAATGTTCAAAAATCTTCGAATTTCAGAGCGGCATCAGAACAACGGATCCACCAATATGTCAACCGGCCACAAGGTGAAATGGACATGATGGTCGGATTTTTCTTGATGAACGGAGTTTGCATTTGTGAGTTCTTATCAAATAAGTGGTTATTAGTTCTGTAAACCTCCTTTTTTTGTATAACCAATTTTTCTCAGCTCGAAACGGATCTGGCATTTACAGTCCATGTGCAAAGTGTTTCCGATCGTTTTTGGAGCCAATTTAAAAGTTTTCCCATTTTTAGAGTTTGCTGGGGTTTCAGATAAATGAAAAAGAGTTCATATGCCCGAAAATCCAGCAAAAAAGCCAATTTCTCCCAGGTTTCTTCCTTCTCTTCGGCCTCTGCGTAATATTTTCCTGCCTCAGGCGACGTCCAAGCTTCTTCCCACAGAGAAAACCTGCTGATGTTAGTAATTTTACAGTAAACTTTGGCGTGAAACGTTTTTTTTTTTTCAGTTGGAAGCTCTGACGCCTGAAGTTGGGCCCGTGAAACCGACCTTCAAGTGTGGGTTTCAGATTTATGTTTTTTCACGGAAAAGTTTTTTTAAAAATAGAAAGCCTAAAAGTCTTAATTTCGGGATTTTAGACTGGTTTTTTCCAAAAACCGACGTTTGAAGGTTTTTTCTAACTTTGAGAGGTGATTTTTTTCAGATTTTCAACTTCCTGGATGCGTCAGAGACTCTGAAAAATTATATTATTCGATATTTTTTTGAAATCCAATGTAAAAACTAACTTTCTAATGGTAGAAGTATGCTAACAAAAATTGCATTATATTATTTTTTCAGAAGTTTTCAGCTGAAAATCGAATATTTTCAGCAATAATATCTCAAGCGATGAGGGCCAATAAGGAATCGGACCCGAATCCGCTGAACGGTGATGCTGATATAAAGAAAAATACGGCCGTTTTGCAGGAAGACGGTCAACAGGTACATCTTACCTTGATTTTTTTCATAGACATTTTTTTGCCAAAAATGGAACGATTTTTTAGAAGTTTTATACCTCAGTTCATGATTTTTGAAGTCTGGAAGTTTTTTTTGTCGATATCTTGCTTTTGGTCTCCTGAAAAGAAAGTGGGAAAGATTTTTTGTTGAGAAATCGATAAAAGTTGGCTGAAAGATACTATAAAAAGACCCTGATTTTAAATTTATCGGAAAAATTACACTCATTTAAATTAGAGCTGTAACTCTGCAAAGATTTATCTCTATCGTTTAACTGGAAAAGTATAGTTTTCAATTCCTAGTTAAAATTATATTTTCCAATAAGAGAATTCCTTAAAACTGCGTGAAAAAAATCTTCAAGTAGAAAAAACATCAAAAAAGCTTACGGCAAGCCGAATTCCCAAGCCGTCTCCGATCCAAGTACTACCGGCTCTCAACGTTGCTTAACTTGTCAGATCGGACGGGATGGCGTGTTTTCAACGTGATGTGGTCGTAAGCGACAGCACTGGCGCGCAGAGAGAATAGATTCACCCTTTAACGTTTTGTTACCATGTTGGCGCAGTTTTGTGACAGATTCACAATCAGAATTTAACTCTCAGGAAAACTTTTATTGAATTGTCAACCGGAAAATCTCAATTTCTTTTTTAAAGGGCTGTTCAAAGCAATTTTGCTTAAAAATTTATCAAATTATCACTAGAGCATACTTTATATCCTTTCAACAAAGATGAATCGAGAAGTCGACTCGGACATTGGTAACGCGAAACGGACGTGCTCCGGACGTTTCTGGGCGATTCTAGGGATCCCTTAAGAGTTCTGAGGCTAGTAAAGTGGTCACTAGAAATGCCCCGACACGTCCGATCCGCGTCCCGTTCGCGTTACCAAGTTCTGAGGATACAAATGGGTAGCAACTTTTGAAAAAGTCAATCGGCGTGTGGTAATCGGTGGTCGTTTGTATGCTACCGGGTACTATCTCTATGGTACCTGGGTCGGAGGTCGATGCAAATAGCTACCGGGTAGCTACCTGACATTCGCGATTTCTTTCGGAAAGTCTGGAATTGCTTCCCGGGTCGTTATTTTTTGTTTCAGCTTTATCCAATAAGACCCTGATAGGCTTGGGAAGGTGTAAAAAACACGGATGGTATATAAACGACCGATGTGCCAGCCAGTGGCAATCGCGAACTTCAGGTACATACTCGGTAGCATCCAGATACCGATCAGGTACTATCCAGGTACCATAGAGATAGTACCCGGTCGCATACAAATGACCACCGATTAAGATTCGCCGATTCACTTGAGTTGCTACCCGGTACATACTTGTAACTACCTTTCGATTCACCAGTGAAATATGAATATTTTAGTTTCAAAAACATTTTGAACACACACAGTTAGTTTTAAAAGCCAAAAAGTTAATATCCCTTCAGTTAACTCTTCAAAACTTATTTTAAAAGCTGCGAAACCATAAGAGCCTACTAAACAAAAAATTTCCAATATCCCTATAGTGAACTCTTCAAATCTCAGTTGGAAACTTGTAAAACTCTTTGATCAGGGGAGTTCATTAGATCGAGAATAAAATTCCCTTCGGTGCACTCTTCAAATCTGAATATAGAAGCTGCGAAGTCACTTTAAGCTTATTAAACAAACTAAAAAAAAAGAATATCCCTTTAGGGAACTCTTAAAAGAGACGATTCATTTGAGTGCATTGAAAAATATTATCTTCCGAAATTCCCTGACGTCTTCAGGCTCAGGTGACGCTGCACGTCAACTCGTCGGCGTCGTTGCCTTCTGGAGGACGGAGGAAGTCGAGCGTCGACAGTCAACGCTCCAGAAGGTCGTCACGCTGTCGGGAGACGTCGTTCGCCGAGGACAGTGGCGTCATCATTCGTCACAACCTTCTGGGCCCGCTTAGCTTCGATGACTTGCATTATATGTGATTTTTTGTTTTTAAATCATTTTTATGCCTCGTTTTGAGAAATTTCGGGACGAAATTTCACAGATAATCCCAAAATTCGCTAAACTACTTTAAAAAGGCTTTGATTCGGATTATTTAGAAGCTGATCAAAAGTGAAAAAATCTTCGAAAAGTTATTATAAGTAGAAAAATAGTTATACGACGTTTTTTTTTAAACTCATGGTTTCAAATTTTCTTTCAATTTGGTTGTAATTCACACGAACATTCTCAAAATTACTCTTTTTTTTGTTCAAACTTCAATTTTTTCCAGAGCTTATTTGTGAATGGCTTCTCGTATTGTTACCGGTCTTTTTTTGCACCTTTATCTGTTTTCCCTATTTTTCCATGCGTCTCTTTTCCGCTCCAAGCACCATTTATTCGATTCTTCAATGGGTAAAATATATAGCCCGGGTGCCATAATAAAGCTTTGTTTTCCTCATTTTCCTTTACAATTGGAATCATAATAATATTTATTGAAATGACGTCACTTTCTGGTCGAAAAGCGGATTAAAAGTGTGGAGGATGGTGGTTTTTCTCAATGGGACGGAAAGCACTGTCAGGGTGGGATTTTTTCTTGATTTTTTCCAGTTTTTTTTTTCAAAACAATCAAAAATTACAATCTAGACGTTGAAACTAGCCAGGACTAACAATAGGTTTCACCGGGGTCGAGCGGAGGTTGAAAATTAGGTAGAAAAGTAAGAATTACTGTTTTTGTTAGAGAAAAGCTATACGATGGACTATGGGATGGAGAAAAGCTACCGGCAGAGAAATAACGAGAAAAGGAAGAAAAACTAATAGGACTAACCGGAATTCAACACGAAAAAAAAAGAAGAAGAAGAATTCAATGGGGTCTGTACACATCACCGGGAGAGCACGCGAACAAAAAAAAACGACAATAAAAAAAAATGGGGGGCTAGATATCGACAGTGTGAAATGCCGGGGACTTGCACCAGAAAACTCGAAGACGTGGAACTTATAAAGCCACGATCATCTGGATTTCTGGCGATTTTCCCGGTGCGAAAGACGTTGCGATTGGACTTTTTGTTGAATTGGTTGCATGGCGGAGTCTGATCAGACTTCGAAATGCTTTAATAAAGTTAAAAGAATTATTTAAATTATTTGCACTCTCGCGCCAGGAAGATGACGATTAATTAAGGAAACAAGAAAAAATTACGGAAACTAGCGAGTTTGGCTAAATGAATCAAGGTTTTTGTACAGAAATGCGCGGCTTTTTTCGTTTGAAAGATGTTGGTATCGAGAAATGATGACGAGGAAAGCCGAGAGACAATTATTATTATTAGGTTGAAGAGATTAAAGCTGATAGAGAGTCGAACAAGAAAGAAGGAAAGTTAAGGTCCCAAGCTCCGGATGAATGAATGAAAGAGAGAACGATAGATCCAAATGAAATAGGTACGGTTATCACAATTCTATGGTTGACGCTGAAAGTTCTGCAGTAGGGATGGGTGGTTTTTCAAGGCGAATTTTGGGGTTTCGAACGATATCATTTGAAATTGGACAACACGAAAGGAATCTACAACGTCTTTAATTGGAATATAAAGCAGAGATTGAAAACGTAGGGACTTGAGAAAAACATTTCTGGATTTGCATGTAAATATCCGGGAGAATAAATCCTCGTTTCGAGACTTTTGCGGAAAACTCAGTAAATATTTGAACGAATTGAACCTCAAAACTTCAAAATACTTCAAAGAAAAAAAATGAGGTAAAAATTAATAGATCGTCAAATTTAAAATTGCAAAACTTCACGCTGTTGCGGCTTACGCACAGAACCTGACGCGCATTTCTGCATTTTGGCGTGAGTATTCAAAAATTTCTCTTTTCCTTTCTGCTTACAATCCCTTCGCTTTCGATCAAAGAAAATCGGCGTCTAATCATCGGTAGAAAAAAAAACGAAATAAAAAGCAAAATGAGGCAGCAAATCGGGTGGTTCAGTAGCATATATCACTGGGTATTGGCTTGTACTCAAAGAATATTATCCTTCTAGAAGACACCGGGTTTAAGGAAGGAAAAATCAAAGGGAAAAAAAAACACTACGCGAGTAGACTATGATGAAAAAATAACAAAAAAAACCGAGATGCAGGAGAAAAAACAGGGGAAAAGTTCACTGGGATGAAAACTATTCGAAAAATCAAAACCCTTAGGCCCAAAAGAAAAGTGCACATATTGTTCTGCGAAAGTCGAATGGGGTAGATCAGGAAGATTGACAATTTTCGGATAGAAAGGCCGTCTCGGAAAAAAGAAAAAGAAATGTACAAGTAGAGACCTAGTCGGTAGCTAAAACCAAGCCTATAAAAAGAAAAAGAACAAAAAAAAAAAGGTACAGCTGAAAGATACGGTCAGTGGGGGTAAAAGCTTGGATGTGTGGAGAAAGAAATACAGGGTTTCGGGTAAATTATACATGACTAGACGAGTATGAGTATTTTTGTGGGCGATGCGGTCGCGTCGCGGTTCTCATGTTGATGAGGCTGTCGCCGTGGCGGCTTCTGGCTGCAATTTCACAGAGTTTCGGGTGGAAATTAACAAAAAGATACCTTGAAACGTTCGTTGAGTTCGCTCGCTTCAGTTTCTTCCATATCTTCATCAGCTTCCGTCATTTCGTCTTTCAAGCCTCCGGCGCCGGTTGAAATTGGACCGGAACTCACTTGTAGGGCCTAAAAATAACCTCATAGTCGTTTTTACTGAACATTAGGTTTTTTTTTGAATGCTGAATCTTGCTCGAAAAACTTGAAGTTCAGTGGAAAATGGAACTTTTTGTTCCTCAAAAAAAACGTAGCTTCTAAACTTTCCCAATTTTCTCAAAAACTCAATTTTCAAGACCACGAAAGGCATTTTTGGCAAACATTTTGCAATGCAGAGCAGATCCAGCAACGTAAGTAATCCACTTTCAAAAATATTTATTTACCAGTTGAAACAGTAATCTCTTGGAAATTTAATATTTTTTTAAAAAAAGTAATTTTTTTGATGGAATTGTATTGTAAAATTGTCCCCTAAAACCTGAATTATAGGACAAAAATATTCAAAGTGTATTCAACTCTGGCTTCAGTGGAAAAACCGTCACTTTTTTTATTTTATAAAAAAATTCTTCGTTGGAGAGTCTTACCAAAAATTACTGGATATATATGAATATATCTCTTTCAAAAAGAAAGTAGTAAATTTTAAAGATCAAAACTTCCAGAGGGACTCATGAAACAGTATATTCTCATAAGTGTCACCCAGGTGAACTATTTTTCATGTCCAGCTGATAGACGAACCTGAAGCCAGTTAAGGACGATCTGGTTGCTTTGAGAAACGGCGCTGGGCGGCGGTTGCGTCGAAGCTTGCGTGATGGTTGCGTTGGACAGAGCCAGGAGGGAGGTGGCGTCGGCCAAGGCGGAAGCCGTAGGGGCGGTTCGCGGCTCTGCAAAATTTGATTGATGAAGACATTTTTGGGAATAAGAGCCAGATTGAGTTATCTATAGGATAAATGGAAGCAGAGAGGAATATAAGAAAAAAAAAGGGGACAATCTAGGGCGTAACGGGCAATATTTCCAACTGACCACTGGGCGGAGATCCGTCCCGCTGTCCTCCCGAGTTGTTGACGACACACTTTCGCATGTGCTTCTCCAACGTCGAGTGGACGGAGAAGGGCATCCGACAGATGTAGCAGTGGTAGGTCTCCTTGCCCTGTTGGCCGTGGGTCCGCATGTGTCGCGTAAGCTTGCTGCTCTGCGCGCAGGCGTACGGACACAGTTGGCACTTGTAGGGCTTCTCGCCGGTGTGTGACCGGAGGTGGACGATCAGATTCGAGCGATTTGTGAACACCTGGAAAAAGTTTAATTAGTTTTGAGATAGTATACATTTTTCTTCATGTTCCTATTCTACATGAAAGGTTCATTAACTAGGAAATGAATTGGAGGACGTGGACTTGCCTTGTTGCAGTAGTGACACCGCTCCTTCCGCAGGTTGACTTGCCGACGTGCGGCCGGTTCGGCGAGGTCGTTGTCGTCGACGACGATCAGCGGGTCGCTTTCCTCCTCGGTGATGGTCCTTGCCGACTTCCTAGGCGTCACGGATTCCTCATCTGGACTGGCTCTTCGGCGGATCGCGGCGGAGGCTGGTCGCATCGGACTCGGCGTGAAGGCGGACGGCTCTTCTCTGAAGCAGAATCTAAGGGTATTCCGGTAGAAGTAGAATGAGATGAATAAACGAAGATAACAAAACTAACGACTTGTGGATGGGCGGGAAGAGTCCAGCGACGCTGGCGGGAACGGCGGCTGCAGGTGACGACGTCGGCTGAATGGCGGTGCCGAGACCGAGAAGCGCCGCGGCGGTCGTCGAGCTTCCGAGGTTGTACTGGGACATCTGGGCGTAGTAGTCCTGCATGGCGCTCAGCACGCTCGACTGCATCCACATGTTCTGAAAGATAACACTTTCCTAGTCTATTTCTGGATTGCTCCATACATTGGGCTGAAGAGCGGCGGCGGCTGCTGCTGCGAGTTGTTGCGGAATCTGCTGGCCGTTGGTGTTGTTGCTGCTCACTGCCGACGTCGAGGTGAAGGCGGAGACCTGCTCCTCCTCGGTCTCGTCGCCGGGCAGCAGCCGGCCGAAGCTGAAGCTGCAACTTCTTTACTCGGGTTAAAGACTCTTTCCGAAGAAGGAGGAACCTCCGGAGGTCGCGCTTGTCGAAGAGCGGCTTGGCCTCTTGCTCGCCGGCCTTCTCAGCGATTTCCTTGAGTCGCTCCGAGCAGAACGAATTGAGGAACAAGGAGTTGCTCTTGGCCTGCGGCTGGATGATCTTGCTGGGGGTTTCGTGATGGAAGGAGGCCATCAACATGGAGTTGTTCGAGGTCGGCGACGAGGTGGCCGACATGGAATTCTCCGACTCCGGCAGGTCTTCCTGAAGGTTTTTTGCTTCTAGAAAGTCTGAAAAAGTTTCCAAATGTACCTGACAGACCCTGAGGCCATGGAGGGCGTAGCAATGCTTCAAAAGCGTCCAGATGTCTCCGAATCGTTCTTTGCAGCTGTTGCATGTCAGCGACTTGCTCGTCGGACCTGCAAATTATCAATAGAGCGCGATTTCTTGACATGAAAAGCTCCCATGAGTTTCCTGTCCACTCTGCCAATAAAAAAAAACAACAATTCATCATTGGAGCGCAATCTCTGAATTCCAAAAGCCCTTATGACTTTATCCAGTATTTACTTGGTTGCAGGAAAGCGAAAGCCTTTTTTTCTCTTCTGCCGAACAATGTCAGTCGGCGCCGGCGCCAGAGGGCGCAAATATTGACTCTGAACGTGCCCCTGAGTCTACTTTTGTAAAAGAATATTTCTTCTGCTCCTCACTATTTCCCAAAGTCATGATCGATTTTCTAGGTAAATCCAGCTGGTCAACACGGAATGTCGGATGTTTGGCTTGGCGCCAAGTTTTTTTTTCGACATGAATGAATAAAATACGATGGAACGATGTTCTTCATACGTCGACTATAAAAAAAATTCAATGGATCACAAAATTTAATTCAAAAGTGATGTGAAACAGGAATAGTAGTTTTCATTCGTTTTCGGACAGTCATAGGGTTTTTCAAGGTTTTTGAATATTTATAGCAACTCCAAAAGGGATTTTTCCAACTTTTTTTGTACGAACAATCAATATATTTTTTTAGAGTCTACTTCCATCTTGAAGCGCCTTGGTCGCACTTGGAATGGCTCAAAGCCTCGCGATCGTTTAGAAAGAAACCCCTTCATAGTTTTAATGTTTTGGTGCGAGAACCGTTTCAGGTCCGGTGCACTTTGAAGGAACTGCTTAGCAGCCGGTGAACAAATTTTCCTTGTATTCGACCCTCAAGTCTCTTTTTGTTATCCTTGGAGAAACAAGGCTTGAGAAGATTCTTAGGAAAATAAAAGAACGTTTCCCAGCTTTCCCTCCAATGCTTCCAGACTCACCCAGCCCCATAAATCAAACTATCTACATCTTGCCAAATTACACATCGAGTTGTTATGCATCCCCCCGATACCCATAAATGGCAGATTTGTGTAAAATCAGTTGGGTGTACAGCGAAAATTGGATCGGAGGAACCCGTCCAGGTGTGACCGAACCAATGGTGAGCCTCTTGGCTTACCTCATTTATCGCTTTACAGCTTCATGTCTGATGCGTCTAGGTTGACCAGGAGATAAGGTTCTTTGGCTATAATTGGAATTTTTAGGAAAAAATCGGAGGTCTGGAGAATCAAAGTTCAGATTGGGAATAACTACTGAAAATTGAATTTTTCCGAGTTTCAGCTTTTTTTTTTTGAATCATCTCGATAAGTTTCAGTGCTAGTTTTGGACAAAAAATTTCACAAAGACGTCTGAACCTCTTCAATTTGAACACTCTCTTGCTAATCGTAAAAAGATCCCTTCCTATTTTTCTTCAAGTTGATTTTAAAAAAAGTTAAAATTGAAAAAAATCCTTCGATTCTTTTTCTAATGCGTTAAAGATGACCAAAAAGTGGTTTTTTTCTCAGAAAAAGACCAAACTTCAAATCAATTACCAAATCGAGGAATCTAAGGTCATTTTTTTGGAAGATGGGCGTTGATTTTTTTAAAATGAAGTTAACTTCGAAATATTTTTTTAAAATCAAAAATTTTTGTTCTACATGAAAAGCCTAGAAATATAGAATGAAAGTCCGAAAAATTGGAAAAAAAGGTTAAACTCGCCATTTTTTTCCTTCAACTCATTACTATGATTTTTCACAATAAGTTATATGCGGTTTTATAAACTAATAAGAAATGTCAGAAACAGAAAAGTTTGCGAAAAATCGTTAAAATGAACTTTTTTTCTCCAACTTTGAACCTAGGATTTCATCTTCAAAGATTTGCAAAAGCCGAATTTTTCCAAATTATACTGAAAAAAAAGTCTGATTATTCGAAGTTTGTGACCCTAGACCCCTATAGGGACCGTTTTTTCGTCCCCTAGGGCTATTTTTCTCCTAACCACTTTAGGGACCACTCTGCACGTCCTCACATCGATCTCAAAATATACTAAAAAAGCATCCGAAAAAAAATCCTTTTCACTTCAAAATCCCCTCAAAACACATTTTTCAAAAGATTGCGCGAAAAAAAGTCGTATTTTTTCAGGGCCAATTTTCAGCCTCCACACGCAACACTCGTCCTTGGCGGAAGGGCCAAAAGCGGAAAATGGTCCTTCTGTCGAAAAAATGTTGCGGCAATCGACCTCGGCTGTGTTGCGTTGGGGCAAAAATAAATGCGATGGTCACGGCTGTTTTCCATTTCCCATTTCCCGTGTGTTCGACGAAACATCAATGTGACTTTTTCAGGCGGTGAATCGCCAGCCCAAAATTGGTCAAATTTTCGAAATTGGGCGGTTTTGAGTGTGTGTTTGGGTCTAGGAAAGGAGTGAAGGAAAAAAAAAACAGTCTCAAGGACTTTAAAAATTGAGGTTCTGTTTTTTTTTGTACTGGTTCGCTGTGATTGGGAAATTTTCCGTGAAACCTGATTTTTTGAGAAATTTTCGAAAAACGTGCTGTGAATCCAGTTGAGCAACAAGAATGACTTTTTTTTTTTAAATTGCAATTAAAATTTTAAAAAATGGCCTAGCCACGAAAATTCACTCCGTATCAAAAATTGACTGAGCATAAACTCAAAAATTGTTCAATTTCAAAGAAAAATCCAAAAAATAGGCTGAATATTCAGTTCCCTGCATAAACTAAACACAAAGATTGAAAAAATTTCAATTTTTTCCTATTTTTTGAATTTTTTTTTTTGAAAGGCTTGGCAATCAAAATCGACTCCGTATCAAACTTTCATTGAGCATCAACTCAAAAATGGTTTTTCCAGCTAAATTATGGTATTTTTCTCAAAAAAAAGCATTGTAATCTTAAATTTTTGCTCAAAATCGGTTGCTCATTCAATCTCTCTCTTCTTTATATGGCCTAAATTTAGTGATTTTTACCGGATAGAAAGTTGAAATCTCAAAAATAGCCTCAAAAATCATTTCAAAAACTTTTTTCAGCTAAATTCATTAGAACGGTGTCCCACTAATGAAAAAAAGAATTTTTAACTAATTCCAATTTTTGTTGCCTTTTAAAAGTCAATAAATATTTTTCCCTCAAACACTTTCCCCAAAAGTTTGCTCCACGGCAAAAAGAAAAGTAAGAGGTCGTGGCAGAACCTGTCCATCCACCGCCACTTCCACGTCTTTTTTCCCCCCTGTGTGTGTATTTACGAGGGTCGACGCGGCGCGGTCGCGTCGCGGTCTCTGGTCAACAATGACGACGCACTGGCGCCTAACCTACAGTAACCTCGGCTAGGTGGACAAACAAGTCGCGGTGAGATGGTAAACAGTTGTGTTGTATTGAAACAGGGAAAGCCGCGCGTTTTCCGAGTTTTCGAGCCAAACAGTTTTTTTTTTCTTTTCTTCGATTGAAAACGACTCGATATGGTTTTTGAACTACTTTGATGTTAATTAGGTCAGAGATCAAGCAAAAAAAGGCTATTTTTTTGAAAATTAATATAAGATCTGTTTGAAAAAAAGTTGTGTCCGCAATCCAAGTGACGAAAAGTTGAAAAAAAAAAAGACCAGAATTGGGTTTTTTTTTTCAAAATGAAGTAAGCTTATTGAAAGAGATTTTTCGCTTCAGAGAATTAAAAAAAAATATCCCTAGAGTTAGATGTGCAGGTGAACCATTTCACTGAGCTGTTGGACATCAGGACATTTTTTTAAAGCAATGATTCAAAAAACTAGAAAAAATCAGCTTTTTTTTCCTGTATTTCTAGATTTCCTTCTTCAACACGGCCCCTCCACCACCTCCAAAACCCTCCCGGTCAAAACAACCCAACCATTTTCCACCAGAAACCGAAACATACATTTAATTTGGCGCGCAACATCTGGCGGATTTTTGTGCGCGAAAATTCCGTTTCTCTTTGTTTGTGGGTCTTCTTTATGTGACTTCCAGAGTGATTGACGTGCCATTGCAAAAATCGTCAGGAAATTTTGAGGGGTGGCATTTTAAGGGGAAAAAAATAGAAGTAGAAGGACTTTTCAGGGGTCATTTTGGTTGATTTTGGAGGACTTGAAGACCCTTATAGACTTGAAACTTTCAGAAAAAAAATCTTATTGATTAAAAATATGTATAGCAAAGTCGTAAGATGAAGTTTTTGAAGCAAAAATTTCCCTGAAACTTTTTAAAAAAATCAACCCAAAAAGATAAATATTTTTTTCCTGCTCAAAAACTTAATATATATTGAAAAAAATTAGAACCCCAAAAAATCCATATTTATGGAACTTCTTTCAGCTGTGAATCTTCATAAACTGGAGGAAAAAAATATATTTCACGCGTTGATACAAGTTAACTATGACATTCAAGCTAGAAATTAAAAAAATTTCTTTTCAAGCGGAAAAAAATAATTTTCATTATTCCCCGAATTTCCCCACATGTAACTGTGCTCAAAGGGCACGAGACCTCTCAAAAAGCGGGGGATTCATATTTTCCGTCGGCGAATGGACAGAAAACTCGAAAATATTGACCCTGGCTCTGACCAAAAACACACGTCGGGCAAATACGGAAAAATGAAAAATAGAAGGGAAAGACGAACCGAGATCGTTGGTGTCCGTGGTGACGTCCATGTTGTAGTTGAGCATCAACTGATTTGCCGATGTTGATCGGGCGCATCGGCTCTGAAATGTTTCGAAATGAAGGAAATTGAAAATTGATAGAATGGTTGAAGTCTTCTGGAGTCACTTTAACGTTTCATGGGTACTATTTAAAAAGTTTTTCAACGTTAAAAATATTAATCACAGGCAAGGGATTATTGATTTTTTTTCGATCAGATTGAAAAAGTTTCTACTCAAAATCTAGTTGAATCTGATCCGATTCTTCTCCCAAAAACTTCTCCATTCCTTTAAAAATGCTTCCAATCCTCCTTTCAAGGCAATACGAGTCTGAACCTCAAACTATTTTTCCAAAGTGAGAATAAACTTTGGATCAATCCCCATCATCAAAATCAGACTCAATCTGCTCCCTCGAAAACGGTCTCTCTTCTCATGACAGTCCGACCGAAACTCTCCCGAAACTTCTCCTGGGAGACCGACGTTTTTGACGTGTGACCGCGAGGGCGCAAATCTGTTTGCCAACAACTTTAACCAACGCCGACCGCGACCCTCTTTTTCCAGAAATATATATTTGCCGGACCGAAAGTTACTCGAAAAACGTTGGGAGTTGCGGAGAGTTGGTATTTGCGCAAGCCATTTGACCAAGTGCCGTTTTGCCTCAAACCAACGGTTTGGCAGAAGAAGAAGAAAAACCCTTTTGAAAAGACGGACGGACTGTTTGAAGAGCGTTTTCTCTCTCTCTCCGTGATTCAGACCCTTTTTTATGGTCCGAAAGTTTGGGAGTTCTATGGTACAAATGTATTAGTTCAAACAAGGTTCTTAGGTGGTCTTAGAGCTGCTGGAAATGAAGTTAGACCTCAAATTGTACTTCAAACAGCTCCGTTTCTTGAAAAGGTTGTTTTTACTGGCATTTTTGTTCCTAGTTCATAAAAAGGATCCTAGGTGATCTAAGAAAGTCTAGGAGAAGAGTCAGACCTCAAGCCGTACTTCAAGCAGCTCCGATGCTTTCAAAAGTCGTTTCCATTCCAAATAAAGACCTAGTTATCACCTTAAACAAGAATCTTAGGTAGTATTATAGCGGCTAGAAGTGAGACATTAAGTCGTACCTCAAGCAGCACTGGCACTTTTTGAACGTTTATTCGTCTCCCAATAAGAACTTTTTTTAGGTAAAACAAAATTTCAGGTGGACTTGGACTGCCTAGGATGGAAGTCAGACTCCTAGTCGTACCTCAAGCAGCACTGCTACTTATTAAACGTCGTTTCCACTCCAAAAAAATACATAGTTCTCAGCTCAATCTAAAACCTTAGGTCGTTCTGGAAGTGGAGTCAGACTTCTAGCTCTCCAGAAGCATTACTATACTTCCTAAGAAAGTATTTTCAGTTGCAAATAAGGCTAGTTGGAAGAAAATAGTATGAAATAAACTTCAGGACTTTTGAAGGATCGTCAGACAAGACCATACTTAGAAATTTCCCAAATCAGAGCCCTATCAAATTCAGAATTGCCTTGAAGAAGAACCAAAAATTCCTCCTAACACAACCGCCTCAACCCATCAAAAAGCTCTGGACAAACCATGGAGGCGGAGGTGAAGGTACGCCGGCGGAAGCGCCTCGGGGAGGTCTCCTCCAGCTCGTCCGTCGGCGTCATCTTACCGCCGCCACAGCTTATCCGCTAAAATCTCCCACTAGACTAAGGCTTCATGAGAAAAATTTCATCGTTCAAGTAGAACTATCTTGGAGCATGGCTGGGGCCCTAAGAACTGTAAGAGAATCGGGAAACTGTTCTAGAGCTTCGGAAGCCAAGAAAAAAGAATTCCTTGAGATACTGTCAAAGTAAAAAAAAGCTTAAAGAAAAATTGGAGAAAAAAAATCTTGCAAGAGTAATTTCTGACCAGATCTGGTGAGAATCGCTGTATTACATTAAACCTTTTAAAACCATACTTCCTAACTGGAAAAATCGAAAAATAGATGCTTAACCCTCTCCCAATATCTTGACTTCGAAAAATTGCGAAAAATGAGGCCAACGCTTTCCAAACCATCAGTAAAACTGTATGCAAGGTGATAAGAAAAAAAGGCATTTTTTTAAGACCCCCCGCCTCTTCCGAGCCCTTCTCAGACCTCAGAGCTAACCATAGACCCCAGAAAGTCACTTCTATACCCTCCTTGCTACTCCGGCTAAATTCACAGCCTTCCAAGTCTAACATCTCACCTCTAAGAAGACAAAGTGATCTCCACTCCCATAAAAATCACCAAAAAGATTTCTCCGAACCTTGTGCTCGACGAAGGCGTTGAAGGAGTTGAAGGAGAAGGTGGCCTGACACTCGCCGCACATGAGCATGTCGGCGCGGTCGGCCCGTGGCGACTCGGCGCCATGGGACATGGGCGAATCCGACGCCTTCAGCTCGGTCAGGTCGACTTCGGCCGTCGATTCGACGCCGGAGTCCGACGACGCCATCGGAGTGCCGCCTGGAAAATTCCGGTTGGGAGTTTCTGAAATTGGAAAAGCTGGGGTAGACATGCAAGGGGAGAATCATGCTAGAAACATGCAAAACTCTAAAACTTTGAGTAACATGCACGCTAAAAAATACATCACATTTGTCTCAACTAGAAAAGTTCTCTGACCTGTCTGCGCTCTCTCATTTCTCTAATCGTCTCAAGCAAAGAAACGCGGAGAGATGGGAGAGCGCAGATAGGTCAGAAAATTACGTATCATGGAGAAAGTTTTATGGAAAAGAATATGATCAACATAGCCTTCAAGAAAAATCGTGAAGGTACAAAAAATTCTGACTTTTTTATTCCTAACTAAGCCTCAAGAAATGAAAAAGTTTTCAGTCCTTTTCTTTCTTTTTCAAAACTTCAGAATCCCTCCATTAATTCAAAAGTCTCAAGGTAAAACTTCAATTTTTCATCTTTCCTCTCCTAAAAGCCGTTTGAAAACAATCTTCCCCTCAAATTTCCCAATTTCATGCGTCTATTTGCAAAAGCATGCACAGGAAAAAATCATATATGAAAAGGAGGTGGAAAAAACGGCCGCGACGGCGCAAACACGCCTTCAGGCAATATTTGCCCTTCCGCGTGTGACGTCACACGCGGCAACGTCTGCGGAGAGATCAACGGAACAGGCGGAAAAGCTGCGTTTCCTACTTGTTCAGGTTTCTTCGAATACGTTTCAAAGACGTTTCAAAATGAGAAGAGTGAAGTTATATCAATGCTAGGATAGTTTTGAATAAATAAAAATGCGTATAGAAAACTGTGAAGAAACGTCCCCATACCGTCCGCACTTTAAAAGTCTACCAGGATAACACAAAAGCATGCAAAATGAGGAAAACTACAAAACATGCAGGGGAAAATTCGAAAGTTTCAAACTCACTGGTTAAGAATGTTGTTAACCGTTTCTTTAACTCCCTTCGGTACTCTAGAAAAAAATTATTCTTAATTATTTTTGATTTTTTTGTAATCAAGACGTGGTAATCGAAACTTCAACAGGGAAAGATGGCTCGTAAAAACTTTTAGAAATCAAAAAATCAAGACTGACATTCTTTTCAACACGAAAAGATTCAAAATCACTATACTTTCCCTATACCTCTCACTTTCACACACTGTCTCACTACATCAGAAATCGATCTAATCGAATTTTATCAAATTGACCGCAGGTGGAATGGCTCAAAGCGTCGCGGTTTGGATCTTTTTCAGAAACTGCTCTAATGATTTGCGAAGCCGAAACGCGCAAGTAGTTTTGGGTCGGATGCGACTTTGAGCCTTTCCGTGCGTTCGTGCAGAATCTTCTGATCCTTTAACACCCGTCAAACTAGAATCACTGATTATTCTATAACTGAAACATCAACATGATGTTTTGAAGACGAACCGCAGTTTTTGTCGTGGCTGCTGGGTCCGGCCGGCTCCTCGGCCCCGCTGTCCACTTCGCTGATCGTCTTTTTTCGACGTCGTAGCGACGGCGTCTCGCTGCTCTGAAAATGTTGCTGGTTATTGCTCATGTTATAGCTTGAATGAGATCGAACGGATAATTTTTTTTTTGAATTTTTTTGGAATTATTTCTAGAATGTAACCTGACTTTGTTGCTGGTTCAAGCTTGATATTGCTCATGTTAGGATTATTGTTGGACACATTTTGTGAAAAAGATACTTTTTCTGTAGAAGCTCATACATATCCTTAATCCCTCGAGTGAAAAATCAAAAAAATGTCTAAACCTCTTTTTTTTGCACACTATTTCTTTCACAACATGACATCACATCTCAAGTCAACGTCACTTTTTTCTCTGGAAGTTTCAAGATTTTCTGATTTTTCCCAGAGATAAAGTACTACTCAGTCTGTTCATCTTATCGCCGTTTCATTCGGAAAAAAAAGATTTCATAACAATAAATCTTTTTTTAATATATTGCTCATGTTACAGCCCTTCTCCCACCGATCAGTGAGCCCTTACTGTTCCGCCAAACAGTATTTTACCAGGCGGCGGTCTAAATATAGCCGCTGAAAAGCCTCTCGCATGACCCGACCACCACGTACACATGCACACAGACAGCAAAAAATGAGAATGGCATGGAAATGCGGAAACTCAAACAACGGCCCTGGTGGCTTCAGCTGTTTGCTGCCGAGGCCTTTTTTCCGTTTTGTTCGTTTTGCGTGTGCCGTGGGGCGAAGGTGAATGGGAAATTCCGGTTTTGGCTATGAGAAGAGGGTCGACAAACTTTGACAGGAAAAAGTATGAAAAAGTTTGAAAGTTTTGGTGGTTTTTGGACATTTTCGAAGCTATCAGAAGATGGCTAGTATGAGCAATACAACAGGGAGAGAATTGGAAAAAAAAAATGGTTTTCAAACTATAGACGCTAGTTAATGAACTTTTTCTAATCCGATGAAGACTCCAAATTAAAAATGTTTTTTGAAGTCTTCAGAATGCAAAAATTTGCTTTGATACTTTTTTTTCTGATTTTTGAGCCCGAGAAATCTCTAAGATGAGCAATAAAAAAAATTAAAAAAGAAGGAACTCCTAGTGGAATTTTCAAACGTAACAAACAGGCGTGACTTAAAAAAAGCAGGAAATTTCAAATGTGATCAAGAAATAAATCAAAATTAACAATAAACTTGGAATTGAGAAAAGATTTTTGAAAAATGCGGGCAACATGAGAAATAAGTAGCTCGACTAAAAAAAAATCAAAACTAATGAAGAAGTTTCGAAACCGCCTCATACTCAAATTCTTATCATTTTTGTGAAAAATTGACCTCAGAACCCAATAGTTTATCATCATCGTACAGTTGCCCTTTAAAGGAATTTTCTATCGAAAAAGTATATTTTCGGATTTCAAAAGTTATGTTCTTCAAGAAAGTCATTTAAAAACGTGTTGCATCAAGAAAAAAGAGCAAAAGGACAAGAAATCCAGACTGATAAGCTGTTAAAAGTGCATGATATAGTAATAATACAACAAACGTACACAAACGCTCGTAGTAGTAGTAGTAGATGACTGATAAGGATCTAAGCTCCGCCCCTCGGTTCTTCTTTTTTGTTCGCTTTTATTTATTCTTTCTTCTTTCCTGACTCAGGCTGATGCTGTCTGGCCGGACAAAGGAGGGTGTGATAAAATAGCCGTGATCAGGAGAGCAATAAAACACAATTGGCGATTGAGCAGGCTTTTTGAAGCTTTGGTTGGGTCTTAGTAAACTTAAGGATTAGTTTTGGGCACTAATGGAAGTTAGGCTTGAAAGTGTCTTTCTGGGGAGTAACACCTAAAGTGAAAATCTTAATACCAATGTACTTTAGTGAGGTTAGAGTTGCTGGATTCTGCGCAAAAAGGTCACAGAAAAAATAAATTTTACCAGACTTTTTTTCAAAGTCAAATAATCTTCAAACAGTTCTTTCAAAGTTTCAAAAGCGAAAAAAATGACCCAAATTTTTCTAAAGTCCAGAAAGAATCAAAAAAGTTGGAAAATACTGTCTGTCTTCAGTTTCTCTTCTTAAAAAGCAAAAAAACTACAAAAGTGCTGATTTTTTTCCAGTCTGACGGACATCCAACCTTCTCAAAAAAATTCAGCTGAAGCTCGGAAAAAGTTTGAGAAAAAAATTTTTAAATGTTTAGACTTCAAAATTTCTCCAAAAAAATCTATCTCAACCCGTAGATCATCTAGATAGCCTATTGGGTCCAAATAAAATCCTGAATATTCATACTTTTTTCTAAAATCTAAATTTAAGCTTCTTCCGCACTACTATAGCACCTAAGACGTCTTTATACCAACAAAAATCCCTTAAGTACCTCCTCCTCTATCAAAACGTGTGAGGCACCAATCCATCAACTAAGTCTGCCGAACCTCGGACAAGCTTAAATCTATCCTCACTAACTTGTTTCTTAATAAGACCCTTAAGTACCTCCTCCTATATCAAAAGACCTAAAAAAACCATCCCATCAACTGAATTTGTCGAACCTGGGACTTGGAGCGGCCACCGTTGTGCCCGCTGCTCATGAGTAGGTGGGAGGAGGCTGGGCTGGTCGGCGGCAGGCTGGCGGCGGCGGCGATGGCGACGCCGTCGTCCTCGTCCTCGTCGACAGCGATGGCAACTGCTTGCTGCTGTTGCTGCTGCCGGCGATGCTTCGATTCACGGGGCTTGTGCTTCTGAACCATCTTTACCATCTTTCTATGGGGTTTCTGTTCGGTTAGGTGGTTCGGAAATGTTAGGAGCAGGGGACTGTGGAAGTTCAGCTTTTACAATGAGGGAGATTTTTGGTACAGAGGTCCGAGCTTGAAAATGTACTCTCGATAGACGAAGAAGCCGAACAGTCAAAAAAAAAACCATGGTAACGCTAGCCGGACGCTTCTGAGCAACTCTAGGGATCACTTAAGAGTTCTGACGCTGCTAAAGTGATCCCTAGAATTGTTCAAAAACCTCGGTAACGCGAACAGGACGCCTCCGGACGCTTCTGAGCACCTATAGGGATCCCTTAAGAGTGCTGACGCTACTAAAGTGGTCCCTAGAATCGCTCAAAAACCTCGGTAATGCAAACAGGACGCTTCCGGACGTTTCTGAGCACTTCTAGGGACCACTTAAAAGTTCTGAAGCTACTAAAGTGGTCACTAGAAAGCGCGTCCGGCTCGCAGTACCAAGCTCCGAGCTTTTAGAAAAGTTATCGGTGGAGCACACTTGCAAGCTCTTAACGCAAAAAATCATTTTTCGTTGAAAATTTGAAAAATAGATCTTAACCGGTTCTCCCTGTGTGAAAAAATTTAGCTTGTCCTTCTGAGCCAATTTTTTCAAGCTGAACTTCCATATCCCTCAGCAAAACGTCAGGTATCCCAAACCTACCTTCAGCTTTTCCGGCCCCTATACCATAGATTTTTGCGTAGTGTGGTTTGTTCTGACAGTGCTTCCGTCCAAAAGACCGTCACCCTTGCGGAAGATTCTGTAAAGAAAAACTCATGACGAGGTCTATAAATAGGCCGAAACGTTCAAAACGAGCAAGAAAGGCGTTATCTTTGACTTTTTTTTTGGAGAGGGGACAATGGCTGAGGGGAGTTATCAGCAAGTGGCTTGGCACAAAGCCGAGACGAAGACGGACACAATGGCCCTGGAGGATCCAGTGAGAGAAATCACGAGGTTTGACCGGGATAGATCAAAAAATCAGAAAAAAATTTTTAATTGGAAAAAGTGCGGTCATGAATGAGTTGATGAAGTTTTTGGACCAAAAAAAGTTAAAAAAATGAAGAAAATTTGGAAAAATTTGGGTCATAGGAAAGTTGGATCACTTGGCTAAATGCCAAAAGAGGAGTTACGGAAAATTTTTGCGACTCGGCTGTGCGACTCGGCTAAGTTGATATCATCGTGCATGTAGCAAGAGAACAGTTACAAGAAAATTTTTGAAGGTTTAAAGTCGAGATAAATTTTGTGTGACTCGGCTATGCGACCCGGCTAAAATTAGGACATCTTTTTGCGATTCGGCTAACTTCTCCAGGCATAATTTCGCAACATTTCTTAATAACTTTTTGTCTTTTTCAGGTCAAATTTCACAAAATTCGACTTTATCACATTTCCTAGCCGAGTCACGTAGCCGAGTCTCAGGAAAAAGTGCAAAAAATTTTGCGCGCGCGGCAGATCAAAAAAGGGGCGTGGTCAGGCGCGGAACGGTCCGCGTGTGACGTCACACGCGTTGTCTGCTGCAGAGTCGAAGGCAAAAGCTGAGCAAACCCATAAACATTTTTTTCCTTTCCCTTTTTTCTCTTCTTTTTTTTCTCGAGCAATACAATAGAAGGACCGTCGTTGGCATACACATACACATGGGCATAAAAATCTTTTTTTTGTGAGAGTGGTGGACCATTGGAAAAAGAAAAAGAAAAAAGGCGCAGCAATAAAAAGAGACTATCGTCGTCTGGGTCTCCTGCTCTTTTGTGCCCCGCGGCGATTCTCTTTTCCGGCGTGGGCACAAAAACGAAATAATATGAAAGGATGGCGAGAAAAAAAAGAAGTGGGAAATGGAGATTCATGGGATTTCTTTTCGTCTTTTTTTGGAGCTAGGAGGTCCTCAAGAGCTTTTGGAGACTAAAAAAGGAAGAAAAAAGGGAAAATTATGGGGAAATCGGATAGAGAAAGAGTATCAAAGCTATAATAAAAACACAAAGAAATTTCAAAAGAGGTTCAAAATAAAAATTAGAATGAAATTGAACGAATAAATGATTAGGTTGAAGAAATTAGAAGATTTTAAAGGAAAATTGAAAAGTCTAGACTTCAAAACAGGATGAAATTCCATTGAAAAATCTATATATGCTTCAAAAATAACAGCTTTGACCCTCAAAAAAGCCTCTCAAAGCTAAAAAAAAACGTAAGTGCAATCTAAATTCCACAAATCTCTCAACGAAGGTCAAAGCGAACGGCCAAAAAATCAGAAAAAAAAGAATCGATAAAAACTGGGCAAGTCGGAAAAGTTGAAAAAAGGTTGAAGGTGTGTGGTAAACAGGGGTGGACGGTGCGGCAGTAATTGGCGATTTTTGTGAGGGCCACATCGAGAGAAGAAAATGGAGAAGAACATGGCAACAAAATAGGAAGACGAGAGAGAGATAGGAGCGGTCATGTGCTGCCGTGTTTCAGTTAGCCGGTCGAAACATACTTCGACAACACCAAAAAACAGGCTCCCAAGGTTGCGACCGACGTTGGTCAACTGTTGGACCCGGCGATAGCATCTATTGCTCAGGTTAGTGGTTACTCGGAAAATTCCGAGGGGGTCTTACTTGGGAAAAGAGGCTTTTAGGAAAATCGTTCCATTATGATGTCAGTTTGGTCAACCAGCTGTTACTGATAACATAGGAAAAAATTAAATTTGCTCAGGGTCTCGAAAAAAAAAAAAACCAAAAATGGTTCACTCAAGTAGAAAACTTCATCCTTCATAATATTCCAAAAATGGCCTTCAAAATTTTTTTCAGGAACCTCCACCTAACATGTTAGGTCCGTTAAATAATTTGATCAAGCCTCAAAACATTTTTTTTACTGCTAAAAGTTAAAAAGTGTTTCTTTGAAAGCTTTCTCAAACTCTCAAAGAGACTGGAGAGGTCGACAAAAAAATCAAAAAAATATAGTTTTTTTGAATCAGAAAAATAAGTGATGAAAAATTAGGAAATTTGAATTTTTTTCGAACTTTTTTTATAATTCTGGTTCTGAAGCCCTACTCAAGTTTTTTTCAAAAAAAGCTAGCAAAATAAATATTACATGACTTTATGGCCGTCAAAAAAATGAGCAATCAGAAAAAAATTATATCAAAAAAACTTTTTCAAGCATTAACCAATGACTGATCAGAGGGAAAAAGTAAGGGGGATATGGTTCTTATCAAAAAAAAAATCATAGAAAGATCCAAGCCGAAAAATCTCCAACTTAAGATCAATTAACAACGCAAAAAACTTCCAACTTGTTTCAAAAGGAAGAAAAAAACAAGAATAAGGACCAGAGAACAAAGATTGAATTAATAATTGATCAGAAGTCTTCGGCCAACGAATAAAGAAGAATGACGTGAAATAAGAAAAAAATAACAGAAAGGTCGAGGTTTGTGTGACCCGACGTGAAAAATCTCGTGAGGCCTACGGCGCCACGGACGCCAGCAAGTCCGAGTGGGCGTGGCCTCGGAACGGTATGTGAGTTTACTTTGGGTGGCGGGCCTGAGCCAACGGCCGACCGCCCGACTCCGCCCCTTTTCCACGCCGATGAAGGATGCCACGTCGGTCGGGGCCGTGCACCCGCGGAACGACCGTCGACGTCTCTTCCGCCGACGCGGAGCAAACACAGACATTTGCCCGGAAAACGACAACACAAACAGAGGCGCGTGTGTGTTGCGCAACGGATTGACCGGAATGCCGTGGGGGCAAGTCTGGCCGGCTGGATTCCCCTGAGACAGGACGTGTTCCGCAGACCGTTCCGATGGAGCCAAAAGTTCAAAAGTGTTCTCTGCTTCAGATATGATTGGTCGGGATGAGGAGATCAGCAACTGGAACAAATGATAACTGGCCAAGTTTTTGCAAAACAGATCGTTACGATAGAGCAAAAAAATTGTCTTTTTAAGGACATTTTAAAGGATCAAAATTTGAATCGGTAAAGCTTTCAGAAGCAGATGAGGATATCAAGGCTGGAAAACAACAAGATTTCAGTCCAGAAAGGCTGAACTAGCTGAACAGGTCGTTCTCACAGAGCCCGCAGTTCTTTTTTAGGACTTGCTAAATCCAAGAATATAAATCGGAAGACTTTTGGAGAAGGAAGAGATGAAGCTTGAGAACTCAAGTAAAAAAGAGCAAAGTTCCGTTATTTTTTGAAAATCATGAAACCTATCTCTTAGGCTTGGGACTTGGAAAATAGGAAAAAGAGATCCTATCAACGTGAGTGCGGTTATTGCAGAAAACAGGATGCTGAAAATTCAAGAGAACAATTTTTCGAAACAAAGCAGAGCTTGAAAAAATAGCTCTGAGCTCAGTCTTACATTGAGCTTGAGAAGCTGGAAGGTTCAAGGATTTTTCAAAAACTGAAGGCCTTAAAAAAAGCCATCAGAGCTTGAGAAGGTTTCTGGATGAAAAAAAGTTCGAGTTGAAAGTTTTCTGAAGACTGAATGAACGCTCAGGGCTCAGCTTTCTCATCCTATCATGTTTCAGATGAAGCTCAAGAAGTTTGAAATAACAGTAAATTTTTGGGAAGAAGACGAGTTTTTCAAAGTTTCAAAGGCTGGTGCATGATCCGTAAACTTTTTATTAAAACTCAAAAAACAGCAAAGTGGTCAGCTTTTCTAGATCCAACTGAATTCAAGAAAATACATCAAACTCAGCAAGACGGAGAGAAAAATAAAAAAAGATTTTTTGTTGAGCCTCAAGCTTCAGAAGCATAAAGGAACAATCTTAGAACCCTGAAGAAAAAGCCAAGATCGGAATGAAGAGCGGATCCAGAAGGGAGAAGGATAAATACTAGAAGCATCAAGACCAAAACTGAGTATGGAAAAGTCCCAAGAGTAGGAACGAATTATTGAAGATCTAGAAACCTTATCAGCTTGCAAAAAATAATCAATCAAAAACAGCAGAAAAAAAGGAAAGCCGAGAAAGGGCGGAAGCGAACGTCAGGAGGAAAAGTAGCGGCGCCAACTGAAAGTGAAGAAGAAGAAGAAGAAAGTCTTCGGGGCTGGAAAGGCCCATCACTTTCTGGCAGCCGACTTTCGATTGCCAATGTGTGACACACCGACGGCAGCTGGATTTGGGAGACCGGCCGGCCCTTTGGGCTGAAGCCTAGCCATCAGAAGGCGAAAGCCTTCACTTCGAGGTGAAAGTTACGCAACGACGACGAGCGGAACTCGCTTCGGAATTGCCCAAGGGGAAGAGAGGATGAGAGTGGCAGAACTGGATTTGGCCATGCCACTCGTACAGCCACCCCTCTGATGACGATCGTCGGCTTTCCCCTTCGCCTTTCGATTTCCATCAGAGCTTGGTCACTTTTTTTTTCTTTCGATGATCGGCGAAAGTGCAGATCTTTTGAGGGACCGACGATGGTCTGAGATAGATTTTAAGAGAGCAGCAGCTTCTGGTTGATGGCACGGAAATAAATGGTAGTTTGGTCAGTCTTCTCAGAGGCCAGAGATCGATCTGAAGATCTTCGAAGAAGTTCGGAAGTCTGAGAGCTTCTTGATAGGAGAGCGGCTTCAGAATGATTTTTCGAAAAGGGATTATCCCACTAGATTATTGGTGAAAGCGTCGATTCTCCCTAGAGGGATCACTGGTTGGTCTGCAGATCTTTGAAGAAGAATCGTACTTGGTTGGAGCCTTTTGGCTTTGGGAAGCAGTAGAACCTTAGCCAGTCTTCTTCAAAGATTGACTTGGGATTCTTAGAAAACGTTTAGAAGTCTCTTAAATTCTTGTTGAGTGAGGTCTGCCTCAGAAGAAGCTTCAGAAAAAGATTTGGTTAATTTTTGAAAGGTCCAAGATTCATCTGTAGTCCTCGGAAGACCTTCATGGAGACCTTATTCATTAGCTTTTGTAATTTCAAAATATTTAATTTTAATGTTTCAAGACTACGGGGAAAAAAAAAGTTTGATTATTTTCGATGTTCTTATCAAGGTATAAATGAAAGAATCAAGGTATGCAATAAACGAATTTGAGAAGCTCTGTCAAGAAAATTTTTTTAATCTCAGTTTTTTCTTACCTCTTTTAAACTCTGAAAAATGTTTGACTTGTAAAAAGTACCGTAAAACCCTGTAAAACTTAAAAATTCGGCATGACTTTACAACCTTCGAATGGTAATTTTGACCGCCTGAACCTGTTCTTCAAAAATGATCTTTACTCAAAAATCTGACCACTTTACCAAATGTTTCTCACAGATCAATTTGATAAATTCAAAACCCACACGGACATTAAAAGATTCGTAAAAACGGCGTCTCACGCCCTCGCTATTTTTCTTTCGAATATGAAGAAAAAATGAATAATTCAATCAGATCAAATGGAAAAGGGAACGAAACACGTGCCGTCCGATAGACACACAACAATAAACAAAGAAAGCTGAATGATAACCAAAAAAGGCAACAAAAGAAAGACGGCTCCGTTATCACTTCGGGGGTCTCTCTGTCTTTGTTGGACGTGGCTCTTTTTTCCCTTTGGACATTTTCGCCCTGTCGTCAATCAGTCTGGACAAGATAATGATGAATTTAAAAGGGGAAAATTGAGACGGATAACTGAGAAAATTGGATTTATTCAGAAAAGCTCTAAAAATCATTTTTCTGGGAAAATTTGCTCTATCACCAGTACAAAAAAAAAAGAAAAACTTTTCATCGAAAATAAGTTTTGCTGAAGTTTGAAAATCCAAGGAAAGGCAATCAAAAATGGAGTTTTATGCTTTTAAACTAGAAAATCTTACAAAACCCTTAAATTTAATAATTGGCCAAAATTCAACTTTTAAAAAATAAGCTCAAGAAGCCAACTTTACGGTTTCCCTCAAGTTATTTAAATTTGATTTAACACTGATTATTGATTCCTGTTCGCGTCCTGAATTTAGAAAAAATCGTGAAACTTGAAAAAAACTACCAAAATCAGAAAAAGTCTCAAAAATCAAATATTCAGATCAACTTCTATCCAATTTTAGTTCAGAAATCCTTCAACATCTCCAATCAACAGAATGAAAAATTTCCATGATAGCCGACCAAAAAAGGCGAAATGCCCTGAGGGACTGTTTGCTCGGATGACGTCACAACACACGCAACGCGCTCTTTTTTTCTCGTTTCCCTTTTTTGCATTGTGTCTACGGCATCGCTGAATAATCGCCCCGACGGCGCACAACAACGAGGCAACGCAAAAATGTATATGTATTTGTGAACCAAATACAAAACGAAACGAGAAAAAATGGTGTGAAAAGGAGGAAAAAAGGAATCGAAAGGAGAATGTGATGGAATCAGAAAACGAGAAAGGTGGGGGTTATCTGAGATTTTTCAAGATTTCAGATTGGAAAATGAATCTGATCTTTTGTACGATCCAAGTAATTTCGGTGTTGATCAGAATGAATTTGACAAAATATTGGGAATGTACAATTGAAACAGAATTTGAAAAAAAAATTATTAGATAGTGAAAAAAATCGATCTGTAACAGTAACCACGGTCAGAATAAATTTACTAAATTTTCGTATATTTTTGTAGATCTTCATTGCCCTTCAAAAGAAAACTTTTGGAAAAATTCTGAGCAGTACTTAATAGAAAAAAATATAAGAACATTCAAATATTGGATAAAAGTTGGAAATCGCGAGGTTTTTCCTTCAGAGAAAATTTTTTTTAATAGCTCAAAATTTTTCTAGGAGTTCTGAATTTATGAACCGTATTTTCGACTTTTCGGCATGAAAAAGTCAGTTTTTCAAAGCTGAAAAACTTCAAGAAACTCTATTCTAGCCTAAAAACATCTTTAAAAAAATCTCAGTGATTGGAGCTTTTTCATGGTCAAAACTTTGAAGCCTTCAAAAAATTTGAAACAGTTTTCAAAGCTAAAAAAAAACTCTGAGAGACTTTAGTAAAATCTCAAAAAACCACCCGACCTTTTATGAAGTTTCTACCGCTCAAAAAAAAGCTAAGGTACTTTTTAAAAAATTAAAAAGGTTATGGAGACCGTCGGCGTTCTCCCCCGAGACTTTCAAAGCTAAAAACCTCTGAGAATCTCCTGAAAAACCTATCTTCGGTGGTAAGGCCTCGTATTAAAAAAAAGCCAGGATCTTCTACAGGCTAAAAAAATCATAAAAAATGTCCTAAAGACCGTCGACGGCGCCGAACTCACCGCGTGATGCTTGCAATTGGTGGGTGTGGCTTCAAGTCCAACTTTTTTCCTCCCTCCTCCGAGTCCATCATCACCTGGGGGTGGACACCAAGGAGAAAAAAAACCGCTCGAAATTGGAGGCGGAGCTTGGCGTCACTTTCTCCCGCCCATGTTTGTTGCGCAACGTGTGCGTCGGCGCGGCAGCGGAAGGGAGGGAGGGAAGAACCTGCCGCGGGAACCCTAGATAAGTGTGGCTACGTGAGCTGCGGTCGGCCGGGAACTGGATCGTCGAAAGTGAATCGAAAGCGGGCGAAAGTTACGTGAGCGCGGCAAGACCAGTGAAAAGCGTTCGGTAATTGTCCATTTAGATCAACTATCGGATACAACTGGTTCCGCCTTTTTTTGGAAGTGAAGCCAAAGTTCAGTTCATTTGGGAGTTGATCGAGGATTGATCGGAAGTTAGAAAGGTTACTAGAATTAGAACGGAGGGAAATTTGAAAAAAAATCTGGGATAATAAGATCTCGATCTCACTGACGAGTTCTTTGAAAAGCGGTACTTGCATTAAGCTTCTCGAAAAAAAAGGCTACAAACTTAAACTACAAATTTCAACATGGTGCGATCAAAAGGATCACTATTCTCCCAATAAAAAGCTTCAAGAAAACTAACTTTCCTTCACACAAAGCTGTGCTTGTAAAAAACTACCAAACTCAAAACCAGACCAAGCTTCGAAAACCTCTAATCCTCAATCCTATTCCATGAATCACACCAGCCACAAAAAAGCGAGGGGAAAGCAGCTCAATAAGCAATGGAAAGTGCGCCCGATCGCCAAAAAGACTCGCCGCGCTTTCACTATGCCGAAAGTGGACGATGCCACGGCAGCTTTCCCTTGATTTCCATTTCGTTCCCATTTCCCTGTTCTTTGGGATAAAGTTCTAGATGATCTCAAGGGACCGGCGAAAAATTATCAAGAGCCGTATTCATTGGGAAAAGTTGTGAAGTTGGTTTCAAGGTGAGGGTTTTCGAAATCTGCACGTGAAGGAATTTGAGACATGATAAAGGAAAATTGGGTGATAAAAAAATGATAGAAGATTTTTCAGACAGATCGAGGAAGACCCGCTTCCTACAAAAGGTAAAAATTTGAGCCTACAGTACCTCATACATCATTCATCATAATCTGATCTAATCTAGCTTCTCTGCACCCTCTTCTCTCTCCCCCAAGCTCTCGTGTGTCTTTCTGAGCATGCAGGTGAGGTGTGAGAGAGCGCAGACAAGTCAGAAAGTTAACATCGTGTGAAATGATTGTTTTCTAGAAATTTCTTTAACGTCGAAAATACAGTAAGCTCCAGAGAAAGGATAAAAACACACCACCGCACTAATCGAGAAAAGATACAGTAACCTCTGTATAAATGGCAAAGTACTGCACTTTTTCAAAAAGATCTCGCCAAACTGCAAAAAATACAGTATCCTTGAGAGAGGAAAGAAAATTCAATTTGGAATGGACGTCGAAACCAACACCGCCTTGGGCGATGAATCACGGAAAACGCCAACATTGAAAAGGACCCTCGGCGAGGCCTCTTCGACGGCAATCTTAGTCATCGTCGACGACACGGCCATGCCATTCCGAAGGAAACCTGCAGAACAAAATGTATCTTTCGACAAATATGGACGACGGAATCGCGGGAACGAGAAAAGTTACGACAAAGAAGCGAGGAAAAAATATTCAAAGTTACTGAGAGATTAATAGGTACACTAATCCGATGGTGACTGGAGCAAGCCTTCAGAAAGAATCTTTGAAAATCGGAAGCCGAGGAAAAAATGTGCGGTTGATAGAGAATGTAGCCGCATGGCTAGGAGGTCAGTCTCATGATCCAAGTGTCGTTGGATCAAGTCCAGTAAATATAAAAAGTGAAAGCCCAACAAGAAAATAAAAGAGCATATTGCCTTTATTGATAAAAAGATGTCCAGAAGGTGTAGCCGAGTGGCTAAGAAGCGGTACTAAAGAACCAGAGGTTGCTGGATCAAGCCCTCATTAAGACTGATGTGATTATGAGGTAAGTGCAAAGAAATAATATAACTATTCAATGATATGAATGAAAAGAGGAATTGTGGCAAGGTTCTTGAAAGGTCAGACTCCTAATCCAGAGATCTCTGGGTCGAGTATTCAACTGAAATTATCCCGTACCTTATGAGAAGCCATAGTAGCGCTCCGATGATGAGAAAAGATTTGCTCAGGGGACCGTACAGACCAATATTTTTTACAAAATAAGACGTAGCCACGTGGCTAGAGATCGATCCTCCTGCTCCAAAGGTCGGTGGATCAAGCCCTTGCCAAATTTCTTTCGATTTGCTTTGACGTCGCTTAATCTAACTTTTAAGCTGCCCTGCGAGCAGAAATCATAGATTTTCATTAGCCTGATCTTTTGAAGAGATCAAACTACAGGCTCCGTTCACTCCTATCAAACTTTTTGAGCTCCATTCCCACCTTTGATTTTCATTTCGCTTTCAACTTTTCAAAACCGTTTATCCTGAAGCTTCTTTCGGGCTGCCCCCAGGAGTCTTACACTCGCATCAGAAGTGCACTATAATGTCTCCTGCGGCACACTTCTCGAAATGGATCGTGAATATCTGCCAATATGGCCATCGTGGGACATCCTGTATACCTTTTAGCCCTATCTGAGCCATACAGCTTGAGGGTATACCTCAAGTCTAACCTCAAAGGTATACCCGATAATCCTTTTCTTACAGGATACTACTTCAAAAAGTCAGTCCAACTACCCCAAAACCTAGACGTTACAACCAAAGCCACGATTGTGCGACCACTCTGATCATTCGTCAGTGAGATCCAGAAGGGAGAAAACAGGAAAATCCTTGCGTAATGCAATTTCGGTGTGGCATCCTTCCGCTTGTCTGTCCGTCGGTCCTCACTTTCAGTGGACAGTTATTGCCGAAAGAGAGGGAGAAAAAAAAAACTCGATGAGGAGGGAAAGTGAGGACATTTGAGTGAAAATGCCTCACGCAATGCCGACGCACACGTCGATTGGGCAATACGCGGGACAGAGATAACCGGTTCGAGTCTGAACATTTTCTCCCTCCCGCCGCTGCTGGACCAATATTCTCGGCCGTGTGTTCTGGCCGACCGCTATTTCGTTGTTGCGCCACTTGAGGCGAAGGTGATGCCGAGCCCGAGGTGCGGCGCCGCCGACGCAGCGTGGACAGGCTTACGAGGGGTCGTCGAGCGGGAACGCATTTTTTGCTCGTAGCTTGAAATTTGGATCAGGAGGAAGCTCATAGCCCGTGATTTGAGAGGTCAGAAAGAGCTCCGCATTTCGCTGCGAACTGACCTACTGGAATGAAGGTCTAGGATCAGACCAACTGGCCAATCTTCTTTTGGTGCTACTACTATACCTCCAAAATTTACAAGAATCTAGACTTCTACTGGGAGGTTAAACTAATGCACAGTTTCCCTTTTGACTAGTGAGGCCTTCTCGGGATTTCATTAAAAGCTAATCCTGTACCGTCATCAAGTTTGAGCTCTTCACAGCCTTTTCAGTTGAGCCAGTTGTAGAAGAGCCCATCTTTCTGTTTAAAGTGTCAGGCCGGAAGCAGAAGTTTCTCCAACTTTTAAAGAAAGATGTCGAACGAACTGGCAGCACTCCTTCTATGGTTTCTACTATGTCTCCAAACCCTGCTGTCAGCTCAAAATTTAAACTGAGAGTTCAGGCTAGCTGGCAGCTCTTATACTGAGAAAAGCACCAAGCGCTCATGCTCAACCATCTCCAAGCTTGAGCTTTTAAAAGCATTTTTTATGAGCTAGTTGAAGGAAAACTTGGCCCAGGATCCTGTGATTCTACTCTCTACTCATCCAACTGAACGCCTTGATTTTCAATTAGCCCAGAGCGATTACTTGAGGCAGTTTGTACAGTTTCCTCGACCCAGAGCTCTAAGACCACTTAGAGATCAAACATAGGTGTTCTATGGACCCAGTGAGGGAAGCTTATGACTGTAATCAGAGTATGTTTAACACAGATTGATTAACAAATTGAAAAACTTCTCTTTCACATCTGTGACTGGGTTTCAGATCTCAGAAGAGCAAAGTTCCTTTTAAAGCTCAAAAAAAGAAATCCTTTTTATGGAGGAAACTTTGATTCAAGAAATTCTCTGATAAAAAAATCAGAAAAAGCTTAAATTTTGTTAACATCAGTTTGTTGAATTTTTCTTAGAAAGGCTTGGCTTGAAAGTCCTCTCCAAAAATCAGAGAAATTTTTTTTAAAGATTCGACCATGCTCCTTTAAAGAATCCCATCACAGAAACATTAAACTTTTTTCAAATTTATGACTCAAGGAGTTTTGGGGGGAGGGGAGTCCTTCTCGATATCAAGAGAGCTCTGAAAAACCGATCCGCCTGGCCGGCAAAAAGTGACGGCGGCGATGTTTGCGCAAGCGTACGGCCTGCGGAACAACCGACAAGCCCTTTTTTCCGGCCACGCGGAAGCCTACGTGAAAGCGCAAAAAACCGAAGCAAACAATGCCGCGGCGCCGTTTCAGCACCGCCATTGAAACATTCTCGTCAACTGGGGGACTGCAAAAAATTGGAATTTCGGAAAAAAGAGGGTGGATTTGGAAATTATAGGGAGTTTTTGCGTCTCTCAAAAGTGTCTCGTTATCTCTTAGACATTTTAAAATTAGTACCGAAAGGAAAACTTAAATGTATTTTACGAAATCTTCTGAAAAAAGGACAGTTATTCATTTCAAAAATTACTCGTAAAGTCAAAAAATATCAAAGAAACAAATTTTTTTTTTCAGAAGCCCGTCCCTTAACTTCTCAGATGTATCTAATTTACGGAAAAAAATAACTTATTTCAATAAAAAAATGAATTTTTTTATTCAGAGAAGTAGAAAAGTCAACTTGAATGTTTTTCATATGGTACTTTTAACGTTTAAAAAAAAATTCCGTAATTTCCGTAAATCTGAAGCCAGACAAGCATGATAAATTTGAAAAAGTTCCTACCAACTGTTTTTTGATCAAAAGAAAGGAGAGAGGAATTTAGGCCACCAATGGACGAAACTAAGCAAAAATTACTTCTCTTATTTATGATTTTCTCGAAACGTACATGGTCCTGTCGTCATTATGCCGCGGATTTTCGTAATTATTCGAAAAATTCATTAGAATGACACGTTTGGATGTTTCAGAGGGGGCTTTTCTAAGGTTCAACCTGCGTTAAAATTTCAATTAGAGCAAGAGCCTTAGAATTTTTTTCCAGAAGATTCCCTAGCAAGTTCAAAGATTTCATGAGAAGTCATTTTATCTTTCGGTTTGGAATAATCTACAAATTTGGTCAAAAATATCTTTGAATATCTATATAAGGGTCCCTCATAGTTGCTACCTGCGAAAAATACTAATTTTTGAGATATTTGAAGTTTTTAAAGTTTGCATTAACACAGAAGTGGTCTCCACAAGGAGGTCATTTTAATTTGTGATCTGGAATTTTTTACAAATTTTCTTAAGTAATCCCTGAAGATTTATATAAGGATCCAACAAAGTTCTAATCCGAGCCAGCTTTCCGTTTTTGAAATAATGAACTTTGAAGTTCGAAATGTTGGGCCTCACCCTTTTTTCGAAAGTTCAAAAAATCATATCTCAATTTGGAGAGTATTCCCAACCGAAATTTAAAATGACCTCCCTTGTTAGTTCCGAAAAAAAAAATGCAATTCCAATCTTCACCTCGACCATTGGAAGGTGAGAAAGTTCACGAAAATGGGCGAAAATTCACATCGAAATAACTTTTCTTCAGTTTCACTGCATTCTGACGTCATTGTAAGTCCGAAAAATCACAACCTTTTTCCATATGCTTTCTATTTTTCATCGAGCCGATTCGAATCGAAAAAAAAACGAAAGCGATTGAATATTCAATAAAACAAACTAGTAGGGTGGGCATTAAAGGCGACTGGCGGAAGAGAACTGGTCCGGCCACGGGATCAACACCACGTTTCCCTTTTTTCGCTTTTTTTTGCGACTTTCTAAAAATGAAGTAGGGAGGGACGGGAAAATGATAGGATGGGTAGTAAAAAAAATAAAAGGGTCGAATTACTATTAGTGCTTTAAGGAAAATCTCAACTCAGCTTCGCGTCAAAGAAATGTACTTCATATTTTTTTCTTAACTTCAAACTGAAAAAGCGGTGAAAAAAATTTAAAAAGTTACATTTTTTTAGAAAAAAATCAATCCCGATATATTGAACATCTTCAAGTAGTTTAAAAAAACCTAAAAAAACCCTTTAAACATTTGAAAAATAAAACTTTCCTGAAAAAAATTGAAGTTTTAATGATTTTCAACTAGTTCAGGAGTTTGTAAAGCTATTTCCGTCCCTGAAAAGCCTAAAACCTTCTCCAGAGTGGTCCCTATAGGGGCAACATCAGGGGTCCCCTTGAAGTCCCCTATAAAGACCACTTTACTTGCCCCATAGGGGAAAATTATTTTTAGAAAAAGACCTCTTCAAGGGTTTTAGTGAATGGTCACTCTGCATGCTGGTGGTCCCTGAAGATAAAAAAAACATGTTTTAGCCCTTCAGAGAGCACTATTTTGCCCACTGAAGGGGCTGGTTTTCCCCTGACCCCTATAAGGACCACTCTGGAGTTCCTGAGAGCAGAAACGCTTTACAATTATCTTTCAAAGACTTATTTTGATTATTTTTTGAATCCAAGACTCAAGGCGAGTTTCTTCAAAATTCCCCCATCATCAACTTGGAAATTACCAAAAATCTGATCTCAAAGAACCATTAACCGCAATTCCTTGGAACAGAAAAACCATACAAGTGTCCACTTTTTTCTCCTCCTGGCCATTCGTTTTCATCGCGGAAGACCGGAATGGAGGGCCGTGCATTATGAGGCGAATCGAGGTAAAAAAAAAAAGAAAAAGAAGAAAGTTTTGCCAAGGTCAGACTTGTTCAAGAGTACAAATATAGGAGTATGAGTTTCAGAATAACCAAGGTCTGTGAGGGCTGGAGAAGTTCAGAAACACTTCAAGAGAAAGGTTTTGAGAAATTGGAAGAACTTGATATAAAATATACATATTAGTCGATTTGATGGAGTTTTCGAAATGAGAAGAAAAATTCAATTTTAATTGATCATTTTATTTACACATAAGACGAATCGAGAACATCCCCTGCTATCTTGAATTTCTTATCAATATTAACAAAAAAACAGAAAAAGTCAGATAAATCCTCGAATTTGAGAGATCTTGAATACTTGCCGAAAAATTTCCGTTTTTTTTTCTACTTTTTTTTCTAGAATCACAGAAAGTTATTATGAAATATTGAAAAAGAGAAAATTCATCTATATTTAAAAAAAAACTCTCTACTTTCTAGTCAATAAATCTTCGAAGTCCTGATGTATCACTTAAATTATTTCCTCTCCATTTAGTCGCTCACAAAAAGCAGGAATATCAAGGATGTTCCGTAATAAAATTAGAGAAAAAAACTCAATATTACGCAAAAAAAAGTCATTTTTCATCAAAAATGATCAAGGAAAAAAAGAAAAAAAAAAAGAAAAAGTATAAAAAATACCGTTGATTATTCGACCATCTCCTGCAGGTCGCTGCCCTTTTTCGTTTTTTTTCTGAAAAATCAAATTTGTTTCAAAATTATATTGAGAGAGAAACGACGCAAGAAAAACGGCTGAATTGCATTATTTGAAAAAGATGATATTTTCTTTGAGAAAGAAATTAATGACGGATAATCATAAAAATACAATCAGATTTTGACAAAATTTAAAAAAAACACACTCTGATTCGATAAGAAGAATGAGAAAAAATAAAAAAAGGTAAGTCCACGAAATTCCCACTTGTAATAAAGGTGAGAAAATCGATTGATTTCTGGAAATGAAAATTCTAAATTCTAAAAGTCGGAAAGTTCTGTTACAACCTCAGGAACGGCAAAGTGGTCTGTATAGGGATTAGGAAAAAAAAACCCTTCTAAGGGACAAAAAAAGCCTCCTTGTAGAGGTAAGATTTAAAAGGTCCCTATAGGGGTTTAGAGTCTGACCCCTAAACTTCCTTTTTTTGTTGATTAAAAAAATTAGAAAGTCGTTTTTTTAATAAAAAAACATTTTTTCAAAAAAAGGGCCAATTTATTGATTTAATAATGAAAATGCATGTCATAGAACTAGCGAAGAACCTTCAAGGCCCCTATAGGGACCACTTAAGCATTCTCAAGAATACCAGCCAAGAAAAATTAACAAAAAAGTAACTTTTAC